ATCCCTTTTTATCTCCAGGGGGCCCCATCTGCTTGCGTGATCTCTATGTCCACTTCCTGTAACCTTCTCTTCCGTTTCACCCGCCTGTATGTTTCCTCTCTCATCAATGACACAGATGCTCCTGTGTCCACCAAGCCCTCATCATCTCTACCACCTATCTCTGCTCTACAGGATAGTTCTTTCTCTTGCGTTAGCAAAGAGAACACTTGAGCTTTCTTCTTCCTGGGTCCCCACCTTTGGGTTAACCCAGCCATAGGCGCCGGTAGTAATATATCACCTTCATTTTTTTCATGAGGTGGAGTTCTGCGCCCCCTGCACCTGGGCGACCCTGGCGGACCTCTCCCGGTCTCCCATGGCCGTTTCTAAGAATACAGTTTCTTTTCAGGTGTCCTGGCCTCCTGCAAAACCAGCACCTTCTTGCTGGACAGCTTGCCGCAAAGTGGCCCGCCCGACCACATGTCCAACATTTTGCTCTTTCCCTTTTTAACTGGGTTGGCCTTGTGTCATCCTCGGGGAACCTGTCCTCTATTCAAGCGGTTCGCCCGTTCACTGGTCCAAGCTTTTATTTCTCTTCTTTTTAACTGGGCCACCCTCCCTCTTAATTCTGGGGTGGCCTGCTGGCTTTTCTTGGGCTCAGCCTTCTTTTTGTTAATATCGGTGGGGCACCCTTCCTCAGCCCGCACCACTTGGCCAGGTGTCCTTTCTTACCACACCTGGTGCATCTGTCCTGATTGAAGTCTGGGGCAACCCCCACTTCGTCGGACATTCCGCCGCCCTGTGGTCCTCGTACCCACAGGTCCAGCAGACCAGCCCGTATCGACCCGGCGTGGGCTTATAAAAGCCATGCCTGGTCGACCATGCCCTTCTATTGGGGTCCTCCTCCCATAATTCTGCCCGATCCACCTCTTCCTTAACCCTCTGATTCCACACGGGGGTTCTTCCGCCTACCCCCTTCTTCCAGCCTCCTGACTTGGTATCTGCTTCTTCCCACACCTCTTCACTTTATCCCACACCCCTGGCTCTCCCTGGCCAGCTCTATCGCTGCCGACAGTCTGAGCGGTCCTTCTTTCAATACGTCGTGACGAACACGCTCGTCGCTCAGCGCCTCTACATACAGGTCCGCCAGTTGAGCCTGCATAACCGCATTATCCCTGACCACTTCGGGGAATGCCAATGACGATAGCTTCCCTGCTCGGGCCCCTAATTCTCCCGGGGTTTCATCCCGTAGCTGTGTCAGTTTTAAAAGGGCCCTCATGGCCTCTATGGCCGTACCTTCGTCGGCGAATTCTTTGGTCAGCAGTTTTTTATTTCTTCCCAAGCCAAGCGGGGTTGGTTCTCCAAGACCCCCCTCACGAACTCAGACGCTTTTCCCTTTGTGGCATCGTATGCCAAATACAGGGTTTCTTGGTCCGAGAGCTCGTAGATGGTTCGGCTCTTCTCGAGGATTGCCAGCCAGTTTTTAAACTCCTTCCCGCTGCCATCAAATACTGGGACCCTCGGTCCACCCAACAGCTTCCTTAAATCCACTGACAACCCCCGCCCTACTTCTTCTTCACCCCCCACTGCTCTATCCGAATCATAATCTGACATGTCTACAGAGAAAGACAGTCTATACAGCAACAATCGAGGTTGGGAAACAAAACAAGGTGTCCTACCTTACAGATGATTCTGTTCTTTCTTTTCCTTTGGTCCCGGGTCGTTCTGAGTTCTGTCTGAGTTTTCAGCAACGGCGGTCGATCGTGGTCTTCTCAGGGTTGATCCGTTGGTCACTGCACCACTTGTGACGTGGTTGTCTCAGGGTTGATCCTGGTCACGGCACCACTTGTGACGTGGCTGTCTCAGGGTTGATCCTGGTCACGGCACCACCTGTGACGGTTACACACCTGGCCCAGGGTCGGATCCTTTGGTTACGGCGCCAACGGTGACGTCGCTCCTCCTGGTCGCTCCTCCTGGGTCCAAGCGTGCCGCTCCAACCCCTTGGTCAGATGGTCACCAGCCTCGCCTTTCCCGACTCGCTTCCAATACCTGGTCACTAAAGCAACTGTACCGATCTCCGGTCTGTCTACCCACGCTGTGTTTAGATCTTAGACAGACGGGACCAGCAGGGATTGGGGCCGATACAAGTTGAGTCCGACGGGGTGGCAAAACACAAATAAAAGAGAAAATAAACTCACGAGACAAAAAGATTGCTGATGAAAAATATGGGTAACAACCCTTTATATCTTAATGTCCGCTACATAAAAACAAAATTGTTCTCATTTCCCGACCCGCTCTGTGGACTATGGCACCAAGCTTCTATCACACAACCTAAAGATTTCGAATTGCCTACTCTTTAGAATTGTGTATGTCGGAGTGTGGTTTGGTTCGACACTGGGGCTAATTTCTATCGATCATTCGCAGTTGATTCTTCTCTCCGACTTGAGTTGTATTTCTTCTTCTTCGTCGACTTAGGCTGGAAGTTCTCTTGTCTTCGACTTGGGTTGTATTTCTTCTTCTTCGTCGACTTAGGCTGGAAGTTCTCTTGTCTTCGACTTGGGCTGGAAGGATCTCTTGCCGCAACTCAGCCGCAAATCTCTGTCGTCCGAGGTGATCTCTTCTCGCTGCCGTCCGGGGCTGAACTCTGCCGTAACTCTGCCACAACTCTTGGCGTCCTTCGAGCAATCTCCTTCTTCGTCTGCTTGGGCTGGAAGTTCTCTTGTCTTCGACTTGGGTGGAAGGATTTCTTGTCTGAGGATTCTCTTGCCCGCAAAGGGGCGAGTGAATCGGGCCTGATGGCCGCGTTCAGGCTCTATCCCTGCCCGCGGTCCAGCTGCAACTCTCAACTCCAACTCAACTCCACTTTATTATTGTGGGGTTCTAATTTTTAACAGGTCAGAGCCTGTATACCGTTCCACGGTCACTCCCTCAACCCAAAAGACACTTTTTTTCTCTGATTAAGATTGTTTCATTGTTCCCAAAATTTCTCTTTATCCAAATTGATAAGGTGTCTTTCCATGCAAAAGTAGGCTAGGTGCTTTGACCGATATCTGGCTTCCATCAAGCGGCCCGTTTTGATATCATGTCTTTTTTCCCTTTCTTTCTTCTTATTATTTCTAATTCTATTCTTCCAATTGTCTTTAAAAAATTCGGTCAACATGCTAGCTAAGATATCTTTCTGACTCGTGTTTTTGTTAATGACCGTTTTTTTTTGTATTTCTCGACCTCTCTCTTTCCCCTTCCTTCTTCTTCCCTTAGGATCGTCCAGGTACAATCTTAGTGAATTATTTTCAACTCAATTATTTTCCGTTTTAAAAAAAAATCAACAACCTGTTTAGTAAACCGAGTAAGAAAAAATTAAATCATATTTCTATGAATATTTCTAATAATGCAAGGTGCCACATTAGTAACCCTTTATACCTTAGTGGCTTTATTACCTTGCTTGAAATGAAATGATTAAAAAAAATGTTTTTATAATGTAAATGAAAAATCCAACACTGAAATCTGAACATGCATTGAATGAGCGAAAGATGCCTTCCAAAAGCCAAGCAAAGTGCTGAGAAACAGAAAAATGCTGTTAGAAACAAAGAGTACTGGATTGCTATGTGACATCCATTGTTTTATATGGCAGTGAATGCTAAACAAGCTCCCTATGGATGAAGATAAAACTGGAGGGAACAGAAATATGATTCTACAGAAGGATACTGAGAATTTCATGGGTGGAGTGAATAAGCAACAAAGTTTTAAAGAAAATGGCAACAAAAACAGCACTTATACCCAGACTCTGGAAGTTATAGCTGAAATACCTTGGATGCATAATGAGGAAGGAGGGCTTGGAAAACTTAACCCTCACAAGGCATATTGAAGGCAAGAGAGATAGAAGGCAGTGAGCCATGTTTTTGAAGAGTTTGTGTTAATGAATAGTGGAATAGGGGCAGGAACCTTAGTAAAAGTAGAAAAATTGCTAAAGTTCATTTTAATAAGAAATTTCAGACATGCGTGATTGCCCATGTCCTTGTGATGAACATAATGCAAATGATGATTGTTTTGCTGTCGAAAATGACATGACAATTCAATGTATCTACTTTGAATCTGATAGCTTTTTTGCCTTGTATTTTAACTTTTTAACCAGTCCTTATAGAAAAAAAATCATTTCTAGGTCACCCTATTGGCTCATGTTTAATTTTTCCTTCTTTCCTTTCCTTCCCTCTCCCCCTCTTTCTCCCCCCCCCAATTCTTTTATAACCTTATATTGAAATTTTTCTTTTTCTTTCTTCCTCTTTTAATATTAAAACGTTTTTCTTTGTTGGTCTGAAGAGATGAATATATTTTTGTACATTCATGAAATAAATTACAACCAAACGGATTTCTAAGGATCGTTTGTCTGTACTCATTATTATATTGCTCTGCTACTTACATTGAGCTCTCTTTGGATTAATGTCCTCTTTGGAATTATTCCTATTAATTATCAATTGGTATTTTATATATATATATATATATATATATATATATATATTAACTGATTTAAAATATGATTTCTTTGCTACACAGGAATTACCATATTTCAAAAACCAAAGCTAAAGAAAAATTGCTAAAGTTCATAAGGGATAGAAAGTTTCAGAGATGCATGATTGCTCATGTTCTTGTAATGATTATAATGCAATGAAGATAATTGTTTCGCTGTCAAAATGACATGACAATTCAATGTATCTACTTTGAATCTGATTGCTCCCCTTCCTTTGCCTTGTATTTTAACTTGTTAAGCAGTCCTTATAAAAAAAAAATCATTTCTAGGTTACCCTATCAGCTCATGTTTAATTCTTCCTTCTTTTCTTTCCCTCCTCTCTCATTTTTCTCCTTCCCTCTCCCTCTCTTTTTCTCTTTTACCCCCCAAAATCTTTTACGTAGAAGAACAAGAATTATTTTGGGATGAAATTTAATCTACTAAATGTTACAGGACAGAAATAATGTTGTTGCTTTTTTTTTAATATATTTTTCATTGATCAGTTCTTTTACTTTTGTAGGCAAGACTGACCGACGTAAAGAATCTCATAAACAACTACCATATCTTTTATCAGATGTTAGCTGGTTTAACGGACAAAGAAAAAAGTGAGTAAATGATTTTAGAACATCAGTGTTTAACCAGTTTTTTCTTCTTCATCTTGTTGTTGCTTCTTTTTATGTTAATACTCCCCAATCCTTAAAATCACGTCTTACCTTCCATATGTGGTGCTAATCTCTCTCTTCCTTCTCTCAGCATCCAACCTCAGCCCATTCCAAGTACACTGTCTTTGTGACGAATCTAGACTTTTAGTATGTGTAGCTGAAAAGGGGATTTCCAGTCATTAATCTTACTTGTCTCACGTTGGTTGGTTTTAAGTGTTTTCTCAATTGACCAGCCAGTTGCCCTAAGGTCCAGGGCTAGTAATTCATTTTTCTTTATCACTTGTATCTAAAGGAATCTGAAAGGATGTTGGCTATTAAAATTTTGAATGTCTCAGAAATTAAAATGCATGAATCTGTCTCCAATCTCAGGTGCTAATTTCTATTTTTGTAGGGATGTTTTTTCCTCTGGATGGCTGATTCAAACCAGATGTTTTTCCTGGCTCTTTGTCCAGAACAATTTTAGATGTTATTTCGGTGACCAACTTTTTTTTCTTTTTCTTGTCAACATGTTTTTCTATTTTCCAGAACCGACATCATTGAGAAATGCATTGTCTCTTATCTTCTGGAAGAACGGGTAGTCTTGGTTTTGCTCAATCTTACTGAATTCTATCTAGTTAAATTTGGGTTCAATTCTCCTTGGAATTGTTCATGATTTCATTTTATTATCTTTAATTTTACAATGCATTTCATTTTTAATTTTCTTGTCAACAATCATCATCCAGTTAGTAGTCTCTTTCACTGGACTTATTCAAACTCTACCACATGGCGATTCTGAGAGAACTAGAAATCCTACTAGGATTCATCATTTAAATATCTGGAAAGTGTTCACAGAGGATAGAAAGAGCAACACTGAGATCTGAAGAAGTATTGGAATGGCCAAAGATACATTCGAAAAGCTAAGCAGTGTATTATGAGAGATGAAAGTTTTGTTGGAAACAAAGAAAAGAATACTGAACTGTTACATGATATCTGTCCTCCTGTGTGGCAGCGAATACTGGACAATCTCCTCAAAGATGAAGAAGAGACTTGAAGCAACAGAAACAAAGAAAAAAGAATACTGAACTGTTACGTGATATCTGTCCTCTAATATGGCAGTGAATGTTGGACAATCTCCCAATCTCCTTTTGAAAAAACAGAAATGTCCTTCTACAGAAGAATGCTAAGGATACCATGGGCCAACCATGTGAGCAACGACGAGGTTTTGGAGGGGATGGAAACAAAGAAGAAACTTATACTTAACATCAGGAAGAGGCAGTTGAAATTTCTGGGGCGCATAATGAGGAAGGAGGGCTTGGAAAATCTGATACTCACAGGATGGATAGAGGGGAAAGAAGGACAGGGAAAAGCAACATGTGACATCGTTGATGGGCTTGAGCAAGTGAATGGCAGAACAGGGCCTAGGAGAAATAACAAAAAGACAAAATCTGTTAAGGGCTACAAGGGATAGGAAGAGGTGGAGGGCCATGATTCCCAGTGTCACATTTGTCTTTTATGGAGGATGCCTTAACCAAATATGCACACTCTTCTTCAGGACATTGGCGATCATGGTTCTTCACAATTTCCTGTCCTTTGTAACGCGTAGTAAAGTTTGTCTTATTGCTACATCTTCTAATCCTTGTTTTGTTAACCATCTCTCAACTTTTATTTACTATTGAATTATTTTTTCTTTTCTTAATAGGAGTAGATAGGTTTGCCTATTGTTCAGTTCACATTCCTCCCTGGTTTTTGGAACAGGAGTAAAAGTTTATTCTTTGTTTTCTGTTTATGATTGGGCTTCGAGTTCCTTCTAAAACCTTTTTCTTATATAACCCTCTATCTTGAATGGCTCTTGGGCCTTATACAGGGTAAATATCATTGTTTAAAAAAACTACCTCATTAGATAATTTATGCATTTCTTTCTTATCTCCCTCTTGCTTTCAATATGTTCTGTGAATGTCAAATTTTTCTGAGCCCTCTTTTCTCATTACATGTCCTAAATATTTTAACTGTTTCTTTCTGATTCTATGTATAAGTGTCCTTTTTGCTTCTATTTTCTCTAAAACTTTGTCACTGTTCGCACATTCAGTTTATGGTATTCTCAACATTCTTCTGTAGAGCTGTATTTCTGTTGACTCAAGTTTCTCCATCTGTAAAAAGATTGTCCACCATTTACTGCTATATAGGAAGGCTGAAATTACATTCAGCATTCTTTTTTTTTTTTTGCTTCTAATAAAATTTTCCTGTTTCTCAATAGTTTGCTTAGCTTTTAGAAGGCATCTTTTACTATCCCAATTTGTATTCAGATTTCGCTGTTTCATTTTCCATCCTGTTAAAAAACCTTTGTCGATAAAGTTTTACTTTTTGCACTTGTTTAATTTTGGTATTTATTTATTAAGATCCAGAGATGGATATGCAACGTAATTGGCCCTGATCTGGCATCTCGTCTGCAGTCGCTCACTCACGCCTCCCTCTGTTTTTTTTACAAATACTTTCATGGTAACTGCTCCAATGAGCTGCTCTCGCTGATTCCCAGACTAGGCTGGCATCTCGCTCACACCCTTTCACTGTCGAAACTGTTAAATGTAGCCATCTCTTCTACTCCAATAGCTTCATGTCTCACACTTCTTGCCTGTGGAATTCCCTCCCCTCTTCCTGTTTCCCTGATAGATATAATCTCCAACTATTCAAATGTAATGTCAATCGATGTCTCCAGTTGGCTTGATCTATCCCCTATCCTTCTCTTCATCCTTTCCTCTATCACTACTATTTGGACTCACTCTAACTCTGTAACCCCTTGCGTGCTAGTGGCTTCCCACCTTGCATGGGGTGAAACGCTTAAAAAAAAAAATTTCCCATTTGTAACTCGCATGTTAGGCTGTTTTTTTTGTTTTTTTTTGTTGATAATAATGCGTTCTGTCTTCTTACAGTTTATGTTTAGTCCTTTCTTCGGGCTTTTCTTTATTATCTTCTGTAGGGATTCCAGTAGTTTCCTTTCTGTGTCTGCTATCAACACTGTGTCATCTGCATATCTGATGTTAAAATTGTGGTTGCCAATAATGAAACTTGGTAGGACTTTTAATTCTTTTGGGATTGCTTCACTGTAACAGTTAAATAAGTCTGGTGAAAAGATACATCCTTGTCTTATGCCCCTTTCTATTTTTGTGTCTTTACCGAATTCATTTTCTATTCCTATGCAGGTAGTTTGCTCCCAGTGTGAATACTAGATTATTCTAATATCCTTCGTAAATAAATCAAAATTAACTGTCCTATAAAATGTGTGATATACGAGTGAAATCTAATTTGCATTCAGCAAATATGAAAACGATTTTTTTTTTTTAATTCATAAATTTATAAAAAATTTATTAAATTACTTAAAATATACAAATTATAATAAAATCTTTATTATTTACCATTTTATGAAGTTCCAAATGATGCCTTAACCGGGTATTATGTACATTACACATGGCACAGTGGATAAAGGCATTGGTTAGATCCAGTGACAGGACCCAAAGAGTGTGATTTCAATACCTGGTTAAGGCAGTGGAGAACTTTCAGAGGGAAATTAGCAGGAGATAACTGATAACTGACATCCATCAAATATGGCACGTGGAACTAGAACAGTCTACCCCAGTGAGCGAAATAAAGGGCTCAGTTCGACATTCCAACCACCTGAAGAAGGCCAGAGCATACAACAGCCGAAACGTTGTGATAAATATGGCGATAAAGATGAGGACAATAGTCCAAATAATGTAAATAATGTACATAATACCTCATCTCAGAAATATAGACGTACTACAAGCTCTAATCAACTCTGAATTGGTTAAACATCTCACCTCACAGTCTTCTTTCAGATAAGCAACATGTCTTTCACTTCCCTCGGTCAACTACTGGTGTATTAATGATTATTGCTGAAAGAGTCTATGAAGCTTTAGATAAGAATGGTGAAACTGTTGCTTTAGATATCTCGAAAGCATTTGACAGGGGTTTGACGTATTGTTTTTCTTCAAAATTGATATGTTATAGTATTTCTGGATGAATTTTTAAATGGATTCAGTTTTTCTTATCAGATTATGAAATGAAGGCCGTCTTGAATGGCCACTCCTCTAGATCTTTTTGCATTAATGCAGGTGCCCCCCCCCTGGAGGTCTATCTTTGCATCTAGTTTGTTCCTAATATTTATCAACAACCTTCCTAATGGTATCAGTTTTCAACTCTGTATATATACTGGTGATCCAACTATTTACTCTGGTCTTAATAGTAAGTCTAATTGTCTAATTGGTTCGATATGCTCATATTAGTAACTCATCTAAAAAATAAGCTACATTCTGCTGATAACAGAGGCAAGGAATGGCTTGTTATAATTAATGTCTCCCAAACAAAACTGCTCACTATTGTCTGAGAGAACCTTTTCTGCTGTTTATAAGCATGGCTGATGCTAACCTCGAGGAGAATAACTCTTTGCACCTTTTTGAGCTAATGTTTTCCACTGACATAAAGTGGAAAGATTATATTGAATCAGTTGCTAGATCTGCTGCTCGGAAAGTTGGTTCACCTTTCTTTGAATATTGCTGCCACATGCTGGTGCTCCTGTTATATATTTAGAGATACTTGATAAAATCTAAAAAAGAATCTGCTATGTTATTGGTCCTGACATCTCAATTTCAGTGACTTTCCCACTGCTGTAATGTAGCTTGCCTGTGTCTTTTCTATAAATATTTCTATGGTAATTATTTTGATGACCTTTCCTCTATGGTACCTAGACTTTATGAATTTAAGTGCAGTACTAGATTGACAGCTAGGTCTCATCATTTTGTAACAGGGCAAGGGCCCCGTTTCAACTTTTGAATGCATGAAATTGCAGGTTAGTGATTTGGAGAGACCACTAACTGGATGATAATTGTTGAATAGTTGAAGAAAATTAATGACAAAATTGATTTAAAATAATAAAATGAAATCACGAACAGTTCCAAGGAGAATCAAACCCAAACTTAAGACAGAATTCAGTAAGATTGAGGAAAAAAAACGAGACTCCCAATCCTTCCCCATTTCTCGCTGATAAGATAAAGACCATTAATGTATCGTTGGAGATGTCCTGAGGAAATAAAACAACATATTTTGTTTACAATACCTTATCGGTAAAGAAAATGAGTTTTGACTGAAAATAACATTTAAAATTATTCTGGGCAAAGGACCAGAAAAACATCTGGTATTTTTACTATAAAAATCTATTTTTATAATGTTTTGACCCCAGTTTGGTGGGTGGGTAAATATTTTCCCATAGCTTGGACCCTAGCAGGTGCTACCACCCCAGGTCAGGTTAGACCTGGGAACAGCAACAATTAAGAGGTATTTCCATGCTTCACAAAACCTTCTGATCAGAGGCTTTGCTGCTGGATGTTTATTGTCATACTCTTGGGTATGATGTAATGCTGGCTTATGGTAAACGGAGATAGTGGAATTCAGGCATTGTCTGCCATCTTTGTGTAGGTAGAGGAAGTCATCAATCGTTGTCATTAGGAAAGATTCCCCTATATATGTTGAGTGTGTGTTACATGTCGGAAATTGTAACAAAGGAAAAAATAATGATTTATCAAAACACAGAGCTAAATCACAAACAAATATTTAATTTACTAAAACAGAACATAAAATATATACAAGATAAACAAATTGTGGCTTACAAAACAGAAAACACAGAATTTACGGGCGAAGTGTTATGAGGAAGAAGGAAAGGGAATCAAGTCTTATTACCACTTTAGGGCTAGTGAAGTAATCTAAGTGCTAATAACTGGAAATCCATAAATGTGAGAATATATTGAATAATTGGTAGTTTGGTCAATGAAAATAGTCAAAACTCTATTTACCAGATTTGTTCCATGTGGTTCTCTTTTGGGGTTTTTGTTGGTCGGAAACTTTTCATATTCTTTCGGCTGGATATAATAATCCTCGAATCTAAAAGCCGGAGTTGATACTGGCAGAAATTTCCTTTCACCAACTGACAACCGTTTTCCAAAAACCTATTTTTATTGGGGCTAGCACCTAATTAGCATATTTCTAGATGTTTCTTGAATCATCTAGATTTTTCTCAAATATACTAGAATGATTTAGAATCTTCCAAACATTCTATTTCTAATTTCTCTATTTTACAACTACTTCATGAAAGAAAACTTTTTTGTATTAACAAGTAGGACTCGGTAGAATCCCTTACTATAGAAATGCATCCTCGTAACAGTGTGTTTGCTGAGATTCATTCTTCTTTGAGTGTGGAGTGTATGTCATCACTAAAGAGCACACCTGCAATTTCCAGGCAGGTAAAAGAGTGCAGACACATGCCTATGACAGAAGAATTGAGGTGTTGATGGGCGTGCCATTAGCTGAACGGTTATAAATAAGAATCTCCCATGCATAACCAAAGAGTTGATTGAGCATCATTTTAATAGATGCCAAATTACCATTCTTGCAGTAGAATATTTTGATTTGCAGTAGCTAATAGTCATTTTATTTAACTAGTTATCTTCATGTCCAATAAAACCTGTCGTTAGAGTTATTAACAGTATTGTGCATTTCATCAAAGGAAATCTTTTTCCAACCTGAGTTCTGACAAGTGCTCTGACAAAAGAAACAAAAGTTTACCATGGCTTTCGAAATTGTTGCATAATTTTCGGTGGGGAATTGCATAATATTTGATGGAGTTGTGCAATTCTGTCCATAATACATTATGTATATAAGAGGTTCACACTAGATTCTGCCATCAATCCCAATATCACAAGATTTTGGGGAAACCTGAAACAACGCTACCGAGATGACACACTGGCTCCAATTGAAGAGGGAAAAGAAAGACAATTGACTGTAAGGTTGTTATTACACAACCAAGCTAACAACTTGCAAATGAAAGAAAAGGAAACAAAAAACAAAGAGTCTGTCGTTGATAGGTGGGGATTACAATTTTAAAAAAATCGCACAAACCAACACTTTTAAGTGTTCGTCTGTGGTGTGTGCATCTCTCTCTCATATAGGGGTGGGTGGTAAAAGTAGACTGACAACTGTTTCACTATTTGTTTCACATTTTATATTTAACTTCACCGAACTGTTCTTTCAGCAAGATGGAGCACCTCCCCATTATGCTTTTTCTTTTTTTTTTTTTTTTTTTGAAATGGCAAGATATAACCCTAAGTTCTAAGCTAACAGTTTCTTCTCTCACACTTCTCGCTTGTGGAAATCTCTTCTGCTGCCTTGTTTCCCAGACAAATTTGATCTCAAAAATTTAAATGCTATCTCAATCGTTATCTTCTGTCTTCTTAATTCCTCTTCTTTTGTTGTTCTCACTCCTTAAAAATGTTTTTCTTTTTTCTCATATTCTTTCACACTCAGTAACCCCCAGTTGTGTTTTAGTGGCTTTATTGCCTTACTTGAGGGAAAATGATAAAAAAAAAATTGATTGAATTTAAAATTTTCATCCTTCAACATTTCTGCTGACATGGTGGCATCACCTTTTATATAAAACTTTCATAAAAAAACTTTATTGAAACATTCTTTTTGTTTTACATTCTTTAATATTCTTATATTAATATTCTTTAATGTTATTAATATTCTTATATTAATATTTATTAATCTTTAATACTATATTATTAATATTATTTAATGTTTTTAATATTCTCATATTAATATTTTTTAATATTAATTTCTATTAAAACTCTATGATGTAAGTAATAATAATTTTTATTTTTTTTACTTCAGGTCATCTCTACCTTGATAGCTTCACCAGTACCAAAGACTTTTATTATTTATCCACGGGAAACCCCCCAGCTCCACCTGAGGTTCTTAAAGAACAATTTGAAAAATGGAGGGTAATTATCTATCATTTTAATTTCCCTGTCTCTCTCTTTTAAATACCATATTTCCTCTGTACACTAAATGTAAGAACTTTAGTGGTTGTCGAAGGGACCTGTATATGTGTTCCAAGGCTTAAAGACTTTTCTACTTATTAGTGGTATGCTAGCAGTAATAATAGGGTTAAAATTATGCAAAATAATTTTTATTGTTGCGTAAAAATATAAAAATAGTCATTTATCTCTTATATGCATACATTTTTGTAATTTCTGTGAGTCTGCTACCACGTGACTCCTTATGAGTAAGGAAATTATCACGTTCTTTAGCTACTGCTGGTCTAAGAGGCAACACGATAATTATATGTTCCCTGCTACTAAGCCTGAATTTTTTCTCTTTGACACCATGTGTCTCGTTTTCAATTTTTTTTTTTTTTTTAAGTTTGTTTCATATTGTTATGTGTATGTTTGAAATGTGTTTTCCTTGCTTGTGTATTTCTTTGAAATGTATTTTGTTTATCCATTTCCCCTTTTGACTGGCACTTAACATGACATCCAACCAGAACTCCAAAATCCCATATACTGACCTAAAACATAAAATCAAGAAAATAATGATGCAACAATGGCAACAAATATGGGACAAAAATACCCACAATAAGCTTTACCAAATAGAACCCATTTTAAAAGAAAGGAAACTGAATCTTAATAATACAAGTAGAGAAGAAACTACCCTTACTCGGCTACGCATTGGACACACTAGACTGACTCACTCCTTCATACTAGAAAGGAGAGCCTCCTCTTAAACGTCCCTGTGGAAACCAATACACAGTAAAACATATATTGATAGAATGCACAAACCTTACACACATTCAAAGAAAGTTCTACAACATTAAGAGTACAAAGGAACTATTAACAAAAATTGATCCAGGTCATATAATAAACTTCCTGAAAAGAATTGGTCTTTTCTGTTGTGTAATTAATATATGCTACCTTTTTAACATTGTGTAAACAAATTGTCTATACTAAATGGAAATCCTTGTTCTAGACAGTAATACCTGGAATTATTTTGCAGTGTGCAAGCAAATAAGCTCTTGCTTGTATAGCTTATAGATGTTTACAAGTCCTATACAGTTTAACCCGTATATAAGAGATCCGGATATAAGAGAAACCCGGATATAAGAGAGATTTTCTCTGGTCCCAAATTAGAGCCTGTGTTAATGTATATAAAATAGACCAAACCCGGATATAAGAGACTTCTTCTCCGGTCCCGGCAACTCTCTTATATCCAGGTTACATATATATAAACTAAATTTGGCATTAAATGACCTACAGTGATTGATAGGCCATAAAACCCAACCAACAAACCAACCCTTTTGACAGATAGTTTTGTTACTAGCTTAAAAGCCACCCTATTGGGTGCATTTAAGCCAGCGCCTGTAGAGAGCTCTTGATTGGGCCTTCATCACAATAGGTAGGGATGAATAGATGCGATAAGCAACAATAAACTACAGAAAAACTCAAAATTGATCACTGCGTTTAAGTAGTGCAATAATATTTAAGCTTACCTTTTAAAAGTTCAAAAATAATTCTCCTGACGTCACTTAGTTTAAAGACAATTTGATGTATGTAGGTCTTTACTTTCTATACAAACAATTATTTTTATTTCATGACTGATTTTCACTGGATTTTGCAATTGATTTTCATTATTCCCAAGTTTATTTTCAAGTTATAAAAATTATCGTACAAAAAATTTTGTCACAAAAATTCATGTAAAATAAAATATCACCAAAAACAATCACAGTAATGGAAACTTGGGAATCCAGAATTTCAGGATAGTGGGTCCAGATCCAACCCAGAATGTTTTTAATTTGTTCACAGTGTCGGCCTGATTCCAAAATAGTATGATATGTTGGTCTACAGCCTCTAGGAGTAAAATTGAAAAAGTGTGACACACTGACATTCACATTTGTTATATAGATTTGTTTTTAGTTTTCAATATGTATTTCCTAAATAAAAGGATAAGATTAGTATGAAGTGCTGACCTTTTTCATTGAGACCTGCGGTCAGTTACAAGAAGGAAGTCCTACCTAGATTTTTCTCGAGAAATGCCACTTTGTAGAACAGGCTCCCACATAGGTGCTTCCTTGAACACTACAATTTTAACCATTTCAAAAGTTGATCTTTATCTGTCCTCCTTATCTCCGCTTCCTATCATCTTTTTCCCCATTCATATCACACACGTCATTCATCTTTATCATATTGATTGTAACTCTCTACCTTGAGTGACTCTCGAACCTTTTATAGAGTGATATTTAGCAAAAAAACAAAACAAAAAATGTTCCTTCAAGATTGACTATCCTGATGCTCCATATCTGCCTTTCTCTATAAACTATGGATTATCATGATTGCCTTCTCCAAGGTTTTGAATTCAGAGTTGTTATCCTAGACTGGTTGCCAACCAAGGCTGGGGAATCCAATCTGTACTGCAGTTTAACCCATAGATGGAATGTAGATTCATGCTTTTCCAATGATGACTATTCACTGCCTTGTATCATACTGTTGCTCTTAAAAGGTTCCTTTTTTTTTAAAAAAAATAAATAATCCTAGTAATTTGTGTGAATTTCTGAGACAATCTATTATTATTTGATGCATTTTAAAATTTTTCTTTTTTTTTTCGTTATTAGAATGACAATATTTTGACTGGTCAACTCTCCAGTCATCTTCAGATGCATCACTTTTAAGAAGGAAGTTTGGAATAGATCTCTTTATTTTCTTCCAGAATTATCAGTTTTAAATACACTCTATCTAGAAATTATAAAAACAAAACAAATCTTTTACATTTTTAGTGGAATTTCTTTAAAAAATGAATCTAGATTTTTATAAAATGTTTTTAAGTTTAAGTATTTTCTGTATTTTAATTTCTATTCATTTTAGGAGACTGTTTATTTTAATTTTTTTTAAAACATTCCCCCCCACCAAAAAAAAAGAACCCTGGATATCCAACAATTATAAAATATATACGAACATCAATAGATTTTCTAAACAAAATAATATTTAGCCAAAAGTTTATTGCTGCACCTTTTGCATTCAAAACCAGAATGACCTGATTTGGCACCAAGTTTGTTTATTTTGAGAGTGCAGATTGAAGAATTTTTCTCCCATGGATCTATGAGTCTGTTTCAGCTCTTAAAGGGTAGAATATTAGTAAATCTCTTGTCATCATTTTCTTTAGGATTAAGTCTTGGAGACTAAATGGCCACTTCATTACAGAGGAAAAATGATCACACAGGTGCAAAACAGTTGTCTTTGCAGAAGTCTTGGTGAATTTTTTCCTTTCTTCCTTATTTATTAGTAGTTTTGGGATTAAACAGTGTTATCACACCTCTTAGTACTTGACTGCTGTCAAGGTTCCATTAGACACAACTAGGCACTGTAGTCCACAGCCAGTAAGACCTCTCCTTATTATAATTCCTTCACAACAAAACCTATGAGGAACCCTTTTTTTGTTTTTCTTGACAAATATCAAGATGCTCTATGGCATCTAACTTCTTTGTAACGTTCACATAAACACAGTTTCAGTTTTGCTTTATTTTAATATAATATATATACAGATGAAAGAAAGGACAGATAGAGTAAAATTCCACTATTCATAGCATTTACTTAAAAGTGCTCAATACAAAGTAGAGCAATATATTATTATTTTTATTATAAGAGATTGTAATAAAAACATGTTGAAATCGCTACACAAGAACTTTCATGTTTCAATAATTTAATTGTACTTCTTTAGACGTTAGCAAGTAACTGGTGATTTAAATAATTTTTAAGAAATATTTAATCACCAGTTACTTACCATATCCTGAAGAAGTACATTTGAAGTATTGAAACATGAAAGCTTTTGTGTAGCGATTTCAACATGTTTTTATTATAATCTCTTATAATATATAAAAACAAAATAAAATCCAGAATAATCTTAGGATTCTATTTAAGAACACTTAGAATTTGCAACCCTCAATATTTACACAAAGAGGAGAAATATATTGAAAATACATTCAAGACCCTTCAGTACTCTTTCATATTCAATGCAAAACAAAAAAATAAAATATTCTAAAATAGAAGAGCTGTCCTTCCTGACAAAGCCAACGAATGAAAAAAATATATTATTCTACCCACTAACTCTATCACAACTACAACCGAAAAGAATTTATCTAAACTCAACATAAAATTTGTCACAACTACATCCAAAACCATCAAGGACTTAATCAATAAAAAAAACCCAAAAAAACAAAACTTGAAGGGGGAATTTGCTCTATCAAGTGCAGGAATTGCCAGAATAAATACATTGGGAAAACCTCAATTAGTTTAAACAAGAGACTATACGAACATAAAAGGGACATTTTAAATAACAACGCACAAAATTCGTTGGTTGTTCACCATAACGAAATAGACCACAATTTTGACATAAGGAATGCTACTTTGATTAAAAGTATCTTATAATTTATCACCATTCTTGAGAGATTTTCTATTGTCACAATGTGGGATAGAGACAAAGGTGATGGAGGGAAAAAGAAAAAGAATACAGATGAATTTCGCTAGATTGAAACAAAAAATATTCTTTCAAAAATTTTGAAACTACCAGCATCTCTCATTTTGTGTTCATGTGTAGACATGGCAACATCAACAAAGCCCACCCTGATGAAATCCTAATGGATGAAACGCATCACAAAAACTTCTTCCCAATTTGTCATACTATTTTTATAAATACTGTTGATATATAAAATTGTACAAAATTATATATATGTATTTTTTTTTTTTTTTTTATAAAAATTAGGAGGTCAATTGATTTTGCTACCTTGGTTTCAACTTTTTGGTATTGTCAGGCAGTTTGTATCAAAAGATTTTCCAGTGCTTTATTTTATTTTGTTTATCATCACTTGCTTTTATAAGGTCAAATGATGAAAATGTGTTGGCAAAGACTATTTTCTGATTGTAATTTTATCACTACAAGTAGGTGAAGAAAAGGTTAAAGAAATGATTCTATAGCACTTATTGGTGGGGGGTGGGAGATGTGCATGTTGCTAAAGGAACAAGATTTTCTTAGGTTGGACAATTTTGGTCAAGTTAATAAAAGAGGAAGAATTACAGCCCAAAGGTGATAATTAGGAAGGACTATTTTCTGATTGTCTATTTTATTCAATTTCTCTTCTCTACAGATTCATTCTGAGAACTTTCAACACATTGTAGAAAATACATGATTTTTCAGCTTTGAGGTAAACCAATTATGTATATATGAAATGATCTGTCTACAAAAATATTTTGATAGGAAATGATAAGAGGCATTGTTTTTGCAGATATGTGGGCAAGATAACAGTTAATCACAATAATATTTGAAAAAAAAAAGTCTTGTATGCTCCAAACAGGTTTTCTTTTTTTTTTGTTTCTTTTTTTGTTGTCATAATTAAATTTCACTGTAAAAACTGAAGACTTTATTTTATGTTTCTAGGCTTGCCTGATTACTTGTGACGTATCATTTGATGATGTGACCCGAATTTTGGCTGCTGTCCTCCTGTTAGGAAACATCACATTTGTGGGAAGGTCTGGTTTGGAATTGGATGTCAAAGGTCAAAATGGTAAATTATTTAAAATTTTTTAGCCAATTTTATTGAACTTCTAGATATTCTTACTCTTAGTGTTTTCTCACAAGCCAATTCTAGGTGTATAGTAGTTTTCTGTTATATTACAAATTCCTGGTGGCAAGTGTCCCCCCCCCCCATTTTTTTTTTTTGCTTTGGAGGTTCCAGGCCTGATATTTCATGACCCAATGTTAATTGTCCTGGTTGATAGGAGGACAACTGACTTTGTGACTTCCAGAGGCTTCTGTGTTTTCATTACACTGCATCATGCCAGATTCTTGCTTGAAGTTAAGCAACATCAAACCTGGTTAGTATCTAGATGAGTGACTGCTTGGGAATACCAGGTGCTGTAAGCTTGGATGTACAGGGGTGTAATGGATAATGGCTCCCAATGGAAATCCGAGAACAGATTTCCAATTCCAGTCAGGTTTGTTATATTCACTTATGCACAAATATCCTTGGAAATGAATCCACCTCTCATCTCCCCAGGTATGGGTTAATTAGTAGGATTTGTGTCAGTAAATCATTATCTCCAAAAAATTCTTACAATCTATAAAGATTTTCTGGGTTGTGATGAAAATTAAATCTTAGCTTCTTTTCTATGAATTTAAGTACAAAATAGTAAGACTTACATAGGCACATATATGGTAATGGTAATATTAGCCGTTTCCTTGTAAGGAAATATTCAGTATTCATTGACCAAGCAGCCAGTGCCACTGTTGTTTGAAAATTTATAAAATTTTTCTTTTAAAACAATTTTTCAGGAAAATAGGTTTTCTTAAGTACACTGTTATTGCTGTTTCCAGTGTTGATGGGGAGTTTCCTTTCTAACCTTTTGCTTGAAGTAGTGTGGAATGTCAACAGCTTGATTTATGCCATTATTTTCTCTTTGAGTTACATGTGCTATCCATTTTAGTTGTTGCTGTGATGTTGTTTTCTCTTATTTGGTACAGTTTTTGATGTGATTTTGTACACCAGTCTACAAGGTTCAAAGAAGGATGGTCTTTGCCAAGATTCACAGGTTCCATTTGCCATTTTTAATCATTTGTATTATAAAGTGGTTATATATATATATATATATATATATATATATATATATATATATATATATATAGAGAGAGAGAGAGCTGACAGTTTAGATATTTCTGAATGGACATTATTTACATTTTCCTCATCTTTGTCACCATATTTATTACGTTTTCTTTAGGTGGTTGGAATGTTGAACTGAACCCTTTATTTCGCTCACTGGGGTAGACTGTTCTAGTTCCATGTGCCATGTTTTAATAGATGTCAGTTATCAGTTATCTCCTGTTAATTTCCCTCTGAAAGTTGTATATATATAACTGGGTATTGAACTCACACTCTTTGGGTCCTGTCACTGGATCTAACCAACGCCTTTATCCACTGTGTCCTTGAGGACATCTGTGTATGAATTTCTGGGTATTATAAACCTAATGTCTTCAGCAATTGATTTTTACCAGTGCTCATATTGCAATTTTTGCTGTTATTATTACTTTTCTCTGGCACTCTTTATTATGTTTCTATATTGTATTCATTTCTATGCTTGGTCGGCTCAGGAGATTTTTGTGGCCTAGCATATATGCTGATTTCTTAAGTTTATGAATTTTCCAGTGGTGTTCCTTTTCTATGATCTCAACCTGCTCCCACAGAGGGTGGTGATCTCCCTTCTTTCTCCATATGTGGTCAGCCATGCCTGACTTTTCAACTTCCCCTCATGTTACAGGTTTTTCTGGTGTTCTTGAAGCCTTACCTTAAGGGGGCGGTGTTGTCCCCTTTATGTTTCTTTCCACAGCTGCACGGGATAGTGTATACACAGTCTTTAGTCATGTTCTCCTCTATGGGGGAGTCTTACTTGGGAGAGATATCTGTGAAGTGTCGTCAAGCTTTTGAAGGTTGTCCTGATGTTATATGGACCACAGATCCTTTGAATTTTCTCTGATAACCCCTTCACATAAGACAGGCAGACTGTTTTCTGAGTGTTGTTATCCTTCTCTTGTACCCACCTATCCCAGTCCGAATAATGTAAATAATGTACATAATACCTCATGGGTCTTAATCTGATGAGACTATTTAAGAACATGACCAGTTTTTTGGTATATGTTCTGGTTTTGTATCAATTTGCATTGCACAACCTGGATTTATATTCAATTTTCCTTCTTTCCTATGTCACATTCATTATAACTGATCCATGCTTTTAATATGAAATATCTAAATAAAACCAGCTATTAAAATTAAGTCCATGCTGGACTATTGATTGGCATTTCTTTTTTTATACTTTCGGATAATTAGCCGATCATTTTGTGCAGAATAGTCATTAGTCAGTAAAGGGATTTATGGTTAGCCATTTTGTATTTAATTCTGAGACACATTTCATTTTCTTCCACCATATGTGGATCAGCCTGTATACTAAACAAAATCCTACCGGAATTCATCATTGGCGGCCACAATTTTAACAACATAAGATATGTAGATGACACAGAGCTGATAGCAGACACAGAAAAGAAATTACAAAACCTCTTACAGTAGGTAGCGACGGAGAGTGAAAAGAAAGGACTAAGATTAAACTACAAGAAAACGGAATGCATGGTCATCAGTAAAAGATGAGCCCAAAATGCGATTTACAGGTCGGGGACACTAAAATCAAGCAGGTGCAGAAATATAAAACTCTGGGAAGTATTCTGACAGAGGATGGTAAGTGCAATGCTGAGATCTAAAGACATATCCAGATAGCCAAAGACGCATTCCAAAAGCTAGGCAGAGTATTATGAAACAGGAGAATTTTGTTGGTAACAAAGAAAAGAGTTCTGAACTGCTACGTGATATCTGTCCTCCTTTCGTCACCAAATGTTGGACGGTCTCCTCAAAGAAGAAGAAGAGACTCTAGGCAACTGAGATCCAAAGATGTATTGGGATGGCCAAAGACGCATTCTAAAAGCTATGCAGAGTATGACGAGTCAGGAGGATTTTGTTGAGTACTGAAAGTGCTACGTTTTGAAGAGGATGCAAACAAGGAGGAAGCTTATGCTTAACATCAGGAAGAGGCAGCTGAGGTTTCTGGGACATGTAATGAGAAAAGAGGGCTTGGAGAATCTGATACTCACAGGGTGAATAGCAGAAAAGAGAGACAAGGGAAGGCAATGTGTGATATGCCTAGTGGGCTTAAGCAAGTGGATGACAGAACAGGGTCTGGGAGAAGTAGCAAAGGGGCAAAACATGTTGAGAACTACAAGGGATAGGGAAAGGGTGGAGAGCCATAATCGCCTATGTCCTGAAAGATATTCCAAGATTTATGAAGTTAAAAAGATGCTATCAGAAATGAATCATTGTATAGATACCAGAACTTTAAAAGTAGGATGAAATTTAATCAAAAATGCTTCAAAGAATTAAGAATGAATTTTTTTTTCCCAGTCAATTTTCTTAAACGTAATATAAACAAAGGGAAAATTTTGGTAGTTTAATAAAAGAGGAAGATGTCTTGGAATGGCATTGGGCTGGAGAAAATGGATTGAGATTTGAGAAAGAGGATTTAAAATATTTTTTTTTTTTTTTTTTTTTAGTTAATGCACTGCTGTTTTAAGGAACTTAAAAATTTACAATGAAAATCATGAAGGTTGGAGAATGATGTGAGATTGGAAGATCTGTAGGAAATTCCATGTCGTCCAGGTTTTTATATTAAAAATTTAAATATCTGAATTCCAAACACTAATAAAATAAAAATAAAGAAAACATGCGTATGCTTGTTAAATAAATCATTTGTATTTACAAACATATGTACATGAATTCAAAAGAGTTAAAAAGTATTCTTTAGTTGAGTTAGTCTTTTGGTAGAGTTGGTACACAGAAAAATCTGTGATTCAGAAAAGATTTTTAAATAATTGGTTTCACAATAAAAAAAAAAAAAAGCAGTGGTTGAAGAAAGGCTTTTATCATTAGTGAAAATTCACTGACCATCTTTGTTGTTGTTGGAGATGATTCATTTGAAGTCATGCACACATCTTTCTTTTCAGCACATGCTGGGGGAAAAAAAGTCTTTTCTTATATTTGCTTTGTAGACCACTACATAATCGGCTCATAGAAATTGAAATGTGTGAGTTTTTATAAGAAATTTTTTCCCAAAATTAGATTTGATAAAAATAGGGTGTTTTCTCAGATTGGTCAAATATTTTACATGCACCCCTCCCAGTTGGGATCAGTCATTATAACATCTACAATCCTTTTATTAGCTTCATAGTATGTGCTTTGCTAAGGCTACATATGATTTTGTCCTGCTATTTTACTCATAGCTGAGGAGAAGAGATGTATTTACAATTTTTGAAAGGATATTAACATGTAAGTGAATGTAATGAACTCTCATGGAATTTGAACTCTGCTCTCTGATTCCTCAATCCGAGCTGCTAACCATTACTCCACTGTATCATCCCATTTGCATCACATGATGATGTTAATTTCTAACCAATATACACTTAAAGTGGTATGTATGTTGGTATGTAATTTGTGTTGGGAATAGTCTTTATTTCCTATAGATGAATCTTTGCATCTAAATCATAGCATTCTCTTTGAAAATGGAAACCATTGTTCAAGAACTAGTTTATCTTGTACCCTCTCAGAACTCAAATTCTTTAACTCAATACACAGCTCATATGACCAGAAGTAATCTCAATTTCATTCAGCTTCCAGAATACCACCCAAAAATACCAGGGTCATAAAACATCTTTCTGACCAATCAGAAAAAGGTCCATGTGGTTTTTGCCCTTAGCTGATTCACTATAAATTCAATTCTGATTTCACTCACAAAGATAGATCTGACCTATCTGGCATTAGCAATGGACCCTCACAGCAGACAAGCTTAACTCAACATTGCAGACTACACAACAGCTAGGGCCATCAGCAGTAACCCCAAAGTGGTTCCATCAACAGTGATGCCTTCAGTTAGTGACCAAAACAATAGCAGCAGAAACTAACTCTTGATTACAACAATGTGATAATTTCAGAGAATATTTCTCCCATAATGTGTTGATTTTCTCAATGTATCTATCCTGACTATTATCTTGTGTTATACCCTGAACCAACTCTCGGCCTCCCACAACTGATATAGGATACTCTGGAATGAGTAAATGATTGAATCTTGTAGATCACAGGAAATAAGAACTCTTTCACTTCTCTCAACCAAGTCTTATCTCCAATTACTATTTGACTATTGTCTTTTATTCCTTCTTGTTAATGATAAGTCTGCTATTACAACGTTAAACAACTGGAAATGCAAATAGAACTCTAGTCTGTCCTAGGTAAGACAACAAAGTACATCCACATCCTGGGTAAGATGATAAACTACATCTGAGAGCAAGGCTTCTGATCAGGAGGTTTTGAGGAGCATGAAACCAACTCTTAATCGCTGGTGTTTGAATTTCATTTGGGATTAGATTGGAGAAACGAGTTTTATTTCCAGTTGCATTTGTTATGTTAACTTACATTCAAGTACTCTAGGGAAAGTTATGAATTCACCTCTTCTCCTCCAAGCTATAGATTAAATACTAGGACTTGTATCTGAAAATCATTATCTCAAAAAAAATAGTTAGTACATTATTACCAAAAAAAAAAAAAAAAAAAAAATTAGGAGATCAATTGATTTTGCTACCTTGGTTTCAACCTTTTGGTATTATCAGGCAGTTTGTATCAAAAGATTTCCCAACGCTTTATTTTTATTTTGTTTATCATCACTTGCTTTTGATAAGGTCATTGATGAAAATGTGTTGGCAAGGACTATTTTCTGATTGTCTATTTTATTCAATTTGTCTTCTCTACAGATTCATTCTGAGAACTTTCAACATGTAAAAAATACATGATTTTTTCAGCTTTGAGGCAAACCAATTATGTATATATGAAATGATCTGTCGACAAAATATTTTGATAGGAAATAATAAGAGGCATTGTTTTTGCAGATATGTGGGAAAGATAACAGTTAACCACAATAATATTTGAAATAAAAAAAAGTCTTGTATGCTCCAAATAGGTTTTCTTTTTTTTTGTTTATTTTTCATCATAATTAAATTTCACTGTAAAAACTGAATACTTTATGTTTCTAGGCTTGCCAGTTCTTTTAGGACAAATGTCATATCAAGGGAGTTATGCCCCTTGATCAGAACTCTCTAGGACAACAGAGAAGAAAAAGGATTTCAAGATGGCTATCATGTATTCTTTCATGTTCCCTATCAGGACACAATTAATCTATCAGTTATCTACTGGTCAACATTATTAATTGTTGCAAAAAAGGTATATTGGTTTGAAGTACCAGTTGTACCCTGTCTTTTTACAATCGCAATTGGTGAGATTACTGCAAAAATCCACAAACAAAGCTCAACTCTGCTGCCCACTCTACTCATGGAGAGTGGTGATGTTCTCTCACTCATGCTCATTTTATCAAATGGCTGAGGCTCAGAAATTTGCATAAGCCACAAATTCATCTTGCAAAGTCTCTGAACTACAAGATCAAGTATTGTAGCTTTTGGATTGGCTATGTTTTCTTCCTAGTATCTTGCAAGACGTGTACAAGTGTATGTTTTTGTTTGAGGAGGTAAAGCCATTTTCCCTTCTACTTTAATTTTCTCTTTCTTTTTCAGAACTGAAGGCTGTTGCTGCTCTACTTGGTGTGTCTAGTATAACACTATACCAAGGCTTGACAACAAGAACTTGTATTACACCTGAAGGTATAAATGCAATTCCTATATCAAGTGCTAACAGCGTAAGTAATATTTATTTTGTAAGCAACAATAAGATAGAGTAAAACCTGTAATAAAATAATTGTGTAGTAAAACTGGGACCTTACAGCGGGAAAATGGTATTTCCTGAAGAACTGCATTCAATCAGGTAATTGCTGTGCACTGCCACCGATGCCACTCCTCAAGAGAGACAATTCCAATACCGACACCAGTGTGTCCTGAGTATGACAATAAACTACATCCCACAGCAAGGCCTATGATCAGGAGGCTTTGAGGAGCATGGAACCTCCTCTTAATTGCTGGTCTTCCCAGGTCCACCCTGACCCGGGGTGGTAGCATCTGTTAGGGTCACAGATATGGGCAAATAGTTAACCCAGAAACTGAGGTAAAAGGCATTATAAAAGTGTAAAAATAGCTTTCAATACCAGAAATACTTTGCAAAAAATTATTACCAGAAATAAATTTTTGAAGAAAAAATTACCTGCAATATGTTTTAGAAAAAATATCAGCTATACGTTTTTGGAAAAAATATTACCACCTATACATTTTCGAGGAAAAAAAAATATTAACAGAAATAGATTTTTGACAAAACAAAAATATTACCAGAAAAAAAAAAGTTGTCAGCATTAAATGACCCATTGAGGTTGATATGCCACAAACCAAAACTGAACAAAGCAAAAGCAAAGCAAACCAAACCAAACCAAACCAAACCAATGCCAGTCCCCAGTGGACTCTTCTTACCAGAGCTGGACACCAAACTGTTAATCATTGATTAATGAAGTTGTCATTTTTGTTGACAATTTGACTATTAAGTTGACCTTGAGAATCATCAGAAGTGGGCACTGTTAACAAGATGTTAACTTTTTTAACCGTCAATTCATTAATCAAAAAAATTAACTCTGTTAACCGTTGATTAGTTAGTTCTTTAAAAATGTAACGGAAATTATCAATAAACCGTTAAAGTTCTGGGCCTGTTCCTAATGAGGTCTAGTGGCACTGACAGTTTTAACTTCAATGACATTAACAGATTCAAGTTCTTGAGATGCCATGATAATGTTCAAATTTGGCTTGGGGGTTGAATCTTTGGTGAAAATGTTAACTGTGGTGAACAGTCTCGTGGAAGCAAGCGAGCCAGAGTGGCTTGCATCTGGTGTATAGGAAAATAAGGGTCTTACCTTAAGTTGCTGCATGTGACATCAGCAAGTTTGCTTTGTGAAAATAGCATTACTCTCCCATCCAGCCATCCTAGCAGTATGTGCAGTGATGATGGTTTTTTGTACAGTTTGGAATGCTTCCACCAATAGCAAGTCGTGTGCTGATTGGTTGAACTGGAGGAGGCAATTTGCCTGTGTAACCGAGAATAACAGCGAAGAATGCTGATTGGCTGGGGAACTGCAGTGTTGGCCTGATAAAAAAGTGCTGGAGCCGTGAAAAAGGGAATAGTAATGTTGGCTATACGTAGTGACGTGTGAAGAAAGCAAGGACGGTGAATTGAACCAGCGATATTGTGATTTGTACAAGTGACATTGCAGCAATACAGACTTATTTAAGATTAATAATTAAAGTGATTAATGGTTTAGTACCCAGCTCTGCTCTTTACCCACCTGGCTAGCCACCCCTGACACTGTCTTCTTCTTGTAGTAAAACTGCAAGAAGCTAGAGACCTTTGTTGAAGGCTTCATTCACCTAACAAAGAATACAGAAAGTAAAAAAAAAAAGATATTAAAGTGGTACAGTTCATCTGAGATGGAATAAGGGTTTTAAATTAGTTCAAATAGTAATGAAGAATGTATTGACACTTTTGTGATAAAACATAGTAATAATAAGGGTGATTAAAATTAGTAATCTCTCTTTTTTTCTTTATTGTCGTCTGTTTAGTTGTCAATGGCTGTATCAACTTGTTTAGGGTGAAATGATTAAAAAAAGAAAAACATATTGTGAAACTTTCCTCCGGCTTCTTGCTTGACAATTAAATATGATCTTCAAAAACTTGCAATGTCAACCATCATCTTCTGTTGCCTTGAAATCCATTCTTTTATTGTCCTCTCTCCTTAATATTGACTTTTTTTTTTTTTTTTTTTTTTAAAGACTATTTCACACCCAGTAACCCTTTACATCTTTATTGTATTGCTTGGAGAAAAACAATAAAAAAAATAACCCAATGTATTTATAACAGTCTTGGCAAATTTATTATGGAACCTTGAGAATTGTGACCTTATGAATTGGGAGAAATTATGTCTTACTGTGGACTTGTTCTGTATTGTGTACATGTGTTCATTAGAAGTCTCCTTGTTTGTTGTACAAAAGAAATCCACTTACCTTAAAAAACGCAGAAAGCATGTGTCTTCTGATGGCATGGTTCCATGCTACAAATAAAAAATGGGGCAGACTCATTCTGTCATTTATAAAAGAAAACATTTGATGGAATAGCCTGGATGTACTACCTCCAGGGTCCCAAGGTTCTCGACAAAATCCAAAGACTGATATGCAATGTGATCTGTCCTGACTTGTGGTCTTGACACCAGTCATGTTCTCACTGATGTAATGTGGCTTCCCTCTGTCTTTTCTATAAATATTTTCATGGCATCTGTTCTGATGAGCTATTTTCATTGGTGCCCCTGACTGCATGAATTTAAGTATGTTACTAAGTTGGCAGCTCGGTCCCACCCTTTTACTGTTGAAACAGTTAAATGTAATGGCCTCTTTTAATCCAACAGCTTCTTCTTTTGCACTTCCAGACAGTGGAACTCCCTTCCTCTTACTTGCTTCCCTGATAACTATAATCTTCAAAAATTTAAATGTAATATCAATCGGCATCTTCTGTTGCCTTGATCCCCATTCTTTATCTTTCTCCGTTCTTTTTATTCTTTCCTCAATCCCCCCACCTCTATACCCAGTCTTTTCCTTATTTTCACTCTCTGTAACCCCTTGTCTACTAATTCTTGTTGTACTTGGGGTGAAATGCTTAAAAAAATCCAGATGTGCTGGTTACAAAATGCATATAAAACCAGTGGCAGTGAACAATGGTGCAGCTAGCTGAGGTGAAGAATTGCTCAGTGAATTTAGTAGTTTACTACATTCATTCAGGAATTAATAAATGTCACAAATATATGTTATTGTTATGATGCAACTGCAAAATACTCCTGACGGTGCTTAAATCACAAATCTCAGTCATTTCTTCATTTGCTTATCTTGGGAATTTTCAAGTTTTATTTTGGGTGTCTACATTGGATGTTGCAAACTTATTGTGAATCTCTCAGTCATGAAGCAACCAAATGTATTTCTAGCAGTTATAGAGAATTCATTTGTCATAGAACACTGGAGGGACATAAAAATTGTCTGTTTTACATTTGTTAATGTTTATTTGACAGATATTAAGTATGTGTGCTTAATTCAAGTAGTGGCGGTTACAGTATAGCTACAATTTACTCCTGATGGTGCTTGGCCAAAAAGTTGGTAACCCACTTAGCTTATATTGGGAATTATGCAGATATTAACAAGATAATGTATTAGCAGAATTACTTGTAAATTTGTTGGCTTTGAATACATCTCTTGGAAGATCAGATGTCTACTTGTTGACAACATAGTTTTGTACACTTTTCTGGTCAAGTTTTTCTGTAAGGAAGTGAGGATTTTCAGGTGAATAATAATTAAAATTGATATACCTTTTGGCCCTTTGATAACTTTTTAGTGACAAGATTGAAGCTATCAAGTTTATACATCCTACCAACCTATTCAGGCAAAAGTTAGGGTCAAGTTGGGGGGATTTACTTTGTGAATAGTTTAAGACATCTGAGTTATCCACTGGTTCAAGACTCACTTCAACCTTAACTTCCATCTATTCTCAGCTCTCTTTTTTTTGGGGAGGGGGGCAGGGACTAGACTAATTAACATTTTTTAATTATTTTATTTTTTTCTGAAAATATATCCCATTCTTTATTCAGGTTTAATTGACAACTTTTCATTTTGTTTTCTTTTGATCCAACATCCCAAAATAGGATCTTGTATTACTTAATTCACTGGTTCTTTTTCAAGCCTCCTTGGGTGGATTACATGCCTCTTCATGTGGAGGGTCACTCTGACTTTGTTACAAAAATAGACAAAAGAATACTTTTTTTTCCCCTCTTATTTTCACTGGCAAATGTGCCATCTTCCATGATGAGCCAGGTGGATGGAATAAAGACTAGGTAGGTACTGATGAAAACCAATATTTTTTCAGAAAATATATCTTATTCCTTATTCTGGTTTAATTGACAATTTTTCATTTAGTTTTCTCTTGGTCCCATATCCCAAAACAGGATTTTGAATTACTTAATTTACTGGTTACCTCAAGCCTCCTTGGGTGGGTTACATACTTCTGCATGTGGAGGTCACTCTCACTTTGTTACATAAATAAGCAAAAGAATACTTTTTTTTTTTTTTTTTTTTTTTTTTTTAACTGACTAATGTTCTATCCTTCTTGGTGGGTCAGATGGATGGAATAAAGGCTGGGAGGTATTGTTGAAAACCACCTTCACAGCTTAAGGCATCAAAAAACGTGGAACTGGTGTGTTATTTTTTTCAGCAGTTGAAACCACTCTTTATTTAATCTTCTTTCTCCTTGAATCCAGTTCTTTTAACCTTGTGTGCCTTAGTGGCTTTATTACCTTACAAAAACAAAATATGATTTTTTTTTCTTTTTTATCTTGACAGGTTCATGCTTCTAGAAATGCTCTTGCCCAAGCTCTGTATATCCGAAATGTTTGGCACAAGATCATAATAATTAGGCATCTATAAGGATTAAACTCCTGATACTCTCAATGATCAGCAAGACTTGTTAACAACTGTCTAGTAAGAGTAGCTTATTAACCATAACTCTCTACAGCTTATGTAGATAGTTATTTTAGTTTAGTGTGAGGAACGAGGAAACTTACCTACCGCAAAGCGAATTTGCTTGGCATGTCAGATCCTGTTGAAAGATCACAACCGGCATTAAAAGGGAAATGGATTATTTCGAAATTCCTATATCATGGGCAGGTGTACAATGAAAAAAAAATTTAAAAAAAGACCAGCTTGAATTTATAAGATCGGAAGTCCCGGGTGAACAAGTAGTAAGTCTTGTATGCAAATTTTACTTGCCCCCCCCCGATGCAGGCATAAATAGCGAGTCTGTGAGAAAGACGCAAGAAGGGTTGTTGGTGTTACGGTGTATGTGTGTACTAATGAGAGAATAAGGAAAAGGTCACTCGCGACAGCTCAGTTGGTAGAGCGGACAACTGGGAAAGAAAGCAAGCGCTTTAATCCATTTCAGTCAGCGCAAACGACAGGTGAACTGAATTACTCACAGGTCACAATAGTGGGGCACCCATTGAGGATCAAACACTAAGAATGATCTGTAAAAACATTAATTTATGGCAGTTGTTTAATTTGGTTTATATGTGGGAGGGTTGCAGAGAATCCTGGCCCATTTTCCCAAACCTGATCAAATAGAATTTATTTGGGCATTTCTTCTTGATCACATATGGACAATTTCGTCTTGGTCCAACAGTAACAATGAAAACAAGATAACTAATTTGTTATCCTTATCTAATTAAATGTATTGTAATTCTCTCTATCATTGTTTATTACACAATTTCATTTTCTTTTTTAAAATCATATACAGATTGTTGGTTCATTCTTTTTTTTTTTTATCTTGACAGGTTCATGCCTCCAGAGATGCTCTTGCCCGAGCTCTGTATATTCGAACCATTCACACGATTGTACGAAAAGTAAACAGCGTATTGAAGACCCAAATGACAAAAAAGAAAGGAAGAAAACTATCCACTGGCAGCTGTAAATCAGGTAATTCTAACACAATATTATTTCATAAATATCTTTGCCTCTTAAGATTGTTTTTCCCAATCAAAAATGATGGTTTTTTGTGTTGTGACTTGAAAGATCATGTGAAAAACGTTACAGTAAAGTTAGTTGTGCCTGGAGAAATTTTGTACAAAATATAACATTTATGCCAAGAATACCATAATCAAGAAAGTCAGAACTTGTTGAATGTCTTTCTAGCAGAGGAAGAAGAAAACCATGTCTTGAAGGCCGGAAGCAAAGCTAAAAATGAAGTATTGCTACCATATTTAGGCTGGAGCTGCCAGGCCTCACCTTTTCAGGCCTTGAAAGAGTTCAAAAGTATCTCCACAGCCCTGTGGGTGATGAATTATTTTCCACCCTACAGCCCCTTTCCTCACAAATGAAATGTTCCTTGCCTCTTGCTACTCTATAGCAGGGTTGTGGGGTTGGAGTTGCAGTGTCTGTAAAACTATACAGAATATGACTCCAGTTGAATTTACACTTTATGTAAAAAGTCTTACATTATAGAATTTTTATTTTTATTGTTATTTCTTCTACGGTATATTTATTATTTCCTTTAAAGAAATTCATCGCAACTTCTTTTTTTAAGCAATTTTATTTTTTGTAGTTATTTTGTATTTGCAAAACTGTATAAGTAAAAAAAATCTTACATTAATAGAATTTTTATTTTTATTATGTCTTTTTTTTGTGATGTTGGACAACTTCACTTGTCACTTTTGCTATGTCAAGCAGAAACTCATTATCACTTCCAAAAATATTTGTTATATTCAAGACTTCGTAGACGCTGGTACTAGTAGTAACGCCTTCCAATAATATCTGCACTAGTAATACTTGTTCAAGTAGTAATTGCCAAATAATATAATGATCAGAAGAGAATCATAATCCATAGAGTAGAGAGTGAACGTATAGCAATAGTGGATAGACAAGAAGAGTGAACAGTGACCCTTACACTACTTCATATTTATTCACTTCCCTTTATGATCACGTGATCTACTTAATAATGGAATTGCCCGTGAGTAACACGGGTGATCAAGTTTCAAACCACAGTGTTGGCAAAGACACTCTTATACAACACTTTTACATCCTGTAAAAGATTATATTTCAACTTCTGTTATAAAGTAGTTTTATTTTTGTTCTGTGTTTATTTCTTATTTCCAAAGATATATATATATATACTGAGCTGAAAGGAAATGTTCATGTTTGTTACATGATTTAGATATTTTCACAAGGAAAAATTGCTAGTCGACGAGAGTCTACCATATTGGAAAGAAATCAGCCCAGTGTTACTGGATATATCTGACTAATGATTGATGTTATTTTTATACAATGAAATTAATTAAACCTGTGTTGGCATACACAAATTACAAGTATAGCAAACTGTCATGCTTTAGCACAAAAAGCAAAATGACTTTAGCACAAAAAGCAAAATGGCTTTAGCACATGAGAACATCCCTCAATTGGTCTATATATCTAAAACAATGTCAATCCACAGAAACAATATAAATACATTCTGAACATTTTTGAGTTGCAGGTCAGAGAAGATTTTGACAATTGCTTGAGACCAGCAGTAGAAATTCTCTGTCTCTATCCCTTGACTTAAAAGATTCCAGTTGGTATTCAACCAATTCTACTCCGCTCACTTCTTTTAGATTTAAGCAACATCTAGTCTGGTTAATATTTAGATGGGTGACTGCTCTGGAATACCAGGTGTTGTAAAGTTGGGAATGTGTGGGGATGCAATAGCGACTCGGAATAAGAAATCAGAGATTTTGAATTCCAGTTGAGTTCATTCCATTCACTTACACGTAAAAAGTATAAATCTATCTCTTCACCCCCCAGATTTGAATTAAATGCTAGGATTTGGTCCTGGAGAATCATTGTTGCAGATAAAAGTTAATTCCAACTCTTGCAAAATGCTCTGAGCTAGCACTGAAGAGGAAGGCTCGCCAAACGACATGACAATGCCAGATGAATTCTGTCATGAGTTAAGTCAAATGAGTTCACATTCTGCTGTAGGCAGAAAGAGTGTTTTATAATGATATCAGCAGTAGAGCCCGGCATTGCCCGGGGATGTAACAGTAAGAGATAGATCAAGTATTGACCATCATAAAGACTGAAAAATAAAATTGACAAAGATTATTGTTTAAGGTTGACGGACACACATGTCTTAATTTTTTTTTTTTTTTTTTTTTTACAAATTGGTCAAATCCAAACTCAAACAAAAACATTGTTTTCAATTGTTATGAGTCTACCGATTGAATAGAATTTTATTATAAACAATTGTCTTGTAAATGGAATTTTTAAAGCATTCTGTATTTAAAAATAAAGAAAAAAGTATGCAAGACAATAAGAAACACTACCTGCCAAAAAAAAAAAGAAGTGAAGTTTTGTTGAAATCGGTTGAAAAATGTAGGAAATCCGATCCCATATATAAATGAACACACACAAACAACCTGGGTTTTATAATAAGTATAACTCGATATGAGTTGTCCCCCTTTTATTCTCATGATGCCTCTTAATCGTTTTTTCAAATTGATTTCATGCAAAAACAATTGTTTTTCCAATTTTTGGTGCTGTCAGAACCACCACAAGGTAATTTTACATAGTCTTGTGAAGTTTTGTTGAAATCGGTTGAAAAATTTAGGAAATTCGATCCAATATATAAACATACAGACACACACACACACACAACCTGGGTTTTATAATAAGTATGATGTCTATAGGGCATATATGGACTGGAAGTCCCTGAACTGTTGCTGTTCTTAAAGTCAACAAGAATGGCTCAATTGTTTCTGTAAATCTGCCATTAATTTTTTATTGTTTGACACTAAGACTTTTTTTTTTTTTTTTTTTTAAATCAGTATCACCCCAAACAATACAGTTGCCCGCATGCAAGGGGTTAAAGGGGGTGGAGGAATTAGGAACAGAAACATTAATAATGAGGAGAAAGAGAAAAGAGCAATCAGGAGGACAGTTGCATTTAAATTTTTTCAGATTAAAGTTGGCTGGAAACCATAGAGCCAGAAGAGAGTTCAACAAGTGAGAGGTGTGAGAAAAGAAACTGTTAGCATAGAAGTTGCGGTTACATCTAGCTAGCTCAAGTTTAAAATGAGGAGATCTTGCCACCAGCCTAATTCGCTTAATTTCATACAGTCTAGGTACCATACTAAAGAACTCATCCGAACAATTACCATGAAAATTCAGTGGGCAATTGACTGAAGCTGAGCCATGAGATCAGGACCAACAATATTGCCGATTCCTCTTTGGATCTTATCATGAAACTCCAGGTAAATAGCAGGGGCACCAGACCATTTATTGCAGCAAAATTTCAAGGATGGACAAATGGTAGACTTATAGATGTACAAGATAGATTCCAGAGAGAAAAATTCTTGGGAAGGTTATTATTCTTGTGTGAGTTTTTATACAGCTATGTTGCATAGATGTTCCAATCAAGGTCATCATCTGATGACCTGTGTGGATCTTTAAACCACAGCATGGAAAATAGGGGTCAGAGTCAAAGTGAAAGCAACTGATTGACCCAGGGGTGTTTCTGTTACAGCACACTGTTATGATGCCTGTAACCAACCAACCAAAAAATTTTTTTTAATGAATGAAGATTAAAAGTAATCATTTCTCATGTCAACTAATGAGAAAAGCAGACTGTTCTTTTTTGTCATCCCAATGGCTGAATTCATCAAAAATGATTTCTTTTGCAGAAGATCGCTTAAGTTCCCATCCTTCATTCAACAGTTGTTCATCAGACAGATCTACTTGTGCAACCAACACATCATATGGGAAACAACCTACAAGTTTAATTAATATTCTTGATATGTTTGGCTTTGAGAACTTCAAAGTAAGTAACTTTTCTTCATTAAAAAAATTAGACCTTGTCACTCATCTTGATAGGGAATAAAGAAATAAAAAAATTTTTTTAAATGTCTAAAAGTTGTTCAGACTATAATGTGGAGTAAATAAGACACTTCTGGTAACACAAATGAACAAGGCAAGATGCCTTAAATAAAGAATTCAAAGTAAGTCAAAAGTGTTCTGTTGGAGTCAATTGAGACATTATAACTTCTAGGAGTGAGTTATAACAGTGAGGATGAGGGATTGAAACTCAGATAGTAGGAAAAAGTACTTTTTATTTCAGTGCACACTGACAATAAGAAATTAGAATCATTTTGGTTTAATCTTTTTCTTTGGTGAATTTGATTTTTGAGTGTAAGTTTTGATCATATTCACCCAAGAACATAATTTTAATGAACTGCCATTCTTAGATATACTCATCAGAAATAGAAAAAAACCCAGATATCTACCACAAACCTACAGACACCCAATATCTTCATTTCAAGAGCCATCATCTGAAAAGCTGTCTGAAATCCATCCCCTTTTCCCTAGCACATAGGATTTGCATTATAGTAGCCAATAAATACCTCTGAAAAACCTGCCAAAAAGAATTACATAAAACTCTCAAAAACGAGATTACCCCACCACTAACAAACAAAAGTTTTGAAATAGCAGAAAAAATACGTTTTAGACCAACTATGAAACCCAAAGAAACACAACAACAAATTCTAGCATATATCTCAACATACAAGAACAATCGAGAACTACTTACAGAAATTAAAGAAATCTAGACTTACTTAACAAGAATGATAAAATGAAAGATATACTAAAACATCCAAAATAATTAAAAGCAAACACCAATTAAAAAACCTAAAACACATATTAACTGCATTCAAATTTAGTCAGCACACAATACAAGGGGACACAAGATGTGGGATTTGTGATATCATTATAGAAGGAAATTCGTACACTTTTGAAAACCCCAGAACAACATTCACAATAAAGAAAAACTGCAACTCAAAAAATGTGATTTATGTACACAAGTGCACCAAATGCAACAAATCCTATATAGGTATCAACAATTTTCTTTCACAAAAGCAACATTAAATTACCAAACAGGAAATTCTTTGTGTCACAACACATTCACAAATGCAACGAAGGTAAATTTAAAATAATGCCAATACATCAAGTTGACAATTATTCTTACTTACAAATACAAGAAAAAAACTTCATAGATAAATTTAAATCCTCACTAAACAAATCATACACACACACACACTACATCATATAAAATACCTGTAGTTACTGTATAGATTTCTTTATAATAATATATAGTATATATGTATGGAGAACAAATATCTACACATATACTGGTAAAGACAAACACACCAGGCATACCACATGCACACACACAAACCATACAAAGTGTGTGTATGTATATATATATATATATATATATATATATATATATATATATATATATACACACATTTTTTCTTAAATATTGCTTACCATGAAGTCCTATAAAAGTAAATTAAAGAAATTATTAAACCGTTAAGTAGGTTTTTTGTTAAAGTATTTTTCCAAACAAATCAGCTTATTCAAATTTCATTGATTGATTTGCAAAATTGAATGAATGTAGAGTTTGTAAATCTCAACAAAAAATGTTAGTGATCACTACAACAATACTAAATACTCTGAGGATTTCAATACACGTCAGTGTGTTGCAATAAATTGTACTCAGTTGAAATGTATTTTACTCTAATTTCCCTTGAACAAGATCAAATAGAGAAAAGCAGGAAAATTGTGTAACATTAATCTTGAGTTTCTGTTCACTGTCTTGAAAATCAGTATCCAAAATTTGAGCTTTCAGTTGGGCTTGACAACTGGCTCTGCCACTATTGAGAAACAACTAAATTCTTCATTCATTAGACAGAATGTAAATCTATACACAGACAACTCTGTATAATCTTATACCAGAAGGTAAAAAGGAACCATTTTGTTTTGCAGATCAGTTCCTAAATTTTAACCGAAATCATTTTTTTTTCTTCACAGACAAACGGCCTGGAACAACTAGCCATTAATCTTTGTTCAGAAACTCTGCAGAGCTATTACAACTCACATATCTTACGCCCCAATGTGGCGACAAGATGCCATTCTGGTGAAGGCAGTGGAAGTACAGACCTCGATTACCATGATGACAATGACCCAAGAGATGAGTTAGAGAAAAATCAATATTTTGATAACCGACCCATTATTGATCTTATTTCACATCCAGTAAGTTTTATATTGGTTTTATTATATTGATTTTTTTTTTCTGCTTACTATAGATTTTCTGGTTAAATATATCACTGCAATCATTTAATGTTAATCATGGTTTTCAAATATACAATAGAACATTTCCTGGCCTAAATCTAACTTGGTATCTGATGTAATGGAATAACCTGGCACCACCATGAGTGACTACACTATAGGTAGTAAGTACCTATAAAGTCAACGGACTACATGAGACTTGCTGGGATCTGTGGAGTACAACTCTTACTAGAGAACTATTCAACCTTCCAAACAGCAACACTGATGGCTGGTTTTACAATAACCTTTATTTAGTTATCCACAGTGTTTTACCAGTGATATTCCTATTAACACGGAATATAACAGTATCAACATAAAGTGTGAAGTTCACCCAAAATATGCTACACACATTATAACAAACCACCCTCATTCCCTTCGTATTGGTGAGATATAAGTTCCACTTGAGCAAGTTCTACTCATGAACCACTGCTTTGTGGGACTGGCTCCCAAGAGGATGCTTCCTTGATCACTACAATCTTAACTTGTTCAAGTCTAGGGTTAATGATTATCTTTCCCACATATCCACATAAACTGCGCCTCTTACTCTGTAACCCTCTACCTCGAGTGGCTCTCAGGCCTTGTATAAAATGAAAAAAAATATTGATAAAACCAAAATTTTACATGTAACAGTGTATTCTATTAGTAGTGCTTGAATTAATTCTTGACCACTGACAATATCTTTCTGATTTTCAGTGCATTTGTATAATAAAATCATATGCACTGCATTTCTATAGTAAATCATTAGCAATGCATTTACGTTATAGGTATAATACCATTATCGCAGTAGTGCTTGCATTAATTCCTGACCATTGAGACGTTCATATTGTCTACTGCTAAATTTGTTCAGAAATATCTAAACTGTCAGTTGTACACAACCCTTTTCTCAGATCAATGGTTAAGAATCGCCTTGCACAAGTAAAGCCTGTAGATTTTAGTGAGGACTATTCTTCTTTGAACTTTATGGACCAGTGCTACAGAGTCACAGACAAAGAACTGTACCAAATAATAGAAACTTGATGACTTTCAGCAACAGCTAAAATAGAATATCACATTAACTTAGTGAAAATAATGACATAATCAAGATATCGAACATTCCACATGACTTTGAACAAAAGGTTAGGAAGGAAACTGCCATCAATACTGGAAAGACTGATAACAGCTACTGGACTTGAAGAGAAAATAATGACATAATCAAGATATCGAACATTCCACACAACTTTGAACAAAAGGTTAGGAAGGAAACCGCCATCAATACTGGAAAGAATGATAACAGCTACTGGACTTGAGAAGAGAAAATAATGACATAATCAAGATGTCGAACATTCCACACAACTTTGAACAAAAGGTTAGGAAGGAAACCGCCATCAATACTGGAAAGAATGATAACAGCTACTGGACTTGAGAAGAGAAAATAATGACATAATCAAGATGTCGAACATTCCACATGACTTTGAACAAAAGGTTAGGAAGGAAACCGCCATCAATAGTGGAAAGACTGATAACAGCTACTGGACTTGAGAAGAGAAAATGACATAATCAAGATGTCGAACATTCCACATGACTTTGAACAAAAGGTTAGGAAGGAAACTGCCATCAATACTGGAAAGACTGATAACAGCTACTGGACTTCAAGAGAAAATAATGACATAATCAAGATGTCGAACATTCCACATGACTTTGAACAAAAGGTTAGGAAGGAAACTGCCATCAGTACTGGAAAGACTGATAACAGCTACTGGACTTGAGAAACCTATTTTCCTGAAAAATTGTTTTAAGAGGAAGATTTTGTAAATTTCAACTGAAAACAGTACTGGCTACTCTGTCAATGCATGCCAAATATTTCCTTATAAGGAAACGGATAATATTACTATTGACAAATACTTTTTTCTTTTTTTCATTGTGTTTTTATAGTAAAATTAACAATGCATTCATATTGTGCATATAATAATTCTATTCTGTCAATAATCCTTAAATCAATTTTTGGCAAGTAGCATTTTCTTTCTTTATAATTTTCAATACATTTCTACACTGAAATGATTTTTGATACATTTCTCTATTCAAATGATTTTCAATACATTTATGTAGATATGTGCAAGTGGTGTAAGGGATAGTGACTTGAAGTGAAAAATTTGAGAGCCTAATTTTAATTCCAGTCAAATTTGTTACATTTGCTTACATGCAAGTACTGTTGGGAAAGGTATGAATCCATCTCTTTTTCCTTCATCTATGGGTTAAATAGTGGAACATGTACCTGGAAAAATTGTCATCTACCAAAAAAATTTTAACTCAATATTCACTTCCCAAAATAAGAAAGTATTATTTTCACAATCTCAAGTATGTTTTGACTCTAAATAATCCATAATGGGTTGATAAGCCATAAAAACCAAATCAGCAATCAGTTGAATTTGCAATAATTCCTGAACAATACCAATTACATTCTTCTTGATTATCTATGCATAACAGAAATTGAGTTCCAAAATTTTGTTAAATAAATTTTAAATAAAAAATTGCATAATTATTCAATTATCAAATTCTCCATTTGTCTGTGTGTTGAATATTTTTGCTGCCATATTTGATCTGGTGTTTCTACTATGTATCTCAAGATTTTTTAATGTATTTGTTTTTCATTTTGCATTTTTTATTTTACGTTTCAAATTTTTTTGTTTTCAATGTCAAAATATGCATGCATTACATAATCAAAATATTACATATCAAAATATTACTCATTCATTCTTTTATTAGTGTACAAAAATTAAAATCTATGTGCACAATACAAAGAAAGTTATAACAATTTCAAAACAGCCTCAAAAAAATGCAGTGGCAGGGGGAACAATTCTAGAAAGAAATGAATAAATTTTATTGCAGCTTAGGAAGATGAAGGAAAAATATAACTACAATTCCATTCCTGTTTTCCAAGTCTTATCAACTGACTGAATTTTGGCTAGGGATTCATTCTTAGCCATCATGGGTACTTGAAATCATTAAAATGTAATCTACTCAACTGTATGGGTCAAGTAGGCACTTTAGAAAAATACCATCACTTAAGATTAAATTGACCATGTACAGATGGCTTCTACGCTAGTCATCAACACCCGCACATCAAGATGCGGAGAGAGAGAAAGGAAAACGAACATCCTCTTACTCCATTTTCTTTGTCTTTCTTATCAGTATACTTTCAGTTTATTGAAAACAACGTTTCTCTAGTTTTTCTTGTTATCAGTATATTTTCAGTCTATCGAATAGCATTGTTTTTCTTTCTTGTTTTCCAGTTTTTTTCTCAATTTAACAGCACCTTCTTAATAGTGTCACAATAGTATTAGGATGCTATGAGAATGATATCATGTATCAGTCTGGAAAAAGATAATATCCCAGCAGACACACTCTCAGGAGTGCATTGTGGTGCCGCTATCAATGAAGAAAAATGATTGTCTTTGTCATCTTGAAATAACAAGACTAGTTCATTAAATTGAAGTAATAACAAGAAGACCTTTAGACGGCTTTAATGAACTAACAAGATGGCTACATATATAAAGTAATGAAAATCTTGATAATCCATATGGATAATCCCAAGGAGGATGAAATCCAGAGAGCTCAATGTTAAATAGAGATTAATTCAATGAAAACAAAAAACTTTAAGGGTCCATTGGTTATAATTTATTTCCCCAGGGAATTTCTTTTTCCCTGGCTCATCAGACCACACTTCCAAGGGTGAAAAAATGAATTTAAATTTACATATAGGGGTAGTTTTAGGTTGATGTAAGGTGATATAGAGAGTGGAGAAAGAGAGTGTGACAGACATGGTCGAAATTCGAGAGGGAAGGGAGAGATAGGAATGATTTTAAATTTATTTTTATTACAATACTTAATAGTAAGGAAGTGGGGGTGTAAGGACAAGACATTGACCTATTTAATAGGTCAGCTCACAGGAAACGATATAGAGAAAAAAATTTTCTCTTAAAGATGTAAGAAATCAGAGGTGGAATTAGGGGTTTAAGGAAAAAAACGGGGATAGAGATTTGGAGATATATATATATATATATATATATATATATATATTATAAATTAATTGATTTAAAATATGGTTATTTTCGCTACAGTTCCAACCATGTTTCAAAAAATAGAAGCTAAAACCCTAATTTTATTTTTTGCAAATAAATTAAAAGCATTAGTTCTATTTCATCTTCAAGCGAATTTTTGGAGTAACTTTTAAAATTTACCGGGTTTTAAATACACAGCTAAAATCACGTTTCCATGGTTACAGAATATTCTACTCAAATTGAACACAGGGGTGTCTAGATTTTCCTTATGACAGTATCATTGTATCAGTTATTAGCTACATTTTGGTAAGGGGTGAGGATGTATTTTAACAAGAAACCTGACGTCAGTTGAATGGATGTCGTCTGAATTTAAAAAAAAAAAAAAAAAAAAAAAATTGTTAACGGTAAAAATTTTTCAACGTCATCTTTTAAAATTAAAGATTTTTTTACAATACTTTTTTATTTAACTACGATTTGAAATATTTTCCTTTTAATTTTTTATTTTACTATATTCTTTTTAAGAACAGTTAAATGTATTAGAATCCATTATATTATGTAGGATTATTTTTAACATTAAGTTTAAGTATGTATATGAGGTTACATTTTTTTTTTTTTTTTTTTGTATATGACTATGAGCTGAAATGGTTACTTAATTTCACTGGATTCATTTAAACTTTTCTTTATATATAAACCTATTATTATAATACCCAAAAATGTAAGTACTGAGGACATGGGTCATTCAAAATACATGTTATGGTAAATTAATTTTATTTTACTATGAATTTTTGGATTATTTTTAATGCGTTTAAATTATTTAAAAAATAATTTGTTTTTTAAATTTTAAAATTTAAAATTAAAATTACAAAAAAAAATACAAAAATAAATTTTAAAATATGTTATTTATACATACATATGAAACTTTTTAATTAGGGAAAATATTTGAAATAAATAAATTATTTTAATTAATAAATAAATAAAGTTTTTTTTTTTTTGAGAAATGACTTTAAATTTAAATTTTTTGTAGTTTACAAAATATTATTTTAAATAATATTTAAATTTAAAGAGAAGAAAAGGAAAAAAAAAAAAAAATTTATTTATTTTTGATATGGAAAATAATTTATTTAATATGAGTAATTTTCCTTCTGTTATAAAGTAATATAGTCTATTAAAACTTTTAATTTAGATAAACAATGAAAATATTTTAAAATTTAAAAGTTGTAATTTTGAATTTGTAATTAAAATTTAGTTAAATTGAATGAATTCTAACCTAAATTTCTTTTTAAATAATACTACACGCATTAAAAAGAATCCAAAATAAACACCTATAGTAAAATAAAATTAATATGAAATACCATAACATGTAAGCTTTTGAATGACCCATGTCCTCAGTTTTACATGTGAAATATTATAATAATAGGTTTTATATAAAAGAAAAGTTTACTGAATCAGTGAAATTAAGTAACCATTTTGCTGTCATAGTCAAATATAAAAAAAAAAAAAAAAATGTAACCTCATATACATACTTAAACTTAATGTTAAAATAATCCTACATAATATAATGGATTCTAATACATTTAACTGTTCTTAAAAAAGAATATAGTAAAATAAAATTAAAAAGGAAAATATTTCAAATCGTAGTTAAATAAAAAAGTATTGAAAAAAAAAAATCTTTAATTTTAAAAAGATGACGTTGAAAAATTTTTACCGTTAACAATTTTTTTTTTTTTTTTTTTTTTAAATTCAGACGACATCCATTCAACTGACGTCAGGTTTCAGTGTAAAATACATCCTCACCCCTTACCAAAATGTAGCTAATAACTGATACAATGATACTGTCATAAGGAAAATCTAGACACCCCGTGTTCAATTTGAGTAGAATATTCTGTAACCATGGAAACGTGATTTTAGCTGTGTATTTAAAACCCGGTAAATTTTAAAAAGTTACTCCAAAATTCGCTTGAAGATGAAATAGAACTAATGCTTTTAATTTATTTGCAAAAATAAAATTAGGGTTTTAGCTTCTATTTTTGAAACATGGTTGGAACTGTGTAGCGAAAATAACCATATTTTAAATCAATTAATTTATAATATTAATGCTCTGTAAATTTACATTGAGCACTATTTTGTAAAAAATAAAATATCTATAAGAACACCGGATTTTATATCTTACTGTTCTTTCTTTTTTTTTATATATATATATATATATATATATATATATATATATAATATAAAATAATAATATAATAATAAAATAATTATATATATATATAATATAAAATAATAATATAATAATAAAATAATTATATATATATATAATATAATATAAAAACAGATCAATAGTTTCATTAGATCTGGGAATGATGATAATTTTCAAAATTACAGAAGGTGTAATTTAGTTTTATTTCCTTTTGTAAAAAACACAAAATACTATTTGAGAACAAACTTTTAAAAGTTTGTTTTGTGGCTTGTTTTATTCATCATAAACATTTTTTCATGTAAAAAAAAAAAAATTCAAATGACAAATTTTTTTTAGTGGCTTTGTCAGGATTTATTTTATTTTTAATTTCTTTCTTTTTTTTATAAACAGGTCTTTGGTATTTTCACTTTTCTTCATGAAACAGTCCAAGACAATGCAAATCCTACCAAATCTTTGCTTCACAGAATCCAAGCCTCACATCATCGAAATTCATTGTATGTTTGTTTCTGATATCTTTTTGGTATTGATAAAGTTTTTACTAAATATTACTGGGATGATTTGTATTTAGTAAATTTAGTTTTCACTTAATAATAATATCATCTAAAAGGAACAAATTAAGACAGAATTTTAAAAAATATTTAAAACTTAATAATCTATTCAAATTAAGTAGAAAAAATGAAAAATCTTGTAAAAATTCATTATTCATTGAAAATTTTTCTTCTTGAGACAATAGTGTCCTTAATTATACCTTAATTATAAAAGCGATTAAAAGCTTTCCTAATTAATGTCTTAGTTTGATTGCATTTTTATTTTACGATTCAGAGCAGATTTTTGGTAAATGAGTAAATGTTTGAAAAAAAAAATTGATTTACCTTCTCTAATTTACATGCTTTTAACTAATTTAGATATGAAAAGTGACAATTTAATTTCTGAAAATTTTATTAAATAAGTAAAGGGGTGGGGGTTCGAACAGATTGAAAAATATTTCTAACCAGACCTCAAACAATTATTCCTATGTTGGCAAAACTCTGACACATGGTATCTGACATAGGAGAGAATACTGAAGTATATACACATTCAGAAATAGAATATTTTCTCTACTTGAGTTTAAAGCTTCAGTTTCTTTTATGGATGTAGAATGGCTACACAGACCAGGTTTTGTTTTTGGTGTGAAGCCATCTTGGTTGAAATGTTGTTTTGTTTTTTTTTTTGTTTTTTTTTTTTTTTTGATAATTTTCTAATAGGAAGATATGCACAATCTCCTGTTCAGAAAACAATTTTTATTCACTCTGTATTCCAGCCACAGAAACACCAAATTCTGCTCACTACATTTTCTCCCACTCTTGCTCATTGTAGAAATTAACAGTTGTCATTAATTAAGTCTGGTTTAAACTGGCTTTGATGCTTCATTGCAGATGTGTCCATTGGTTCCTCTTGCTGTAACTTCTGTCACAATCAGATCTGTTAAGGAAAATAAAAAATCAAGATAAAAAATGCAAGTCATGTGTTTTAAGACATATTTGGCATTTCATCCTTTGATATACTTACTTGTTGGTCACATATAGACCCATATTGAATGACAGAAGACAACAACACCAAACAAAATGAAAACTTGAGTAAAAAAACAATATATTGCCAAATTTATTTTTATTAGAGAAAATACATTGACAAAAATAAAGTTACAGTGTAAAAGGGAACCCCCCCCCCCCCCCGGAATCTCTGCAAGTTCATGTCGAGAGTGAGAAGAGCATTGTCCTAATATGGACAGTTTTGTAGTCGTTGAAGAGAATTGACCTGAAAAGGAAAGTTGTTGCTGGTGAAGTTGGCTGGCTGGAGCTGGAAGCAACGGCTGGTGGCAAGGTGAAGCTGATAATGGCTGGCTGAAACTGCTGACTGCTCAGTTCTTTCAACAACAGCAACAACTAAAATGGAAAGCACATGTAACTTGAAGAGAAAATAATGATACGCTGATGCTGTTAACATTACAAACTATTTCAAACAAAAAGAAGTTTTTATCAATACTGGAAAGAGCAATAACAGCTACTGGACTTGAGAAACCAGTTTGCCTGAAAAATTGTTTTAAGAGAAAGATTTTATAGATTTCAAATGAAAGTAGAATTGACTTCTCAGTCAATGAAGGCTGAATGTTTCCTTATAAGGAAATAATTAATATTGCCATTACGATTATTATGAATTTAATTTTTTTTTTTTTTTCTACATTTTGAAATGTAAACTTGTTTTTTTGTAATGTGACTAATTTCATCTCTGGGCACTCTAGTGCTCTCCTAATTTCAAATTTCATCTCTGGACGCACTAGCATGCTTAATTTAATCTCGGGATGCCCTAGTGTGCCTAATTTCATCTAAGGATGCCCTAGCACCCTTAATTTCATCTTGTGACACACTGGTGCTCCATCGTGTTTTGGGGGTAACACTATATATACTTTTACTCAAGCAGCAAACCATTTGTCTTCCAGTGTCATTTTAATAAAGCGAATAAGAGAATATGATGAGGTGCTGAAAAGTTTTTGTCCTGAGCCACTTCACAAAATCTGATCAAATGAATAAATATATGATTTTATTTATTGATTTGGAAAGATTTTATTGATTTTTTTTTTTTTTAGTCTGTGAATGAAATTATCAGCACCCCCTCATAAATAATAATAAAGAGTACTTTATCTAAATTTGTCTATGACCATATCTACTTTAAATTATTGTGTATAAATAGATCATTTTGATAAGACTAAAGTTATTCATTGGATGTTGAGATTTAAAAGAATTTTTTCTCAAGGTTAAAATAATAACATTACTTTTTAAAGGCTAAATTAAATGATATGACTTTTTGACGATTAAATTAATTGACATGACTTTTTGAAAGTTAAATTAATTAGCATGACATTTGAAGTTCAAATTAACATGATTTTTTGAAGGTTAAATAACATGGGATTTTTTTTTTGTTCTTACAGTTTAACTGTGAATTTAGATTCTCCATGTACAGTATTTACCATTCATCATTCTACAGACAGTGTTGTCTATGATGCGACAACATTTACAGAGAGAAATAAAGACACTATTCCGGATGACATCGTGTGGGTTTTTTCTCAAGAAAATTGTGTCTTTGGATTTGCTAGTCACCTTTTCTATCAAGAAATCGATGATGGTTAGTTATTCCACTTTTTTTTTTCTTTCTTTTGTCAGTTTGGTTTTCATTCAAAGCGCTTTAACAACAAAAAAATCTTATTCTTTCAAAATATTTAGATTACTTTTTTGGTTGCTTTTGTTGTTACCACTATGTTTCAGCTAATCGCTTATACGTGCTTTGTATAGAAAGAAGCAAGGGGCTTTTTTGCTAAAGCAAATTGTAGATAAATGCTATTATGACGTTGCATTTTTTTCATATTTCATCAATTCAGCAGTCGTCTATGTATTAGCTATGCTAATTAGGCATTCATTTACGTATCACTACAATACAGATCAGACCAACCCATTCAAAGCAATGAATGTAATGTAGGTGATTCCATAATACCACATAAATGATCCCATATTTTATAGATTTGATTGCTCTTCAGGTTTTTTTCTTCTGCTAAGCAAAGAAGTTGATGCTTGCTTGACTTATACATTTGTCCCTGAGGTTAATGTCAGCATCTTCTCTCAGTTTATAAATATTCAGTGATGCCCTTTATAGGGAGTCATGTGATCTCTTCTTTCTGATATGGTGTATCATACCAGGTAATTTCTATTACTATAAACAAGTCTTACATTAATAATGAAAACTAGCTCAACCCATCAAAATTCCTTGTGTTTTCACAACTAAACTATCATAATTGTTATTGCATATACATTTTTGAAATTACGTATTAATACTATTGTAGCATACCTATGACAATAACGGGGATGCCCCTATTCCCATAAATATAGTATTGAATACTGTATGTTGGTCTTCATTTTGAGATTCATTGTGAAATTCACTTGATTCACTTGTAGCAGTTGACTACATCTTCTATGCACCACTGGTGAATCTTATATGCGTTGTTCTTGTCCGAAGTATTATTGTTCATTACCAACCTCTGTTTCATTTATGCATATAAAATTAATAAATTCTGAGGTTTAGTCAGATTTTGTGAAGTAAGTCAGGCCAAGACCTTTTTCACTCTACTCCCCGCATATGGTGGCGGGACTTTTGAAGTTGAGGTTTGTTGTCCTTTCTTTCTTAAAAAAGAAAATGCATTGATGAAGTGAATAGTGTTACTCAGTGGTTGTAGGTTCAATCTATGTGTTGAATAGTGCAAAAAAAGGCATCTATTCAGTGGAAATGACAAGTAATATCACAAGGACAAACTAACCAGATGGAATTGATTGGGATAATTTACACTTAAGCATGGATAGTGAAATGAGAATAATTAAATTTTGTGTATTGAATAAAGGGTTCTCTTTGAAGTTCCTTCAATGTTACCAACTACAAATGATACTTTCAGAAGGTAGAAAAGTACAACAGCCAAAACATTAAATATAGCAAATCTTGTCTGAGTAAATCAATACATTACTATTTTACAGTAAATTAAATATTTTAAGAAATCTGACAAAATGTTGTTTCTGTCCCCTATTTGGCCTTGTGCCTCACAAATGTGGTTTCTGTCCCCTAATTTGCTTTGTGCCTCACAAATGTTGTTTCTGTCCCCTAATTTGCCTTGTGCCTCACAAATGTTGTTTCTGTCCCCTAATTTGCCTTGTGCCTCACAAATGTTGTTTCTGTCCCCTAATTTGCCTTGTGCCTCACAAATGTGGTTTCTGTCCCCTATTTTGCCTTGTGCCTCACAAATGTGGTTTCTGTCTCCTATTTTGCCTTGTGCCTCACAAATGTTGTTCTCTATTATTTCAGGTTGCCATCCGGGTCCTCAAGGCAAATTGTACAAAGTTTTACCACGAGTTGGTTATGGCAGGTAAGAGGAGAAATTCTTTTTTTTCTAGTTTATATTTCAGGTCATATTAGAAAAAACTTTAAAGACTGTATTATATTGAGGAGGGTGTGTGGGGGAAGATGTACGTAATTGCTTAGCTTACTTTTGGTACAAGGTCACAATATGGGCTTTACTCATTAGTATCAAACTTACTGTAGTATTAATATTTAATGAGGCTCACTTGCAGAAATGTTCATAAATTTGTGTTGCATGGAGAGTATGAAGCAAATCTTTTGTAGGAAGTGAACGCCCTTTACTTATTTCGTGTCATTAAAATGGCCTGAACATGTCAGATTTAATAATTCTTTTAGCCCTGCCATTTTTGAGTTTATTTTTTTCCAGTATGAATAGAGGGTGTATTTGTGAATATTGGGAAACACCTATCCAGCAGGAAGGATATGTTTTATTCTGTTACGTCATCATTGCCTTGAAGGAAGATAACATAATCAATAAGTAGTATGTCGCTTGCAGTTGATGTAATCTTACTGAAATAGGTAACAGGCAGATAAACTAGATGTCTAACTCTCTACTTGTTTATGCCTTCTACTGATGATTCTTGGTGGATGTATTTATGTATTTGGATGAGTCCAAGTCCTCTTCTGGAGAGGTGTGTTTATCCCCACAACATAATTCTGAATCGATATTTTCAATGAACTTAAAAATCAAAAATGCCTTTCACTTCATCAGCAATAATCTTCAGATGATTTATACAAAACAATTGACAAAAAGGCAAAATCTGCTGTGTACACATTCTTGGTTCAACAACTATGCAAATGAAGACTCATTTAAAAAGGTGATAGTTTAAACTTCAAGATTCTGTACAATGTCTGCTTCATCTGCTGACTAGTTTGAGATGTCGCATTCATTTTTGGCTATGAAAGTGTGAATGGTGTAATGGATCATCATCCTGCAATTTCAGGCAATTAAACATTTAAACTGGGCCAGAGTCTTGTTATATTTGAAGTGCTATGTCTCCTCAACTTACAGTTTTTTGCTAAGTAGCTATTTTTCACAAGAATGAAGAATGTGTAGCTACAAAAAGAAACTGATTGGTTTCAACAAAGAACTGGTGTTGTACCTCCAAGAAAAAGTAATTGGCAACTTTTATCCTTTTAGCTTTTCATTTGGAAATTCTGAAATTAGAATTCTTAATTCTTCAGTCTATTTCATCTTGTGTGATTTTCCTTTATTAGGCTGTGTACTCAGTGCTTAGGATCTCTGTATGAGAGAGGGTCATGTGGAAAAAATCTCTCAATTACCCGAAGGTTAAGATGGAAGGGATTATATTGCAAAGGTTGGATCTCCTAGGTTTTTATTTCTTACTTGATCATTTTTTTTTTATTTTTTTTTTTTTTTAAGCATTTCACCTGAAGCAAAGTGGGAAGTCACTAGCATGCAAGGGCTTACAGAGAGTTGGAGCTAAAGCAAATAGGAGTGATAGAGGAAAGGATGAAGAGAACGATAGGGGATAGATCCAGGCATCTAGAGATGTCGATTGACATTACATTTGAATAGTTGGAGATTATAGCTATCAGTGTAACAGGAAGAGGGCAGGGAATTCCATGGGTGAGAGGTGCGAGACATGAAGCTATTGGAGTAGAAGAGACAGTTACATTTAACAGTTTCGACAGTGAAAGTGTGCGAGCGAGATGCCAGCCTAGTTGAACGCTTAAATTCATGAAGTCTGAGAACCAGCAAAAGCAGCTCATCAGAGCAGTTACCATGAAAGTATTTGTAAAAAAGACAGAGGGAGGCAACGGCATGTCTGTGGGAGAGCGACTGCAGACGAGATGCCAGATCAGGGCCAATTACATTGCATATCCATCTCTGGATTTTATCAAGAACCTTAAGACAAACAGAAGGGACTCCAGACCATATATGGCAGCAATACTCCATGCAAAGATGAATGGTTGATTTGTAGATTTGAAGGATTGACTTCGGTGAGAAAAATTTCCTGGCATGGCACAGGGAGCCAACTTTCTTTAAAGTAATTTGCCATGTTATCCTCAATTTGGTTAGCTGCCTCTTTGTTTTCAGCCTTTTACATTTGCTATTTTGTAATCTTTTACAATCACCAAACAAGGTGAGGTTGCAGCTCTTACACAATTTTGGCATTCCCCCCTTTGGTCAACCTGAAAATCTCAGCAACAACAATTTACCTTTTGTTATTTTAACATTTTCCAAAATTCTGCATGGGTGAAATTTAAAATTAATTTTTGAAATCAATTCATCATTTGGAAAAAAAGAGTTCACTCTCTCCTCAGATGAAGAAAAATAACTGACCCCAACATGGCAGCATTCTTTACTTTTTCTATGAAAAGTTTCCAGACCATTCATTTTTTTACCAGTGCTCATATTGCAATCTTTGCTGTTATCATTGCATGTTTTTTTACAAGAGCTCATATTGCAATTTTTATTGTTATTATTGCTTTTCTCGGGCACTCCTTATTACTGGTTCCCATATTGTATTCATTTCTATGCTTGGTTGGCTCAGGAGATTTTTGTGGCCTAGCATATGTGCTGATTCCTTAAGTTTACAAATTTTCCAATGATGTTCTTTGTCTATGATCCCAACCTGATCCCACAGAGGGCAATGATCTCCCTTTTCTCTCCATATGTTGTCAGCTATGCCTGATTTTTCTATTTGCATAGCTAGAATTATTTGAAATTTATCCAGATTTAACTCTTTTATTTTATTTTTTTTGTCCAGTAACTTTATAGTTTCCAAGATTGACTGAGCTAAAGATTATAGACGATTCCGTTCTTGAAATTTTTTGGAAAGAGGGAAAAAAATCTTGATGAATTTTTGGTTAAGATGGAAGCATTTTTTCTCATTTTAATGAAAGTTAGTTTTTTTTTTTAATTTTGTTTTCTTTCTTTCAGGATGTCCAGTCACACAAATTCTCTAACTGAAGATTTTTGCTTGAAACTGGAAGAAATTCTTAAAAAGATATCACTCACCAGACCACATTTTGTACACTGCATAAAGGTTAATTTTATTATGATAATTTGCATTTTGAAATGTTTTTTTTTTTTTTTTAACTAGCATAATGCCCATAAAAAATAATAGAATTATTTGAATATTTTCTCTGAATTTCTCGAATGAAGAATTCTCAATATTTATATTTATTTACAGTTGAACTAATGTCCTTATATTTTATTCTTATTATCACAACAGTTTGGCCATTGTGCTCTCTGCCCTTCTTCAGCTATCTATCATTCCAGGTAATCAAGAAATTTTAAACTGAACCTTTTATTAAATCTCCAAGAGTAAATAGTTCATTCCTGTTGTCCATGTTTAGGGATATCTCAGGTTTTTTTTTTTTGTTTTTGTTTTATGCTGCAAAGCTCCAGCAGGAGCAGCAGAGAAGGGCAATAAGAAAATTAGGTTTTATGCTCGATTCAGGATTGTCCTATGGGACAATAGAGAGGATTAAAGTATGGATTTGGAAACTTTGTAGCCTAGTAATTATATGTTCAATCCCTAGGCAGGGTAGTTCAGATTCCGTTTAACAAAACCTGAGGATTAGTTAAAAAAAAAAAAAAGAAAAGAAAAGAAAAAAAAACAAGATATCCAAAGACATTATCAGTCTATATTTCTGAGATGAGGTATTATGTACATTATTTACATTATTCGGACTATTGTTCTCATCTTTGTTGCCATATTTATTACAACGTTTTGACCTTTCAGTATCTGTCTATATTTCTGAGATGAGGTATTATGTACATTATTTACATTATTCGGACTATTGTTCTCATCTTTGTTGCCATATTTATTACAACGTTTTGACCTTTCAGTATCTGTCTATATTTCTGAGATGAGGTATTATGTACATTATTTATATTATTCGGACTATTGTTCTCATCTTTCTTGCCATATTTATTAAATGCTTCGGCTGTTGAATGCTCTGGCCTTCTTCAGGTGGTTGGAATGTTTAACTGAACCCTTTATTTCGCTCACGGGTGGGAGACTGTTCCAGTTCCATTTGTCATGTTTAATGGATGTCAGTTATCAATTATCTCCTGTTAATTCCCCTCTCCAAGTTCTCCACTGTCTTAACCAGGTATTGAACTCACACTCTTTCGGTACTTGAGGACACATGGCACAGTGGATAAAGGCATTAGTTAGATCCAGTGTCAGAACCCAAAGAGTGTGAGTTCAATACCTGGTTAAGGTGGTGGAGAACTTTGACAGGGGAATTAACAGGAGATAACTGATAACTGACATCCATTAAACATGGCACGTGGAACTAGAACAGTCTACCCCAGTGAGCGAAATAAAGGGTTAAGTTTGACATTCCAACCACCTGAAGAAGGCAGGAGCGTACAACGGCCGAAACGTTGTAATAAATATGGCAACAAAGATGAGAACAATAGTCCAAATAATGTAAATAGTATCCAAAGACATGGTCAACAGAACAAGAATAATAAAAATCAGAATTTCTGGGATGAGAAGTTATCATTATTTACATGCGGACTATTGTCCTCATCTTTGTTATCACAACATTTCGACTGTTGTGCCCTTTGGCCTTCGTCAGGTGTATATCAACCTCAACTGGCTGATTGGCTATAATTTAGCAAGAAATCTGCAGGACAAAACTTTGTGGGTAACTTTTAATACATTGACTCTCTTCATTAATTACACAAATGTTTTTTTTTTGTATTTGAGTGGTATTTTTAATTTTTTTTTTTTAAATAAAAAAATGTATAATATACAGAAAAAATTGCTTCTTTTCACCCTATCAATATCATGAGAGGGTGCTGAAAAGCTATTGGCCTTATCAACTTCCCCAAAATTTGACCAAATGACCATGATAATTTTGGCTTTATTGGTCTGAGAACTTTTCAGCACCCCTTGTAAAATCAATCGACAAAAAGAAAAATAAGCGTTTTTTTTTTTTAATGTGTACTGATATGACAGCTATCAAAGTATAATGAAAGTGATCCGTTGAATAAATTTAGTTCAAACTAAATGCTCCTAATGCCACTTAATGATAAAACACAGAAGAAATATTTGGTTAACGCAATACATTTCATTCTGTGACTGTTTTAAACTTAATTTTGTCTGGTGTCTTTTAAAAGTTAATTTTTAGCTGTATTCAATTTGTATAAACTTATAATTTTTATTTTTTTAAAATTTTTCTACCCCAAGAGCTCAATGCTTTAATATGTCCAAGAACAGTACATTTTTTATTTATTTTTGTAATCATTTCACCCCATGTAAGGCAACAAAACCACTTAGATGCAGCAGTTACTGATGAATGTGAAGGAATATAAGAAAAAAAACCCATTAAGGACCGAGATCAATGAAAGAACAGAAATTAAGAAGACAGATGATAACGATTGACATTGCATTTAAATTTTTAAAGATCAAACTTGACTGTAAAACAAAAAGCCAAAAGAGAGTTTGTTACCCCTGGGGTTTCGTTGGGACTATAATAGCTGGGATGCAACGAGGAAATAAAAAAAAATAAAAAAAGAGTATCCCAGGGTTCAATGTAAGATTGATGAAAAGAACGATGGGAGGGGAATTCTCCAATTCTGGACGTTGGTGAATGCAGTGAGAAAACGAACAATATGTAGACACAGAAAACAGAAGACGACACAAGAACATATAATAAAAATACTTTATTTATAAAATATACAGTTTATTAAATTAAAGGAAAGGAAACAAAACTAAATAGTAAAAGGGATGAGGGGATAATTGGTTGATCAAACATTTATCAATGTGACGAAATACAGACAAAAATAGTGACAGCAGATTATAGAATATATATATATAAACATGTAAAGACTTACAAATTGTAGGGATCGATGTCAATCGATTGTTATCAGAAATAAAGTTCGAAAGAAAAGATGTCCATTCAATTCTCCGAGCGAAAAAGGTGGAGTTTCTAATGTCCTGATATAAGTCTTTGATTAACGCCGTTCAATCCTTGCTGAGGGTGAGTAGTATACGCAGATAAACCACAGAAGTATAGACGACTTGGGTTTGAGAATACCGTTCAGGATTCTTTCGTCGGTCATTCGATTCTTGGTGATGTCCGATTCCTCTGAAAGCAAACAGCTAAGTCCAATTTTGGTGACATTTGATTCCTCTGAAAGCAAACAGCCAAGTGAAGTTGTTATATCCCAACACGTGCGAAAAAAAAACCTTTAGGGGTTAAGTCACGTGTTGGCATATGAAAGTGAGTAGGTGTTATCAATTTAACACTATTAGGGTCACTTGTACTTATCAGATAAGCAACATTTGTCTGGCCTGTGATCAGAGACTAGACAAGAAGTGGGGGAAAGGAAGGTTCTCTTCCAAGAACTGGCTTTAGTTTAACTGGGTACAAAAAAAAAATATTCCATAATCTGCTTATTCAAAGAAATAAAGAGATGACTGTTATTCTCATATCTCGTTGCAAATATGTAAGGTATTAAAAATATACTTGTAAAATCTAAGGTGTGGGGGGTACATTTATTGGTCTAATGTAACAAGTTCCACAGGTGAGAAGTGCAAGAGAAGAAACTGTTAGCATAGAACTTACGGTTCAGCTGTAAAATGATGAGATCTTTGCCACCAGACTAATCCCAATCATAGTCATCAACGCCTTGACTTTTGTAATCATAGGTGGGGTGGGGATCCAAATGCAGAAGTCACATTGAATCTCCTCTACAATGATTTATCAATGGCAGCCATCAGCCATTTTGCTATATAGTCATACTTGTCCATTATTTTACATTGTCCAACCAGTTTTTTGCCATCCTCTCCCACATCCGCATTCAATGGTGCCTTGCATGATGGCTTTGTCATGCCTTGTAACATGTCCAAACCATGCCAATCTAGTCCTGTGATTAAAATCGTAGACTCTACATGTTGGACTTCTGTGATGATACACTCAAGTTGTTAAAGGTTTATGAGACTTGATAAACAAATGCTGCTCTGATAGTACTGGCCTTTTGTCATCCCTTTTGTTAAAAAAAAAATGAACAAAATAAATTGAACAGTAAAAAAACATTTCCATCCTGATTCTATTTTCTCTTCTTATTCAGACCAGTGATTCACAGTCGTATCTGACATTTAAAATGGACACAATATGCCGACAATTATCTGCCATGCAAGTCGTGGAGACTGTCAATTTGATGAAAACAAGTATGTATTAGTCTACTATTTTGTGAATAAAACCAAAATACTTTTGCAAAACATTTTTAATATTTTTGGTTTGAAATTTTGTGACTTGTTTTTTGTTACTATTATTGTTATGGTACTATTATTGGTGTTGTGTTATGTTATGTTATGGTACTATTAGATATTCTTTCAGGCTCGTTTCATAATCTTTTTTTGTATTTAACACATTTCGTTTGATGTAGCCTCCAGCTTTCTTTCTATTATAACAGGATGGTAACCCTGGTTTAACATTTTAATGAATGAAAATGCTTAATGATGATCTGAAATGGAAAATAATTAAGATGGAACTTTGAAAAAAAGAAAACCTGAGGGAAGCTAATTAATCATTGAGGAGGAAAGAACAAATTAAAAATAATAATTAGAAGCTATAAAATGAATTTGGAGAAGGATCTAGGAAGATTTGAACCTGAAATAAATCAAATAGAATTCAACATCTGTCTGTATTTCTGAGATGAGGTATTGTAACTATTTACATTGTTCAAACTGTTGTCTTCATCTTTATTGTCATGTTCACAATGTTTTGGCTGTTGTATGCTCTGGCCTTCTTCCGGTGATATTTCTTGGGTTTGGTTCAAAATTCTAAGAAATATGACCTGAAGAAGGCCAGAGTGAACAAGGGTCGAAATGTCATGAATATGGCAATAAAGATGAGGATGACAGTCCAAACAATGTAAATAGTGTAAAACAAATAGAATTCATTAAGATTTTGTAAGGCTGGACCTTCCCCCACCCTTACCCAGTTGCCTCTGGGGTAGTATCACAAGATTTATGGTCTTCTAAATTTTCCCAAATTCCAAAGTAGAATTCTTGCTATGTTTATTTAAAATACTATCAAACCCCAGAAACATTTATATCATGTGTTAGGGGTTTGGGAATGAATACATGCTACAAAAGGCCATGTGAGAAGTGTCAGAAGTGCTCAAATTTTCTTTGGGCCAAATTGCAACTTGCAGGGTCATTATGTATCTAGCACTGTCTGAGGCCAAATTGAAGCTTCCTGGCCATTACATAGTTGACAGCATATCGGGTGGAAGTGAAACTTGCTGGCTATTATGTATCCAGCTCCGCCTAGAGCCTAAGTGAAAGTTGCTGCCTGTGATGAAACTGGCTCCGTGTGAAGCTTGCTGGCTATTATTACTGAGTAAATTAATGGTTGCAGATCCTTTTATAGCCATCGTTATGGAGGACTAAAAATAAATGTTGCTTACTGTTATAAAGTTAGTCTTGGGGTAAAGGAATGGTTATTTTCCTATTGCGTAGCTGACCTTGTCTAAGATTAAAGCAAAATTGTCTAGCTGTTGTTCTGACATTTCGTTTTCTAATTTCCAGCACCTATCCATCGAATGAAGTATTCAGCCTTCAATTGCCGTTATCAACTTCTTCTGCCTAAATGTTCCAAAGATGCTGCTGTTAATCCTGTAAATACAAGTGCAGTAAGTATATCTACAATTTGTAACCATTTTATCTATACTTATCATTGAATGAAGATGCTTTGATATCAAGAGAAATAGGAAGTGGACATGTATATTGATTTTTTTTTTCTTACTTTTTATAAGGTTACTTTTCATTCTCTGACTGCATGATTCTGAAACAAAATAGCCTCCAATAGGATTTGAACTTGCAACTTTTATTCTCAGGAGCCTGTCTGGTGTGGATGACAGTTTACTGAGACCAGTTGGCCCTTTCATGTAAGCCATGTGTCACGTGAAGGGAGAGATAAATTCATGCCTTTCTCAAGGGCATTAGTGCAAATTGGATGTAACTGACTCTGTCAGAATATGATCTCGGTTAGCAAATCCCACTTTCAGGCTGCTGACCCTCCACATTCTACACCTGTAGTGGTAAACCTAAAAAGTAGTAAAACCATAGTAAATCTTTATATAAGAAATTTGGACAACTTAAGACCATTTACACTATTTACATAGTAGCAGTATGAGGATATCAACAGAGAGACTGCACCAGAGCAACAAGATGTTAACCATCTTAAGAAGTCTGTCTATATATTTCTGAGATAAAGTATTGTAATTATTTATACTATTTACATTGTTTGGACTGTTGTCCTCATCTTTGTTACCATATCCATGTTTCGGGCATTGTACACTCTGGCAATTTTCAGGAGCTGTCTATATTTCTGAGATGAGGTATTGTAATTATTTACACTATTTACATTGTTTGGATTGTTGTCCTCATTTTTGTTGCCATATTCACAACTTTTCAGCCATTGTACGCTCCTGCCTTCTTCAGGTGATTGCAATTTTGAACTAAACTTTTTATTTTATTCCCATGACTGTTTCTTATACTTAGATGTTATTTTATAAAAATAACCACAAAAAGGTTGACTTTCTCTTTTCTTTTTTAACATTACAGGACATTCTCAATCATCTGAAAGACATCAGCCGTAATTTTAGTGAGGATGATAACAGTTTTAATTGGATCTTCAGACAAAAACATTTGCTCTTCAGGTAATAAAAAAAAAAAAAAGAACGTTTTGCTGAAATAGTATTTCCTTGATTTTCAAATTTTTGCATAAATGAAAAAGAATGGCATTGAGTCTGTCCAGGAAAGCAACTCATTGCGTCATGTTTTCCACTGACATGAAGTGGAACGATCATATTGAATCGATTGCTATGTGTGCTGCTAAGAAAGTTGGTTCACTGTTTTATGCCAGACAATTCATTTCACCATCTTGAATCCATCTTGCATGTTTATAAATTTACCATTTGTCCATGCATTGAATATTTCTGTGACATTTGGTCTATTGATTCTGCAATATATCACGAGATTCTTAACAAAATTCAAAGTAAAATCTGCAACATTATCCGTGCTTACCTGGCATCTCGACATCAGTCACTTTCCTACTGTCATAACAGCTTTCCTTCCTTTTCATAGCATTTGTTCTAATGAGCTTCCCTCTTTCATACCTCAACTGCATGAATTTAAGTCCAGTACTAGATTGGCAGAAAGGTCTCATCATTTTACTGTTGAATTAGCAAAGATGTAGCTGTAAGTTCTATTTTTATAGTTTCTTCACTTGCACCTCTTGCCTGTGGAACTTGTTGTTTGCCTGTCAACTACGATCTTCAAAAATTTAAATGCAGCAGCATCATTTGCCATCTTCTTAATCCTGTTCTTTTATTGCCCTCTCTCTTTAACAATGACTTTTTCTTGGACTCTATAATTCTCAGTAACCCTTTGCGACTGAGTGACTTTATTGCCTTGTTTGTGGGGAAAATGATTAAAAATAAATAAATAAATACTTTATTTATCATTAGTCTATGGACTTACAGATTTACTTGTGTGTTTTTATATATATATATATAAGTTTTAAGGTGTGCTATATTTATGGGATAAAGTGCTCGATATCAGAGATAGAGCGTATGTAAATATAAATATAAAAGTGAACATTGAAGCCAACACTAGTAGCCGTTTCATGCTGGATGCAATCTTCAGGCGGCCTGACGATTGCGTCTAGCATGAAACAGCCTGTCGCCTATTAGTGTTGACTTCAATGTTCACTTATATATATATATATATGTGTGTGTGTGTGTATGTATGTATCTCTATATATTTGTATGTGTATATATTTATGTATTAGGGTTGTGACTTTTTTGCAACCCTGTGCTCCTGTGTCATAAAACTTTTACTCAAAAGTAATGAAATTAATTTGTTTTAGTTCTTGAAATACATCATCCAAACAAAAATTCAATTTTCCATATACGCAAGAAGGTTAAAAAAATCAAATTTTAGAAGCTTTATTTTAACAATTCGCTAATGATGAAATTGGATAGTACTTATGTATTCTTTATTATTTTTAGTTAGGATGACATTTATAAAATCAAAATTATGGTCAGTTTGTTCTTTGGTATTACAAGTGAGTTTAAAGAGTTCTCCTAACGTAGGTCTCTCTTATGTTCATTGATGCAGCCTTAGATGTCTCAGCAATATAATTGTTTCTACATTGCAAGTACTTTATTTCATAAATCCTGGCATCTCAAGTGGTGTTGGAGCTATGTTTCTTCCAAGCTATATCTACAATTGTCTTGGGGGTGGTGGTCATATAGACCCTAGTTTTGGGGAGAGCTAATTTATTTTCAATTTTTGTAGATAGTGTTGGGTGAGGATTATGAATTTTGTGTTTTTTGATGTTAGAAGTCCTATTGGCTGTGTCTAATATTTTGAACTTTGTATGCTTGTTTTCTAGCATTAAGGATGAAATGATGTGTTTAGTGAAGAAGTCTAAATGTCCTTAGAGAATTTATGTTATCACTTTTTTTTACAGAAATTATGCTCTGAACTATAAAATAAAAATACAATAAAACTAAGACACAATTTAATTTAAAAAAAAATCTTTTAACTGCTTTTTTTGAATAGGATATATTACCGACACTCTTTTCTTAAGGAAATAATTTTTTTCCATGGATAATGAATTTTTACAAGAATTGTTTTCATTTTTTAAAATTTATTTTACTTTGAATAATTTATAAAGTTTTAAATCTTAAAATTTTGTATCAATTTGTAGCGCTTAGGTGATATCATTATTAAGTAAAAACTATATTTACTAATCATGAAGGGAAAAGCTTACTAAAATTCAACGATACCCCAGTATTTTAAAAGGAATGTTGAATTTTTTTGTGTGTGTATAAATGTGCTGATATTTATGAATATGGATGTCCATACATGACATTATTAGAAAAAGAGTAATAACTATAGTAAACTTAAAATTCATTGTTAATTTTTTAGCATTTCCTCAACAAACATCTTCATAAGTAAGACTAAAAGTCAAAGTACGTAAAATTCAATAAAACATTAAATTACGGAGAATATTTTCCTAAATTTTTAAGATTAATGGGTTGTTAAAAAAATTATATGAAAAAGATGTTTACGTTATATTTGCCAAGTAATTATTACAGTTATTTCCCATCATAGAAAAATTCCCTAACATAAGTCTACTGTGATAGTTGTCAACATCTCATAAAAATCACCAACCTCCATGTTAAAAAAATGCTTTTCTGTGATATTTTAGACTAAAAGTAATATTTGCTTCAAAACAGATTAAATTTTAAATCAGCTAATATTCCTCAAAAAAAAAAAAAGGTTTCAGAAAAATATATTTTATTTTTGATTTTTTTTTTTTTTTTTAATAAAGGGAATTGTGTTGTAAAGACAGATTCTCAAATATGACTGAATTTCTTTAGCAAATTTTAATGATTAAAAATATAATTCCAATCAATTTAAATTAGATTTGAAATACAGCAAGGTATTTTGCTTATTGGAAATATTAAATTTAATCTATTAGCTTTAAATTAAAAATAAAAGTTTTTTTTTTTATTTTTAAAAATACATTTTAAATCTTAGGTACCACTTTTCTTTGAAGCTCTGTAATAATTAATACATTGAGATTTTTTTGTGGATCAGTTTTAATATTTTATATTACTAGGATCCACTTGGATCATATACCAACGGATTTATTACCTTTACTATATATATATATATATATATATATAATTTTGAAAGTTATTATAGTGGATACTTGTATTTGAAATAAATATAAAAGTTTTTGACATTTTCTTTTTTATATATATATTTATATATATATATATATATCTAATAGATTATATTCATAATAAAAAATGTCAGATTAAAAATACATTAACTCATATATATATATATATATATATATATATATATATATATATATATATACGTGTGTGTGCAGGGCACCTTGACGTGGTGTAATGGTTAGCAAGCTTGTCTCGCTAGAAAAATTATGACAGTAGGGAGTGGGTGCACCATACTTTCGGCCTTGTGCCACATCTGAGCTACGCTTGGAAAATCAATGTGTGTGTGTTAATAATAATAATAAGTCAAGAAAATCCTTAAAAATTCATCTCGGTTATATTTCATGAATATATTTAAGTATTCATCTCTTCAGACCAAAGGTTTTTTTAGAAAATATATATATATATATATATATATATATATATATATATATATATATATTCAGTTGTATGGATATTAGTTTGTAACCCTGGGTTTCATGCTTTTGTGATCATCAGACAAACTGGTTTATTTTTTTAAAAAGTAGATCTATTGATGCTTATTTGGGTTTGATTATCTGTGTGTGGGGGAAATTTTGTTCCATGTTTGTTTGGGATGACACTTTCATATAAATAGACACAAATACATACAGCTGTATCCAGTTTAGTTCATACAAACACACCCATATAAATAATCTGAGGTATTGAGTATTATATAGAGATTAGCAGTAGAGCCCGGCGTTGCCCGGGGATGTAACAGTAAGAGATAGATCAAGTATCAACCATCATAAAGACTGAAAAATAAAATTGACAAAGATTATTGTTTAAGGTTGACGGACACACATGTCTTGATTAGTTTTATTTTTTTATTAACGAATTGGTCAAACCCAAACTCAAACAAAAACATTGTTTTCAATTGTTATGAGTCTATCGATTGAATAGAATTTTATTATAAACAATTGTCTTGTAAATGGAATTTTTAAAGCATTCTGAATGTAAAAATAAAGAAAAAAGTGTGCAAGACAATAAGAAACACTACCTGCCAAAAAAAAGTGAAGTTTTGTTGAAATCTGTTGAAAAATGTAGGAAATCCAATCCAATATATAAATGAACAGGCACACACACAAACAACCAACCTGGGTTTTATAATAAGTATAACTTGATATTAATAAGTATAACTCGATATGAGTTGTCCCCCTTTCATTAATGCTTCTTAATTGTGTTTTCAAATTGATTTTGTGCAAAAACAATTGTGTTTTTCCAATTTTTGGCGCTATCAGAACCACCGCAAGGTAATTTTACGTAGTCCTGTGAAGTTTTGTTGAAATCAGTTGAAAAATGTAGGAAATCCGATCCAATATATAAACGTACAGACACACACACATAATCTGCATTTTATAATAAGTAAGATAATATTATAATACAGATTTTTATACAGACTATAATAGAGATAATATTATCAGACAAGATATTGGTCACTTTCCATTAAGTACTGCACACATAAAAATGAAGATCATTTCTGGCTGTGAAGACATTTCTCTAATTTTACTCTATTCAGCTCTTTTATGCATCAGTTTCATTTATTCTTATCGGTGTTTTTTCTTTTGGTTAGACATTGCATTCCGGGTTGATTATTTGCAAGCAGAACGGATGTTTTTAGACTTTTTTTATTGAATTCCCACCCCCAATATCGGTTAGTCTAATATGTTTTATTTCTTGTATCATCTGTTTTTTTTTTTTTTCTTTTTACACCATCAGGGTTATGGTAAAAATATGAATATATATATATATAAGACACCAAGGGTGTTGAAACAAAATGGCTATTTTTGTAGTGATTTTATAACATATTTATGTTATAAATATTTTTTTTATAAAAAATAATTATATATACACCATAAACAAAAAGTTTGGGGCCACTCTGCAGTTCTTTAAAAAAAAAAGAATAACACCTTAAAATTAAATATTTTTGTATTTTTTTTTTTATTAATAAAAAGATAAAATTTCATTCACTACAGTGTATCTGGTTTTATTTTGACAAAAAATAAATTATCATACAACAGCATCATATGTTATTTTTATCAATAAAACCACCAAAGACAAATCCAAATTTGAACTTTTTGATAGTAAGAGGATTTATCTTTTACTTTACAAAAAAATGTCTTATTTTATAGTGTTTTTTCTTTTCTTTAAGAAATGCAAGGTGGTTCCAAACATTTTGCCTGCAGTGTAGGTATATCGAAAAAAAGTGCTTGAAAAATGAGATGTATTTTGTACGCAATCTTTGCTGTTAAACTGTATTGTATACCCTAAAAAGTACAAAACTGATTTTTCAAATTTTTTTTTTAACCTTCCAGTGAACTTGTGCGGCAAGAGCTAGAGGCGTACAAATTGCACATCTTCTATCAATCAGCCACTCTTATCCAAAGTCAATGGAGAGGCTTCCAATGTCGAAAACGTTGGCCTTTCCTTTTGCAACATCTACGCGCTCTTCAATTAAGGTAAGTAATAATTCATGAATATGTCTATTTCATTGAAATAGGTATTTTGTCTTTATTACTCAAATCATGTCTCTAAAAATATTCAGAGGGGTGTGGTCAGTTCAGTCCTCACTGGGTGTCCTTAAAATGATGCCAGATGAAAGCCAAGGTTAGTAAATACTTCTACATTAATCAATTGAAACAAGAAAGCTGTGTGAATGAATCAATGAAAACTTGATTGAAAGAAAACTTGACATCTTTCTGGGTGATTAACTTGTCTAAGTGGTTTTTACAGGCTTCTAGAGAATTGAAATTTTTCACATAAGAAGTTTTTAGGGATCGAAATAAGTAATAATCCAAAGCTGCAAGGTCATGGGGTGTATTACGAAATCATTAGTCTCTCACCAAAAAGTTCTTACAGTCTAAAAATATTTTCTGGCTTTAAATAACCTGCAATGGTTTGATAAACCATAAAAATAAAATCAACCTATGCTCCTCTTCCTTTGTGCAGAATCCACCTTAACTGCAATTCCAGAAGATAATCTCTGTTTGGAGTGATTTTTTTCTGATCTTATAAATTCATCGTTTTATTTGTTAATTAATATTATTATTAATATTGTTAATATTAAAAATTGCTTTCATGAGTACAGCCCACACCATACGAAGGGCTTTATCTATGTAAAATATATATATTTTTTTTTAGTTGGTCAGTAGAAAATGTCATGATGCCATTTCTAAGCTTAGGTTTTAGGGTGGGACTTGGAAAGAAATGTGTACACACCAGAAATCAAAGGGAATAAGAAAAAAAAATAATAATACAGTTTGTGCAACTCTGGTTAACTGCTTTTACTAATTAATGAACTAACAGAAAATTTCAAGATGAGCAGAATCCCTGTCATGTTACTCACGTTTCAGTTGCATTTCATTCACACTGGCTACGTTTCATTAGTTTTGTCATGTTGATTACCAGTACAACCTATTTTTTCTCAAGACAAGCATCGTTTGTACAAAGACTTGTATTTTTTATACTTATGCAATTTTTAAAAAATAACTTAAAGATTGCATGGCTTCTCATCTGTTTGCATTTTCTACTCTCTTGAAATTTCTGGTTGACGCTTGGGAGCAACTTATGCTACACAAAGCAAAAGATAATAATAATAATGATAGCCTTTCAAACAGGTTCTTTTTGTTGGATCTTTTGTTTGTCTTGACATTAAGCTTTTCCAATTGCTGCTGAAGCTGTTGCATATGACATTATTTACGTCTGTAATGTTTGCCAACAGTCTGTCCATTTTTGGGAGCTGCTGTCTTTGACAATTTTGTGCAAGTTATTCTGCTAATTATTTGATAGTGCACCACACTCTTGGATTCTTAAGGCAGTGGAAATGAACAAAGTCTTCTTGGTGATAGTAAAGTTCCTTAAATATAGCATGGGACTAGTTTATACCTTAATCACACCAAACGCACTGCCACTTCTAATTAGTTGAATATCCGATAAGTAATTTTTTTCAAGGAGACTGTGTGCTCTTAAGTTATTTTACTTTTATTTACAAAAATCTTCAATGGAAAATGTTATGATGTCATTTCCAACCTTAAGTTTCTGGTTGAGACCTGGAAGGAAATAAGGAAATATAACAGAAATCAAAGAAACAAACAAATAATAGATAGCGGCTCAGATTGAAGAATCGGACTACTGGTTTTGAACTCCAGTCAAGTTCATTACATTTACTTACATGCTAATATCCTTGGTATGAATCATCTTCTCCCCCACCTATGGTTAAATAGCAGAACAGACTGGATGGCAACCAGACTAAAGGAAAGGAAATTGCTGAATTTGAAACTGTATGTAGCCCTGGAAAAGTACATCCTATGCAGCCAAGGAAAGGATTGTTCGTATTGACTCAATGATCCTGACTACAGTCGATTCATTTATGCATTGGTTGCTTTTTGGATAAAAAAACTGAAATTTTATTGCAGGCGAATGGAGTTACTTTCAGCTGACAATACAGTGTTTGTCACAACCAGTGTTTCAAAACTGGACTGGAAAACTGTTCATCAAATTTGTGCCATGTATGGCATTGATCCGGTGAGTATTGATCTGATCAAATTTCTAAGCATTGTGAATATGACAAGTTGGGTTTTTTGGGGTTTTTTTTGTTAGTTCCCACCAAAAGCTAAGATGGAGAAAATGAAAGAAAAAGAAAAAAAAATTTTTTTTTTTGTTTCCTGTCTATAAACTTAATTCCTGGTTTGCGGGTCAAATTTTAACAGAAGTTTTTTTTTTTTTTTTTTTGAATTAAAACATTTAAACTTTTTTTTCATCAATCAATAAACTTTAGTTTGGTCCCAGATCAGTAAAGTTGTAATATTTTAGCAGCTTTTCCAAAGAGGACGTTTATGCCATGAAAATGTTGAAATAGAGAAAATTTTACTCTCACCACAGGGTTAAGGTTTCTGGTTTTTGAAATTTAATGATAAAGACTATAGCATTTTTGTAGTCTTTCACTGAGTAAAGAAAATACACTTTAAATTTTTTTTTTTTTTTTTTTGTTAGGCTTCCTTATTTTAAAACTATGGACTTTAGATTTCAGTAGGAGAATAGTAAAAAAAAAAAAAAATTAATTTCTGTTGTAGAGTGCAGATTTATGACCCCACCCTATTCATCAACACTTTTTATTACCTTCTCACATAACACTCCACACCTTGTGAGTTTTTTCTTCTTTTTTCCTTATATGGCTACAGACTTTTGCTGTAGATTTTGGACCCTTCATTTTAAGAAGAGTGGGTGAAGGAGGTTTATAATTGGTTTAGCCTGTCAAGTCGTGATTCAAAGAATTTCTGGGGATATCTGGTTTTACCTTCAAGATGTCATCAGTTCCAAACTCTGTATTTATGCTGATAGCACAACTATTTCTCCTGTTTTTGTAGCAAGTTCAATCTGCTCTTGAATAAAAAAAAAACTCCAATCAGTAAATGCAAGAAATAGTGCAAACATTTTAGCTCCTCTGAAGCAAAACTGCTTTCATTTAATCACCATATAGAACCTTTTCTAGGGTACCTTGAGGTGATGTAATGGTTAGCAAGCTTGTTTCACTAGAACATTTATGACTGAATGGTGAGTTCGATCCTCACTGGGTACCCCACACTTTTGGCCTTGTGCCACATCTAAGATACGCTCAGAAAATCAAGGGTACCCCGAGGTGGTGTAATGGTTATCAATCTTGTCTCGCTAGAACAATTACGACTTAGTAGTGAGTTTGATCCTCACTGGATGCCCCATACTTTCGGCTTTGTGCCACATCTGAGCTACACTTGGAAAATCACTATAAAACCTTTTCTGCCTGCAATCAGTATGGCTGATGCTAACCTTGAGGAGAGTAAACCTGCATCTCCCTGGGCAGAGAAAGTTACAAATAGACCCAGCACACACTGAGCTACAGAAAACCAGTTCATGAGACAAAGGCCGAAATTGTGCCTTTAGGTGAACATTCTCTTGTCATAGATCTCCCAAAATTTTTCTTATCTGCAGTTTTGTACCCAAATGTAAACAAAGCAATTTTTCTAAAGTAATGGATTTTTATTAATCAGATTTTTTTTCTTTTTAAATGTTATTTCTAGTAGGTACTTATATTTGAGTTGACGCTGTTTATTTATTAAACAGTATATTTATTTACTTTTGTTTACTGGCCTTAATAACCAAGAAATCTTATTAAAATTTACACTCTCAAATATTAGTATCCACTAAAAATAATGTTTAAAGTGGTAAAAAAAATCTGTCAGTTTAATAAAAAATCTATTCTTTTTAGAAAAAAAAAATGATTTGATGACCGAGATTTTAGTAGAATTTGTTTTGCCTTCAGATTAGAAGAAACAGACTAGATTTTAAGTTTTGAGTCAAAGTCCAACTGACTACAAAGATTTTGCTACAAATTTGTCTGTCAGTAAACTAAGCTTGTGATACAGTACTGTAGTTTTTTGAGTCTGGCAAACCTGAAACAATTTGATCAGGTTCTTTATCCAATCCCGGATATATTGGGGGTGGAGTGGGGGATAATCCTATCATCACAAGTCATGCTTCTGAAATCAAGATTAGGGTTTGGTTTGTTTTGATTTTACGGCACATCAACCTCAATGGGTCATTTAATGCTGACAAAATTTATTGTTGGTAATAATTTTTTTTTTTTTTTAATCTATTTCTGGTAATAATTTTCTTTCAATTATGTATCACTGGTAATATATATTTTTCTTTTTTTCCAAAATATATTGCTGGTAACATTTGTTTTTCAAAAATGCATTGTTTTTTTTTAGATTTTAGTGTAAAGCAACATTACTTTAGAGGGGAGCCATGTTCAAAATCAAGATTAGGGATGATGGTGTAATGGATAGCAGCTTGGATTGAGGAATCAGAGCCGAGTTCAAATTCCGGTTGAATCCATTACATTCACTTATGTGCTAATACCCTTGGAAAAGGGTATGAATCCTCTTTTTCTTCTCCCCCCAGCTATGGGTAAATATCAGGTTCTATAGCCTTGGATGGCAACTGGTCTACTGCAGAAAGAAATGGCAACCTACTGTGGGGAAAATATTTTGCCTCGTCATCTATGTATCAAAATATACATGATCGTCTAAGCATGTATCACGCATGGCACAAAATTGAGTGAGATACAAAGGATAGAAAGTTGTGGAGAGTCATGAATGCTCACATTCTGAAGAAGCATGGCACATTGTATAAACCAACTAATAGGATTATCCATAATATATAAATAATGCAACGACAATAAGCAGATTTTCTACATTATATTGTGTTGGAATAAAGCTTTATTCTAGTAATTATTTGAGTGCATATCTTTTTGGGTGGGATCGATAAAAATGTTTTATGTTTTCCACAGCTACATATTATATTTGACTTGGAAAAGACAATTAAGTATTGCAGAATATGCCTGGGGCAAAGCTTCCCAGACAATTATTGGCAGATAAAAACGCACAAAATATAAGAATTTTGATTGGAATAATTCATGATTCTAAAATGACAAGATAAAAATTTTAGTTGTTTAATGTAAATTGTAATTATTTGCCCAACCAGAAAAAAACGCCTGCAGTTCCTCCTTTGAGACATTACAGTGTCGTTGGGAACATGAAAGTGAAGTTTCCTCAAACCAGAATTGTCACTCAATCCTACAAAGGTAAGTCATTCATTTCTTATCTCTTCATTTAGATGGAGATTTTTTTTTTCTTTTGCAGTATATTTCTGCCGAGTGAAGAAGATTGTTTACATAACAAAAACTGTTCATTACCGAGTTCAAAAACATCTACATGGCCTTGTGGGTAATGAGTTATTTTCCATTCTACAACCCCTGACAAAACAAGTCTGTTGTTACTCTATCGTTATTTCCATGGCAAATGTTCCGATGAACTATCCCCCCCCCTACCAACATTGAGACGAATCATCCCCTTTCCTTTTGTATTCCATTAGTAAGAAGGAAGTTCCATTCGGACAGCTTTTTTTATCCCTAAGAACGGCTGCTTTGTGGAACACACTCCCAAGAGGATGCTTCCCTGATCACTACAGTCTTAATCTCTTCAATTCTAGCTTTCTTACATAACCTCAAATTGCACTTCTTACTCCCCCATGCACATAAAATCATCTCAGTTATTAACACTCTATCTTGAGTGGCTCTTATATTGGGTGAACAAGTAGTTAAAAAAATGATAGATTTGAGTTACCAAATCAAGCACTACTATTTAGCTACCATGGCCTTCAGCCAAACAGAAGGGGCAGGAGGTGACATCTGTCATAATTTTCATTGATCTATCCAACACCTCTCTAGGTTTGAAAAGAATGCCAGAGTCATTTATTTATTTATTTTTTTAATTGGTATCACCCCAAGCAAGGTAATAAAGCCACTAAGACACAAGGGGTTACTGGGTGTGGAAGAATTAGGAACAGAAACATTAATAATGAGTGGGAAGAGAAAAGAATAATTAGGAGGACAGTAGATAGCAATTGACATTGCATTTAAATTTCGTTTTATCAATTGGAAGCAATGATTTCAGAAGAGAAATTTTGTTAATTTCAGTTGGCAAAAAAGACTGGCTTCAAGAAGGAGATGAAGTGAAAGTGATTGGTCCTTCGACCAGTAAAGCAGGTCATTTAATTGTCCAATGGCAAAACCAAACTCATGATGTGCCCCACCAGGCGTTGCTTCTAAAGGTAACATCAACAAATCTTTTAATTTATAAATACTTCAGAATAATTTATTTTTCAATATGGCATTAAAAACCAACCATTTCTATATGTCATAAATCTTGGAAATTTCCTTTGCCTTTCTCAATTTATGTACAGGGATTAGACAAAATAATTGAAACACTTGTTAAATTCAAAGAAAATTTATTTAATATGGAGTTGGTCCACCTTTAGCCTCAAATACAGCTTTAATACGTCTAGGAATGGAATCATACAGCTTGCTGACTTCATCCAGAGGAATTTTCAGTCATTCTTCCATTAAAACCGTCTCAAGGTCTTTACAACATGACGGTGGAGGATAGTGGCTCCTAACTTGTTGCTCCAAAATGCACCACAAATGTTCAATAATATTGATATCTTGAGATTAGGGAGGCCACTCCATGTGTTCTAGCTCACTTTCATGCTCTTCATACCAATTCTTAACTACTCGAGCGGTATGTATTGGAGCATTATCGTATTGGAAGATGCAGTCAATGTTGCGATTGGAGAGAAGAGGTTTCCTTATAGCGGCTCTTCCATGATATCCAGCCTTATGGAGCTCACGATGAACAGTTTTAGTAGAAACTGGACTATTCAGATGATTATTCAACTCAGCAGTCACTTTGGCCGCAGCAGCCCGATGATTTTTTGCCACATTGCATTTCAATGCATGTCAGTAAGTTTGCAAGTCCGGCCCGAATTGCTACGGTTGCTAGAAGTTTGGCCCTGTTTCTCGAATTGCATCAGTGTTCTTGATATGGTAGCTTTTGAAAAACCAAACAGTTCAGCAATCTTAGTCATCGAGAATCCTGCCATGCGAGCTGTAACAATTTGCTCTTTTTTCGAACTCGGAGAGGTCACGTATTTAGCTTAAATTTTACTAAATTCTAAAAATAAATACCACAAAGACAGTAAATTAGATAAATAAATGAATTTACAATAGATATAACCTGCAATTACGAAGTTTTAGTTAAAGTTCTTAATATAGTAGATCTTTGAAATATAGGAGTGGAATTTGCACATGTTCCAATTATTGAATCCAACCCGTGTATATTACATCGGAATAAAGTGTATGAATTATACCAAGCATAAAATCAGATAATTATGTAAAGACAATATTTTCCTTCTCATATGGCAAACAAAAAATTTAGACATTTTTTTGTAAAAACAAACAGTTGAAATGTTTTGAATTTACACATACTGACAGACAACTTAATCTCCTGAAGATGGTCTCAGATGAGATTGAAAGAAAATTTTGGTATTTTTCTTAAGGCTACCAAGAAATTAATCTGCAAACTTGAAAGGATCACAATGAAAACTAATCGACATATGTCTAAAGTATTTAACCAAACCTGTTTGAATGAAAATATAATATATATATATATATATATATATATATATATATATATATATATATATATGCCATATGCATGGTACTTATTAGAAAGCGCTCAATATCAGAGATAGAGCTAACATAATCAATTTGTCTGACGATGCATAAAATATGTGAAAACCAGGGTCACAAACTCATCAATCAATCATATATATATATATATATATATATATATATATATATATATATATATATATATATATATATATATATATATATAATTCAAAGGCAAACTTGTTGTCCAAAGACTAGATTTACATGTCATGAAGCTACCTCACAAAATATTTTTATAAGGCCATTTCATAAATCAAAATTATGTGTCTTTTATACAGGAAAATGTTGCTATATAAAATGTTTACATTTCAATTTAATGTTGTTTCTATCTCTTTTTCAGACAATGGGAACTTTGCTATGATTCAACTGCAGGAAATCAGTGGTCAGTATCAGCCAAGATGGCTGAGAAAATTGTGTCAATGCTGAAATGAAAGAAGACATTAAATGATTTAACTGTATAAATAAACATCCATTTTGCATCAAAATGCTTGAGCTCTACGATTATTTGAAACTTAACAGATCCATGGAAATTCTTCAGGTGTTGATAATGACAAATCTCTATATTTTTTGCTTCACTAAAAAGCCAACACACTTTGTGGTAATTTAAAAAGATAACTCTCCTCATGGGAGAGGTCAGAAAGCTAAGTGCTTGTTATGACTTCTAAATTTTCCCTTGCATGGAGTATTGCTGCCATATATGGTCTGAACCCCTTCTGTTTGTCTCAAGGTCCTTGATAAAATCCAGAGAAAGATATGCAATGTAATTGGCCCTGATCTGGCATCTCGTCTGCAGTTGCTCTCTCACAGACATGCCGTTGCCTCCCTCTGTCTTTTTTTTACAAATACTTTCATGGTAACTGTTCTGAGGAGCTGCTTTCGCTGGTTCCCAAACTTCATGAATTTAAGCGTTCTACTAGGCTGGCATCTCGTTCACATCCTTTCACTGTTGAAACTGTTAAATGTAGCCATCTCTTCTACTTCAATAGCTTTGTCTCACACCTCTCGCCTGTGGAACTCCCTCCCCTCTTCCTGTTTCCCTGATAGCTATAATCTCCAACTATTCAAATGTAATATTAATCGACATTTCCAGATTCCCTGGTCTATCCCCTATCCCTCTCTTCATCCTTTCCTCTATCACTCCTATTTGCTCTCGCTCCAACTCTCTGTAACCCCTTGCGTGCTAGTGGCTTCCTGCTTTGCTTGGGGTGAAACGCTTAAAAAAAAAAAAAAAAAAGGAAACCTGACAAGGGGGTTTCTAAGCTATGGCTGGGCTATGTCGAGTAGGGTAAGACCTTTTCTTTCTTGGTAATTATCACATTTCTCTTGATTTGAGCCACATCAAGCTGGTTAAAAGATCCAAATAAAACCTCCCCCCCCCCTTAGCCCATGAAAATGGGTCAAATATATGACAGGTCTCTAAATTTTTCAGTACAAGAGCAAAATTGAGTAAGATATTGCAATTAAATTTATCGTTTTATTATAACCCAGGAAACTGTCATTGACAAAACAGAATAACATTAGGCATTCTTAGAGAAATAAAACCAAAATAAGAATGTTTGCAAAGAATTTAATGTTTATATTTTGTACAATCTTTTATATATATATATATATATATATATATATATATATATATATGTAAATAAAAAAGGTCTGTATGATTTTCTGAGTAAACATTAGAAATGAAGTCATTTAAGACAATAAATAACAATGCACCCATTCACCCCTGAACAGGTTGTCAGTAAACAGAATCCCCAGCCCTTAGTTTGAAATGTTCATTATGCAAAGGTGATTCACCTCTGGTTTAAGTGGTCACTGTTGCGGACACTTAAGCACACTTGATTTTTCCAGAAATCAGTGACACCCAAATCCCCCCAGTGTCCAGTCCACACTTGTTGTAAACTTTTTTTATCAACACTGTCCAATTGTCGGCATGAGAACCGTAGTTTGACCAAAGGAAATTCTGATGATAACTTACTGCTGATAGAATCCAAGAGGTTTGAATGAAGTGGTGCTGTAATGCCACAATGGCTCATGTCCACATGTTCCAGAGCACAATGACCATTACTTGTAGCATTGTCAAGCAGTTCGTATAATACCTTCTGGCCCAAGCAAGGGTTGTTTGATAAATTCACTGAACGTAACTTAACTGCAAAACAAGGAAGCCTGAAAATCGAAATGTGAGTAAAGAATTTATTAGTATAGTAACAAAAATTTCCAGCATTTTATAAATAAAATCTTTTACATAAATTCATTGCATCCTCATTATTTAATCAAAGAATCTGCTCTTGTTTTCTATGACATTATGTCACGAATTCCTTGATAAAAGAATGATTCTGGTTGTGATACAAATTCAAAGCTAGTATGTTGGTTGATTTTGTTCAAAGCTCTAAGCGTTATTTAATGCCAAAATCTAAATATTTCAGAACAATTTTATGGCCTTAACTAAATATATTTTCAACACAATTACCAACTACAGATGAAATGTATTGCTAGTATTTTTATATAAGAATGTATTTTTAGACTTTTTGTTCGCGTTTCACTATTTGCCAACCCATATCTGCTGGGTTACATTTTGCAACTTGGGAAAATGGCTTCACTTCCTTTTCCCCCATCTTCCAATAGTGTTATGCAATAACATTTTTGTCTGGATTCCAATAAACTACACACTGATCCTATGCAGGCTTACAGCAACATCACATTGGTAAACACACAGAAACCAGTGTTTCAAAGTTAACATCGGGCCTGGTCAGTACTTAAATGGGTGACTGCTTGGAAATACCAGGTGCTATAAGCTTGGAGGTGTGGATGGTGTAATGGGTAATGGCTTGGAATTATTAATTGGAGAGCCAAATTCCAATTCCTGTTGGGTGTGTTATATTTACTTATATCCAGCTACCCTAGGCAAAGATATGGATTAATTAATTGTATCACTAAAAACATTATCATCTCAAAAGAAAAAAAAAAATTTCTGGCTTTAAATAACCTGCAAAGTGAATCAATTAATCCGATTCTGTTATGTTAATTCTTAATAAAAGCTTCTTGTTAAATTTCAAACAGTAGAATTTTGCCAACGTAAGTAGATTGCAATGAAGTTGAACTATTGTGTTAAATAAAAAATTCTGCAGTGAGCACACAAAACTTCCTTAAATAATGAATGAGGTTCATTTTTTTAAGTTCTTCAAAAACTAATTTTGTCTCATGGTTACAAACTTTACAAGCATTAAGGCCAAGAACTTTAAAACAGCATTTAGATTAAATTTCAAAATTTTACCTGTTGACATAATCCTCACTTTCTACTGTTACATTCATAACACACAACTCATTCAGTAACCCTCTACCTTGAGAGGCTCTTGAGCCTTGTATTGGAAGACCATTCTTATAAAAATTGTTTATTTAGTGTATTGAATTATTGCAAATAGCCCCCTCTTACTGATATGCATGGTTGGTGTTTAAAGCCAGGATCTTACGTGCTTATCACTTCCATTTTACATTTCAATTAATCTCTCTTATTATTTAGCCATGTATGTTGTATTAACAACTTACAGATAAAAATTTCTCCTTCATATATTTATATCAGAAAATTGATGCAAAAGTGAATTTGCCGCACTTACCTGACAATGAGATTGCCATCATCAGAACTCAGATCACAGCCTGCCAAAGAAAGTTCCCTCAGTTTGGGTTGCTCACACTAAAAACCAATCAAAAAACGAGAATTATTTCATGCAAAATCTTTCTCTTAATTTTCAATAGATATGCAAATTCCAAATACGGTAAAGGTTAACTGAAATCTGCCATGGTAAACCAAGCGTATACTCATTGGCTGAGCTTCGGTGCTGAACGTCATGATTGTGTTTAATTCAAGCTCTAAAAGGCAAATTTCACTTTTCTTATAGGAAAAAGAATAGCAGATTAAAAAATAGAAATATTTAAGCAAATACAAACTTCATTGTTTGTAGGACGAGAAAAGAAATTAATAATAATGATACTCTTTATGGTAGCACAAAAATTTCTATGTTAGTCGAGTTTAATTGTCATTGAAAATTTGGAGATATAAAATAGATACATTATTGCAATTAATATAGAAGAAATTTAAATAAAATAATCTGTATAAGGAGTTGTCTGGATTTTAACCTAAATTTAACCATGCCTTATCCAATAATATTTAGGACTAGAAAGTTGATTGGATTGAAGTGAAGACCATTTGTATTGGCTAAAAACTGTTTTGGTAAAAAGGAATTTTAAATTGAAAAATACTTTCTTTTCTAAATACAAGACAGTTATATAAAAAAAAAACGTTGATGTCTTAACATATTTTAGACAAGTTATCTCATTCAGTTGATAAATCAAAACATTTCCCAGAAAAAAAAGCCATTTGGGATTTGAAGACAGTGCCAAAGGCCAGCATCCAGATACCCTTTTACAGCAGAAGATAAAGCTAGGAAAAATAACTAAAGAGGACTTAATCATTAAGGGTGGTTGAAGGAAAAACCAATTGCAGCTCGTATAAGCAAATGAAGGGTGACATTGGTTCTCAAATTCAGGAGAACATAAAGAATGTTTCAAACAAGAATACTTTTTGTTTTTAAATCATTTCACCTCAAGCAAGATGATAACTCCACTAGGATGCAAGGGGTTCCTGGAAGTGGAATAGAATGAGAAGACTGTTAGTGAGGAGAAAAGACCATAAAACAACAGGGTTCAGGAAGACAAAAGATGGCAACTGATGTTGCATTTAAAATTTTAAAGGCAGGAGAGCAAGGTAAAAAAAAAAAAAAAGAAGAAACTATTAAAATAGAAAATACGTTTGCATTGAGCTAGTTCAACAGTGAGACCTAATTGCCAATCTAGTAGTACAATTAAATTCATGCAGCCAAGGTATCAAGCAGGAAAAGCTCATCAGAACAATTGTCATGAAAATATTTGTAGAAAAGACAGAGGGAAACCATTATATAGAGGGATTGATTATATTAGAGCCACCTTTGAACTGTGTCAAGAATCTCGAGATATATAGTAAGAGTGTCAGTTATGATAAAACTATATTTTAAGGCATGCCAAGGATTCATACTAAGGCTGTGCTGTTATTTCTGAAATGATTTCAAAACTTGTTCTAAAAGACGATCTACATCTCATACACATCACATTCAGTGCTGATGTCTGTGTATTCTTGGGACTGTCCCCTGACCTTTCTATTTAACTCGGGTAAGCTCATTCTAATGAGAGAAGAGTTTTAAAAACCAATAATCATAAATTAAAAGATATATCTAGCTAGATTTATTTAAAAGAACATGTCATTCAGACCTTTCTTTTCTTAGGTGGCAGGCATAAGCTAGGCTTGGGCAATAATGGTTTCTTTTTGATTCATGATTGACTTGCCAGAAAAAATCATACAGTAAGCTGCTGTTACTTTCTACAGTAGACCAGTTGCCAACCAAGGCTATAGAACTGTCTTACTATTTAACCCATAGCTGGAGGGAGAAGAGATGGATTCATACATTTCCCAAGGGTATTTGCATTTAAGTGAATGTAACAAACTCGACTGGAGATCAAACTCAATCCTCTGATTTCTTATTTCAAGCCGTTATCCATTACACCACCCACACACCCAAGCTTACAGCATTTGGTATTCCCAAAAGGCCATCCACCTAGGTACTGACCAGGCTCAACATTGCTTAAATTCAGTTTTTGGATGAGAATTGGGAAGAATTAAATATATTACTAAATTAGACAGGAAGAATTTAGAAATTTTGCTTGTAGTAACAAAGGCATTAAAATAATTGTTTTGAGATTTTTTTCCTGCAATTAATCTTTTGTTTTGTGATTTAAAAAAACAAAACAAAAAAACACCAATGTAATCAACCATTTAGTTTAGAACAATTAAAATAAATAATTTCACATTTTAATAGCCAATGGCTGGATCAGCTAAAAATGTTGAGATATAAAAAAAAAAAAAAAAAAACAACAAACAAACAAACAAAAAAGAATCAGCTGTCTATATGTGCTATGTCTCTTCAGGACATGAGTGGTCATGGTTCTCCCCACCTTCCTGCCTTGCAAATACTTGGTCCATTATGGTAATTTTCCTTTGATCCATTTACTGCAGACATAAGTTATTCTTTCCTTGCTGAGAGTTCAAAATCCTTTGTGCATAATTTTTAATTTGAGAAATTAATATTCCCTTTCTAAAATGTACAGACACTTTTACAATGTTAAAAAAAAAAAAGGAAAAAAAAAAAGCTTACCAAGGGCAAAAAGTTCATGAGAGAAGAACAAACAATTTGGTTAGGTAGACTTGATCTTTTTGTTGTCCAAGCTAGATTCAAATGTACAAGACGTGTTGGATCAAGCCATTTAAATAAAAGTCGAATTCCGCCTAATTCAAGATTGTTGAAAGACACATCAACATGCTGCAGAAAACAAGCTGGAAAAATAAAAAAAATATTGTGAATTGGAGTAGAGAGTTAAATAGATAATGGCTAGAAAAGCAGGGGGGGGGGGGAGAACAGTGAGTAACCTACTTAATGAGTTTGTGTGAATGGATGTTAAAACAAGGACAAACAGGGTTGGTAAAGAGTCAAAGATTACTTAAAGCAACAATAGGAAGTTGTGGAGAGCAATTATCGTCAACAATATTTTTATATGACTGAACCATTATTTACAGCTGTTTAACTTGTTTTGGGATTATGAGACATTGAGAGAGGGGAGGAGGACAATTCATATGAGAGGCAGAGTGATCAGAATGGACAACAGAATCTGTTAATTGACTGTTTTTTCAGCCAAGGCTGTATAGAGGGTGGTCCAAAAATCTTGTCACCCCCACAATATAATTTTCTATTTTAGATGACATGATCTACTGTTTGGAAGAGTGGTAGGGGGTGACAAGACTTTTGGACCACCCGGTACATTGATTCCACAGTAAGGCTTATAGGGAAAGGCAGGAACCCACTTCTCCCTGTGCTGTTTCATTGCCTGATATCTTAAAGAAAAATGTCTGGCATGCTATGATAGATGCTGGAGATGAGAGTGGATGTTGAACATATAGGTAAACGACTTTTCTATAACCATCTTAACAAAAGGAAGCAGTATCTTCTATTATCCACCTTGATAGTGTTTACTCATGAGAAATAGGGTTATTCATTTCGTATACATTCATTTAAATACCACTTTTGGTAGTTTCTGCTTGATTCTTAACTCTTTAATTCTTCGTAAGTCGTGTCATTAATATACCAGTGATGGTTGATTGAGAAGAGTCATGGACTTTTACAGCTTATTCCCTCTCATTTTCCTATTAAAAAATAGGATGGAGGGGATGTAGCAGTAAAAGTCTTGGAGTTACTTCCCTTGGGTCTTTGTCACTTTAAGTAGATTTATTTGGAAACTGGTTGCTTGACTGGATAGGAAATTGCTTTATTCTCAAAGTTACAGCATTTTAACATTATTCTACTAACAAAAATGATGCTACAATGTGCAATTTGTACTGTGTTACAGTAACAAATATGAATAAACAAAAAAAAAAAAAAAGAAGAAGATTATTAATGTCCTGTGGAATAGTCAGATTAGTTAGAAATCTTAATCCAACATCATGGAAACTATGAGAGAAATATTAATAACTGGTGTATAAATCAAATATTACTTCAATGATGATAGATAAGCAATGCTTTCGTTGTGGTAAATAAACAAGATATTAAATATTTTTCTCGCCAATTAGTGAAAATGATCAATCATTAAAAAAAAAAAAAAAATACTGTCCAAAACACAGGTATTATATAAGACGTAGATTTGACCACCAAAGGCTTGAGCTGTAGTTAAAGAATGTAGGAATAAGTTACACTGAACAGCAAGCAAATTTGTCCTTGGAAAATAAGGTGAACAATTTTTTTTTTTTTACTAAGCTGAATATGGCACAAAAACATGGCAGTTGTGTATCCTCTAAAGATTGAACTCTTTACATGAGCGAATTGGCTTACAAGACTAGCTTATTAATTAGCAAGTTTCAGCAGTCACCCAACAGACACAGCTTGTTGGGACTTTTGGTTCATTTAATTAATCAGAAGGATTTTGTTCGGATCGGTTGTGTGTCTAAACCTTGTCCCAAACAAATATATAACAAACATGAGATTTCAAACAAAGTAAAAACGAGACATTTATAGATCGAAACCAATAAAACATTTATATACAATTACATATTTACAAACAAGGTTAATATTTGTATTGTTGCGTGCGTTAATTGTATATGTTGCTGAAATGTTGGATGTCTCTGTGTCGTTATGTTTGTTATTTTGTGTTTGTGTTGAAATATATAATAAGAGTTTTTTGGTAAAGTTTGCTAAAGTAGTCTACCTTTGAGCGATGTCTGTGTTTGTTTTCGTGATTCGTATTTCTTATTTTTAGTAATGAATAAATCAATGTGCATAAGAAATATTGTTCAAGGTTTCGATAGTTGTTCGTTGAGTGTTTCAGGTGAGTCAGTTGAAGTTAAATCAAAATGCGGTAAAATTCTGTTTTTGAATGTCGTGGATTAATTAGGCAATCGATCAAGTAGTTCGCTAGACTGACTGACTGGGGTTGTCTTTTCTCCTTTTATAACCTTTTGGGTTTTCGAAAGTGGCTCAAGATATTTTGGCGCAATTCTTGCTTTGGGAGGCGATCTACCAATAGAATTGCTTGATTCGATTCTTTGCATTTTTATTGGTTGAGCGTTATCTGGCGGCGTAGGCGTATAATATGGATTATGCTTTTTTAAGGTTGGAGAAGGTTAGAAAATTAGAAGAGTCCACAATACCTCCCCCAGATTAATGCCTTGGTGAATGAGCATTAATATGTAATGTAGGTTCGGTACTTGGTTGGCCAGTGAACATTCCTTCCTGATTTTGTACGGGTAGACTGTGTTGATTCGGTCGTATCAGTAGTTGTTTGCGTTTCTGTTTGTTCTGTTGTCGTCGGTTTCGTTATTGTCGGGATCTGTGTCGCCGGATTGCAGATATGCTGGTTTGAGACGGTCTATACTGACGGTGTTCTGTTTACCGGCGATATCAATTATGAAGAATTTGGTGTTTTAGATATTACCAGGTGTGGACCTGTGTAGTTGGGCGTTAATGGTTTCCGACAGTGTGGCGCCTCAGGAAAACATATTCTGCTGAATGTAGATCTGCTGGCACGTAGAAAGGTTTTTTATACGCTCTCGTGGGTGTATATATAACGTCCATCATCTTCTTTTTAGGTCTGCCACAAAGTAATTCGTTGGTGTAGATGTCGTCTCGCTAGAAATATCTGTCCAGGCAGCGTTGTTGCTTTCCCAAAAACTAATTCTGCACTGGTGCATTTGAGATCCAGTTTTATTGTATTTTTAGCGCAAGCATCACAAATGGTAGCTTATCTACCCACGTCACGAGCACTGGTAGACGCTGTTAATGCATTTGAGCTGTCTATGGAATCTCCACTATTCCGTTGCTGCATGGGTGGTATGCGGTGGTAGAGATGTGTTTTATGCCTAAAATGTTGACAAATTCGTTGAATAGCGTTGATTGAAATTGGGACCTCTGTCAGTTGTGATAACTGCAGGGCATCCAAATATAGAAATCCAGTTGTTGAAAATTGCGTTAGCCACTGTTTCTGCCGTTATTGATGTTAGTGGTATCAAGAACTGGCCATCGCGTAAAGCGGTCAATGATCGTTAGAATGTACTTCGTGTCCATTAATTTTTTCGAGTGGACCGACTAAGTTCGCGTGTATGTCGCGTAAATCGTCCATCTGGTGTCGCGAAGGTCGACGATGGTGCTTTGGTATGTCGGTGTATTTTTCGTTGCCCTTAGCGTTGGCGCGTCTTGAGACCACTGTTTCACGTCCGAAGACATGTCGGGCCAGACGTATCTGTCAGCTATGGTCGCAGCGTAGCCTTCGCTCCAGGGTGAGCTGGCGAATGGAAATGATCGAAAATTGATTTTCTTCGTGACAAAGGTAAGTGCGGTCGAGGATTACCTGTGGAAACGTCACAATACACGAGTTCATTAGTAAAGGGTAAAGGTCTTTTTCAATTTGAAGTGAGGTATCTTTTTGTACAGACGGTAATTCGATTTGTCGTTTGCTTGTTCCTCAGCGAGAGTGTCAAAGTTTAGTGGTTGTGATTGTAGTGCGTTGGCGTAGTTCTGGACAATCGTCCGCTACTGTGTTATTCTGACCTTTTACGTATCGGATATCTGCTGTGTACTGGCTGATGTAATCTAAATGTCTTAGGTCTCGTGGATTTAATTTGTCAGCCTTTGCATGTAATGCATATGTAAGTGGTTTATGGTCGGTGAAGACTACGAAATTTCTTCCTTCTAGAATGTGTCTAAAATGTCGTATTGCTAGGTATACTGCCAATAATTCTCTTGAGAACGTACTATATTTCCTCTGGGTAGTGTTTAACTTTATCGAGAAAAATGATAGTGGTTTCTCTACATTGTTAGTAATCTGGTGTAGTACTGCTCCAATTGTGTCAGCCGATGCATCTGTCGTGAGTGTTAGTTTGGAATTTTCGGATGGATTAATATCGACAATTTTGTACATTTTGCAACGCGTCTTTTGCATCGTTAAAAGATTTTAATTGTCTTCGATAGTACGATTTACAGTTCTTTTTCTTTTCGTTGCGATAGCATGTCTGTTAATGGCAATATTATAGTTGCACAGTTCGGTATGAATTGTCGGTAGTAGTTTATCATTCCTAAGAATCTCCGTAATTGCTTCATTGTGGAAGGTGTGGGATAATTTGTTATTGCTTTGATCTTGTGATCCAAGGGAGACAATCCTTGTTGGTCTATTACATGTCCAAGAAAGGTTAGCTGTGGTACCGCAAATATACATTTGTCAATGTTTAATTTTTAAACCATAATGTTGTAAACGTTTTAGAACTGCATGCAAATGTTCCTTGTGTTCAACATGTGATTTACTTGCAATTAAAACATCGTCAATATACGCGTATGTGTACGGCATACCACGTAACACCTCGTCTATTAATCTTTGGAATGACTGTGCGGCGCAAGCCGTAAACCAAAGGGCATTCTTGTGAATTCAAATAGTCCGAATGGAGTGGTGATCGCAGTCTTTTTGTATGTCGTCTTCCTCGATTGGTATCTGATAGTAAGCCCTTTTTGAGGTCTAGTTTAGTGAAGACTGTAGCACCTTCTAATGATAGCATAAAAATCTTTTATATGCGGGATAGGATATTTGTCCGGAATGGTCTGGGCGTTCAACAACCTATAATCTCCATGGACGCCAACTGACTGAATCTGCTTTTGTAACCATGTGTAGAGGGCTGGCATAAGGGCTTTTTGAAGGCGTATTATTCCCAGTCTGAGCATATTGTGAACTCATCTCTTGCGATTTTCAATTTGGCGGGATGAAGCCTACGTGGTTGGGAATAAACTGGGGAACCAGTTGTTTTAATGCTGTGTTTAGCATGATGTCTAACGGGTTCATTTCGTGACGACGGTGTTAACAGTGTCTGATACTGGCGTATTATCTCACCGTAGCCATTAGCTATTGGTATAATATTCGTCAGTCCAATCGTTGAATGTTTAGAGATGAAACCGCAGCGTTTTATATTTGTATTGGTGTCAGTTAGTGTTTGGGATGCTAGTTCTACTGACAATGCATAATGTGTTAGGAAGTCCGCTCCTAGTATGGGCATCGAAACATCAGCAATTATGAATGTCCACGTTAGATCTCTCCTTAGACCTATGTCTAAAGTCAGGGTCTTTTCACCATAAGTAGCAATAGGCGTGCCATTCGCGGCTTGTAGTTTTAATGTTGTGTTTTTTTATTAGAAGTTGTTTGCTGCACTTCGTCTGTGGTATAACACTGATTTGGGCACCGGTGTCTACCAAAAAGTTTAATCCGCTGGATTTATCGTAAATATAGAAGAGACGGTTAGTCTTGAGTTGCCTGGCATCCAACGTCTCTACTGGGTGCCAGGATGTCCGTTTCCCTGCTGTTTGGCGGTTGGTGATTTCTTATCGCACATGGTTGTCTGCACTTGTTAGCTTGGCGCCAAAAGTTTCATGATACCAACATTTTTCATTTTGGTATTCGTTTCGTTGTCGTTTGTATCTGTGTCGAGAATTTGATCTCCAGCGTTGTTTATTTCGCTTGGTATATTGATTATCTGCGTCGGCTTAGATGAGCATTTTGTAGTTCGGCAGAGCTGTGTAGATATATCTTGCAACTCTGTTGATAACTTTTGAATTTGCGGTCTATGTCTGGCATGAGGCCATCTCGTGTGTTCGTTGCGGATATGTGTTTAATTGGCGCTGTGTCTGTTATTTTGTCTGCAATTATCGCTAGTTTCTGGATGTCTACATCTTCTGCTAATGCGGCTAGAATTCGTTACAACCTCTGGCGGTAGCTTGTCCAGCCACATTTGTTTGAATACTGTGGTCGATATGTCATTTTTCGCCTAATAACTGCTGCATCCTTCAAGTAACTGTGAAGGTTTGGCATCTTGGTTGTGACATTGGACAGGAGTTCACGTATTCTTTTCTCCTCCGAAAAACCTGATCTATGCAATATCGCTTCTTTTAGGATTTTCGTATGGTTTTCAACTGGGACTGAAGTTAGTATATCAGCTACTTGGCTGCTATTTCTGCCGGTAGCTTCTCCACGACTGCTGCAAATTTTGACTGCTGAGAAGTTATGCGCCTAGCTTGGAATATCGCATCAAGCTGAAGGAACCACGTTTGCACATTTGCATTGAAGGCGGGCATCTCGAGTTTGATGGCTGTTTCTGATACGGTTGTTGGTTCTGCCATCTGTAGTGTTGAAATACTTTATCCGTTACGGGGTTACCAATCTTTGTTACGCACGTCTGTTTATCAATTTTGTTGGTGTTGTTTGTTTGAAACGTCCCGAGGTTACCAATTTTGTTGGTCTGAAGTACGTCAACAAGTTCGTCACTCTTGTTGCATGTTCACTCACGCCGGAAGGTCACCAAATTTTGTTGGGACTTTTGGTTCATTTAATTAATCAGAAGGATTTTGTTGGGATCGGTTGTGTGTCTAAACCTTGTCCCAAACAAATATATAACAAACATGAGATTTCAAACAAAGTAAAAACGAGACATTTATAGATCGAAACCAATAAAACATTTATATACAATTACATATTTACAAACAAGGTTAATATTTGTATTGTTGCGTAAGCGTTAATTGTATATGTTGCTGAAATGTTGGATGTCTCTGTGTCGTTATGTTTGTTATTTTGTGTTTGTGTTGAAATATATATTAAGAGTTTTTGGTAAAGTTTGCTAAAGTAGTCTACCTTTGAACGTGTCTGTGTTTGTTTTTCGTGATTCGTATTTCTTATTTTTAGTAATGAATAAATCAATGTGCATAAGAAATATTGTTCAAGGTTTCGATAGTTGTTCGTTGAGTGTTTCAGGTGAGTCAGTTGAAGTTAGACAAAAAAATGCGCGGTAAAATTCTGTTTTTGAATGTCGTGGATTAATTAGGCAATCGATCGGCGAGTTAAGCTAGACTGACTGACTGGGGTTGTCTTTTCTCCTTTTATAACCTTTTGGGTTTTGAAAGTGGCTCAAGATATTTTGGGCGCAATTCTTGCTTTGGGAGGCGATCTACCAATAGAATTGCTTGATCTGATTCTTTGCATTTTATTGGTTGAGCGTTATCTGGCGTAGGCGTATAATATGGATTATGCTTTTTTAAGGTTGGAGAAGGTTAGAAAATTAGAAGAGTCCACAAGCTTAGTCTGACAAAAGGCTACAATAGTGGAGTATCCAGTATTGAACTCAGCCATTACAATATTATGTAGAAGGAGAAGAGATGGATTTATACCTTTCCCAGGGGGAGGATATATATGTGCATAAGTGAATGTCATGAACTTGACTGGAATTCAAACTTGGCTCTTCAATTAAAAAAAAAAAAAAAAAAAAAAATAAAAACATGACATTTACATGTGCTAGGAATCTTTGACTAATATTTACTTTCATCTTAACTTTATTGCTTATTTTTGTTATTGCAAATTTACAAAGATGGTGAATGAGAACTAAAGGAAAAGCCCTTGGTGTGATTGGAGCTCCCGTCACTTTTCTCTTAGCAAAGTCTGGTAAATGCAAAGTGCTTTATTACAAAGCTATGAAAACTTAGTTTTGCACAAGATCTATTCTAACCTATAAGAAATCTTGTCATTCCATTCCACAATGTTGGCGACATATTTGTTTATATCTTTACTCTCATAGTATTAGTAGGGCTTAGGCCACATCATGTTGAAACATCGGTTGCCGTATAATCACGAAAGTTAAGCAAAGTTGAGCCTAGTCAGTACCTAGATGGGTGACTGCTTGGGTATACCAGGTATTGTGAAAGCTTGGATGTACAGATAGTGTAATGGATAATGGCTTGGAATTATTAGTCTGAGAGTTGAGTTCCAATCCCAGTTGGGTTTGTTATATTCACTTATGTGCAAATACTATTTAGAATGGTATGAATCCACCTTTTCTCCTCCAGCTATGGGTTAATTACTAAAAATTGAATCAATAAATCATTATCTAAAAAAAAAAAAAAAAAAAAAAAAAAAAAATTTAAAAGTCAAATCATTCATAGTATTAGTAGAATTATCTTTATTTTATATTTTTAGTAGATGAAGCATTGACAATCAGTATTAACTAATTGTTTAGTAGCATTTTCATTATTTTTTTTTTTTTAGTTGCCTTTTTATTGCAACTTTACTCAGGCTGTCAATTTTAAGGCAGTGTGTAGATAATGTGGATTGAAAATATAAATCTTTAGAAAGTTTTGAACTTGTGTGTTTTTTGCCTTGGGGAAGCCCCTGGTAAACTGCTTACATTGAACACAGCTGTTGTTTTGAAAATTCAAAAAAGATGATATCAAAAGACCATTGATAAAATGTTTAAAGCAGATGAACAAACATTAGTTGATAAAATAGTAAGCTAATCATGGGTGGCTATGTACTAGCCTGATTTTCCACCATCTTGAATTGTTCAAGATAAAGATGAATTTGTGTTGAACACCTTAAAATCTAAAAGATTTCCAACTTACCTCTCATGTCGTGAGGTTCACCTCGTGCAGGTGGGGATCGATAGGCCATCTCAAAAAATTCCTGTGTGATGTTACAAGAGGCAAGGCTTAAGCGAGTGAGAGATGGGAGGCCACAAATAAGTCCCATCAGCACATTGCTGCTTTGGTCAGTTAAGCAGTTGTAGCTCAAATTTAAAAGTTCCAACTTCTGAAGAACAAAACAAACAAAAAACCCAAAAGTGAAATAAAATGAAAATTCCATCAGGCAAGGAAAAAGAAATAAAATTAATCTTGGATAATATGCTTAACTAACTACCATGATAATTTTATTTTTCTAAAATCATTCCCCCTGCCACTGCATTTTTTTTTTTGAGGGCGCAAAAACATGAGCACCTACTGTTATTGTTATAACTTTCTTTGTATTGTGTGTAGAGATTTTATTTTTTGTATAGTAATAAAAGAATGAATGAGTAATATTTTGATGTAATGCATTACATTTTCCGTGTATGTTTTGATGTTGAAAACAAAAAAATTGAAACACAAAATAAAAGACAAATATATTAACAAATACATTAACAATTAAACATACTTTAACTTTTATTACTCCTTGTGGAATTCTGGGAGTGTAATAAGAAGCAAAATGGCTAAGAAGGCTTTCATTTTGTCAAAAAAGTGACATGCTTCCTCGTATTTACATACAGGAAGACACCAGCATTTGTTTGGTCTTTCTTTCACCTGACTAGCATATTTATTTGTTTCTTTGACAAAGAAAGTCATTATTTAGTTGTTTATAAATAGACAATAATTCACAGTGAGAAAGGCTATCAGGTATATTGATGGTTACCAATAGTTTTCATTAGTCAGCCATGGATGGTATTAGTCTCTTGTGGTCATTGTTTTTTCTTCCACATAGTAATGTGTAGTTATTATCTTTGACCAATTCACCATCAATATCCACTTGAGTAAAGCTTTTAAAATCATTATTGGAATCCAAATCAAAGAAAAACTCCTGAACAAAAGCTTCGTTGGATATTGATGCAGTCATTTTTGTTTACAAAAAATAAAAAAAATTAATGAGGGTTTAATCAATGTTACACTTTGTGTAGAGTCTAGAAGAATTCAAAATGGCTCTGGAAAACAGAAGTTTAGCCTCGTTTCAAAGCAGTAGTAGGCAATTTTCAGCTTAAAATACTGGAAACAACAGTTGTAAAAGTGTTTATTTATAGAAACCGTCTCAAGGCGACAGAATGCACCTAAAGCTGCAAAAGTGGAAAATTCTACAGCGACAATTATGTGACACACAAAAAGGAAGATTTGTGCAAAGAGATTTGCTAGACAATGCTACATTATTGAGTAGATCTGTTGAGGTTGATAGAAATTAAATCCAAAGATGAATCAATCTGATAGAATTAAGGAAATTATCAAGACTCAAAATCATTTACATCACTTGCTCACTTTGATGTATGACATCCACATATGTGAGAAAAAAAAGTTATTGAACCTTATTCTTGTGCATGGTTCACTAGTTCAATGTAATGAAAATGTACTGTTTTTGAAACAAAAGAATGTGGATACTTTACAACGTGACAAGTAGAAGATGTTGGACAATCAAAATGGTTGTATTAGGTTGGTTGAGTTTACTTATCAACACTTATTTAAATTTTAAATCAGTCATTTTTAAAAATTATATTTCAGACTAAGCATTTTGATTCAGGGATAAGTAAATATTGGCCATTTATATTTGAGTCTATAAGTATTTTTTGGTAGGTGGAGCCTTTTGGGTGTGGCTCTTAACTGTCTGCAAGACTGCAGTCAGCATATTCTAGGCCCTGCAAAAGCAATATGAACAACAACTATCCATATGAAAGTTTGGTTTCCATGTAAAAAAATATAACATTCTGTGCATGATGAGATCAAAAGAGAGCCAAGAGAATTCAACAATCTGAACAATTATTGTTTCCAATTAGACTAAATGAAAACAGCAAACAAGAAAAAGTTTCTAGAATTAAATTAACAAAAAGCATGGAATATTCCATTGAGATAATGCTAGACTGCAACTTTCTTTGGTGAGAGACAAAAATGGTTGCAACTTGACTGTAAAGTTTTGATTCATTTACCATTATTCACCAGAATTGTATATCTTTGGATCACAAATTATTTTCATCTTTTTAGAATTATCATACCAAGAAAAAATTGCTGAAAATTTCACTCAAGTCAAATGAACACTTAGATAAAGAGGTCAGAGTTATCTACCCCTAGTTTCTTTGTTTTTATTGTTGTTATAAAAGGCGCATTGTTGTGTTGTCCTTAATAAATAAAATAAGTCATTGCGTGTGTTAACACGATACAACATTTGTCTGTTTCCTTCTTGAGTTTATCTTCTTGTCTGGAATATGAAGTTGAATACCTGCATTCACACAAAACAATGTATGCCTATGTTTGCTATCTAACAAAAATATCCTTGGAAACATGCATAAGAGATAAAATGTTGAAGGAGAATAGAACTATTTATGAAGTTACCTGAAAGAAGATAGCAGAATAAAATGGTAAACATGTTGAATAAAGTTAATGTCAAAAACAAGAGAGACGCTTTTTGTCACTTAATAAACCAAATGAATGTTTTGTTTAAGATGAGGTTACAACTCTAGGGCCAATCAGTGAAGATTGAACTTATTACAGTCATACTACAAGATGAGCTTGCTAACAACAGCTTCATAACAAAGGTATCTTAAAATATTGAGTTAGTTGAGTTTAGACAAGGGCAGGTAGAGGGGACATCCAGTGAAGCTCACCACCCCCAAGACACTAATGAAATGATTTGTAAGATGAGCTTACTAAATATTGTAGCATGGTGAGTATACAATGCTTTTTTGAATGAACATTTATTTGGATTGGCAAAACTAAAAAAAAAACTGACAAAGTCATTTAACTTTCAAATGATATTAAAGTCTACAAGCTTCACTTACAATATAAAAATATTAAACTTTAAGAAACAAGTTATTTTTTTTTCTTACTTGCAACTAATGAATTAAAAAAAATCTGTATATTTGAGAAGTGTGTTGGATTACTGGCCCCTGATGATAATCACAGGTAGCGTGATATTTGAAAGGCTCTTCCTCTTTGACTTTTGGAATGATCACGTTTCCTTTTGCTTTGAAAGACACAAGACTTGTAAATACTTCAGACACAGAGACTGAAAATTGTATTGAAATGTTCAAATCACAATTTTGCTTCTTTCTTTATCCTTCTGTAATGTCTTAATACAGCCAATAATTGTTTTTTGTCTGAATTTGAATTTTTTGTGTTTTGTTTGAATTTGAAATTTTTTCAGCAACCCTAAAAATGTTACTGACAGAACAGAGATATTACGAGAGTGAATCAACAAGTTTACAGCCTGACATATTGAAATTTTAACTGAAATTTTCACCATATAATGTGTGATTTGAATCCATGAGGATTAAGTGCATTGACAAGATTATATTGAAAAATAAAAATTGATTGTGTAAAAAATAAATGTTTTTTTTTCATCTCTTTATATAATTCAATTTACCTGCAATGGTTTTTGTGAAAAAGCCATTAATCCCAACTCTGGATTGAGAGAAGGTGTATTTGTAGGTTCTATAGCCTTCTTCAATTCCATGAGGCCAACTGAAGTGATGCCATTGCATGAAATATCCAAAGAAATTAGGCCTGGAATTGTATCGAGCATCTTTGCCAACATCTGCAAACCAGTGTCAGCCAGCTTATTACCTGAAAATAACACAAACATATATGGAGAGTTGAAGATCAAATGTAGATCAGATATGGATAAGAATCTGACAAGATGATAAAATGAAATAAAGAACAAAGCAGGAAACGAATCTCAATCTAACTTGTTTTGTCTTTATTAAGGCTTCGTCAGAGATCAAGAATAGAAATGAAAATGCAAAGAGGCAGAGATCTGGAATGTTATGATTTTTGGGAGTTCTCAGTGATCAGACACACGTTATGTCTATAAACACAATAAATTATATATAAATATGTGTGATGAACATTTAGGATGGTAAAGTGTGTGATAGTGTAAGAGTGTGTGTGTAAAGAAATGCTTGTGTGTCTAGGTGGACAGTAATGTTGATTCATGTGTATAAGTGTGTACATGAGGGAAGTCTACAGATGTCACCTTTGTATTTTGTTGGTCAAATGTAGTGATATGTTACAAAATAATTTTGTGTTTGGTTGGATTTTTGTATTCTTATGAATATGTGGGGAAAGTGTGTGGGCATCAACTCTGTGTGTGTGTGCAAAGCTGTAAGGTTTCTTCCACCAGCGTTTTGGGTTTGACTCCTTGTCGCTGCCACCAACCTGTGTCCCAGTCAATCTGGTTCGATACCAGCTTTGTTGTTCTCAGCTCACCTCCAACGCTTGGTCACCAAAGTAACTGCTTTGATCTCAAGTCTAACCTACCCATGTTGTGACTTTGATCTTAGGTAGACAAAATGAATCAGGCGTTGGGCTGTAGTGTAAGCTGATTCCAGGGAAAAGGTGATAGCGTAAGTAAACAAAAAAACAAACTCAAGAGATTCAAATATGTTGAGAAATAACAATTATCTTTATCTATTGAATACAGGAGTGTGTTTCTCTCTCAGCCCATTTCTATGGATTCGTGACACTTTTTGCGTTTCTTAAGTGAGTTATGGTATCTTAAGTCGTTCGTCAATAAAAACTTGCTTTTGGTAGGAAGACCAAGTTGAGAGGACGTGGAATTTTTTTTCGGTCAGCTTCTGTGAGGCAACACTCTCCAACTTCTCTAACTCCAAACTTGCACTGTCTGAAAGTGACTGCCACTCACTACAAGACTGACGTTCGTTTATATGGACACCAACCAAAACCCGGTGTGGGGGCCTGTCATGGTTTGGGTTCCTTGATAATTCTCAATCTCCAACAAGAATTCTCTTTGTTCTTAGGTCAGGAAAATTAATTACTTCCCATTTTTGGAAGATTAATCACTTTCCACTTCGGGAGTTCCTCCATCGTCTGTGAGGGAAGGTCAGAGGAGAGTTATCCTTATAGACTCTTCCTCTCTCACATTGGTATCTCATACCAATCCCCTCAGTGGGTGTTAACTTCTCTGTCTTTCTCATACATTCCTCTCTGCCTATCACCCATGCTACCACTTGCTCAATGATCACTCGGCAGTGTGGGTGTGGCTAGACTGGCCCTCTTAGAATTATTCCAGAATTTTTTTTTACAAAATCCTTTTTTTCTTTTTCCTTTGGCCAAAACATTTACAAATCCCAGATTGCCAATTAATTCTTATCACATCTTGATTTTGGGGACACCCAAATCCACTTAGCCCGGACCTCCACCGACTCATTAATCTTTGTCAAAACCCGACACCTGGCCTTCCCGCTAGCCAACCCCCAACTGGGTGGTCATGTCCACCTGAGAACCAAACTCTTTATCTTTCTCATGCCTTAAAATTCTCTTATCACCAGATGCTCATTTTCGAGATGCTATGTCTGACGTTAACATCTTGAATAAGCAATAATAATGATCCCCTTTTTGATTTTCCTTTTCATGTCAAGATTCGTGCATATACCAGATGGCTTTCTTCGCTGGAACCAGGAATTAAAGTTAAATGATATATAGATAATTAATATCTATTCTCCGTGGTGGTCTCAAGCTGAAATTTTTTTATGGTCGCATGCGTTGGTTGGCTTTGTTTTTCTTTCAGAATTCTGTTTCATTTGACACGTCCCTCCCTTATCGTGACATTAATTCATTTTGACAGAATCACAGTCTCGCTTTTTCTTACTGATTTTCTGTCTTTTGCGAAAAGTATCTTTCTTTTGTAAATAAAATAAATTCTTTTTTTTTTTTAATGTCGCTCAGTCTATCTTTTGGTATATCCCTTTCTCACCTTAAGTATTTCCTGTTTTTAATTTTTATGGTTAATTAGTTAGCCAATTACCATAGCTAAATAGTGTCACAATCTACATAAAATTAAAAGTCTTATCTTATACATATCTGTATGTAATCTCCAAGTATAAAAAAAAACAAAAAACATATACACGGAACAAGTGATTGTTTTTTTTTTCTGGAAGATAACTAATTATAAATATACAGTTGACTAGTATTTAGTAAAGTGTGTTAAGCTGGGAAGTTGTTAAAAAAAATATTCAATCAGATGTTTAACATGTCGACTACCAGAGGTCAATTATGGAATCTGACTTCAAATGCAAACTTTATAATAACCAACTTAGGCAATAAGAGACTTTTATAGCTTGATTTCTAGCTTCAATTGAAGTTTTAACACTGTTTTCACCCTAAAAGTATCACTGTGAATAAAATTGTTGTTGGTGTCCACAGATGAAAATATACCAGAAAATGCCAAGTACAAGGTAACTTGTAATTGGTCTCTTAATAAAATCAAAAACTACCAACCATGAGTTTTGTTGCAGTTGGCAGTTGATATATTAACAGCTTTCAATTACATAACGTACTTATTTTAGGAAAATCTATGACAAAGTGGAAAAATGTTTTCATGATGCATTTTGTCTTTTAGGTCTTCAGTGGACTAAAGTGATGTTTATGCTGATGTGATTACACATTTGCATGAAGAAGAGGAGACACTGAAATTTTAAATTAAATTTTTTTTTTTTTATAAAAATGTATTTTGCGTATATAGTCTAGCTGATTTCATTTAGGTTCTTTTTATCACTTTTGTTATTAAATATCACACATTGTGATAATAGAAGATCAGCCAAGAAAGGTGAAATGTAAGAACCTGGATGTAGATTTACTTCTATATAAACCTAAACAAAGGCTTTAAATAATAAGGATGTGTTTATTAAAATTAGTTAAAGGGGTGGAATTATGATTATTATCATTTGGCTACTTACTGCTGAGGTTGAGAATGGAAAGATTACTTTGATATTTAAATGCCCTGAAAACGGATTGCAGGCTGGAAGGGTGTAAAGAAAGTCTGCTTAAATTAGCACAGCCAGATGCTTCAGCCTGTTCCAGCAGTAGCTTCAAATCTGGACGTTCAGCTACAATTAAAAAAAAAAAAAAAAAAAAATGAAGACATTTACATTCATCATAAAGGACTATCATAAATATATCAATTCAGAAGTTGATTTAATGGAATTTATTAAATAAAAGTCAATCTGTAAAGCAAAAAAAAAAATTTAAGTACATAAAATGCAGTGTGTGTGTGTAAAACTTTTTGCAAACATGAACTTACATGCCTTCAAACAAGATGGAATATCAAAAGGACATTTTCCCATGACATTGCTTCACTCTTCGGTCATGTATATTGTTTTAAAAAGCAATGATTAGATTTGAAAATAAAACTTAAACATATGATGAAAAAGAATTTATACATTTTTTTTTTTATTCTTGAGAATTTACAACAAAAATATTAAACACTATTTGTTTATTAGATTGTTTATTTACAACGTTCTAAAAACTAATACAATTAAAACTAATGCAATATTTATCATTTACCAATTTATAAAAAAATATGAAAATTTTTTATTCAGAAATTTCAAAACATTTACTAAATTATTAAAATATGTGAATCAACTATAAGGAAATATTTATTGTTTATCATTTTAGAAAGTTTGAATCAATATTTTGCCAACCATTCCAATAAATAGTGTAATAAATAAACAATTATTTACATTATTTGGACCATTGTCCTCATCTTTGTTGCCATATTTATTACAACATTTCAGCTGTTGTACGCTCCGGCCTTCTTCAGGTGGTTAGAATGTTGAACTTAACCCTTTATTTCGATCACTGGGGTAGACTGTTCTAGTTCCACATGCCATGTCTAATGGATGTTGGTTATCAGTTATCTCCTGTTAATTTCCCTCTGAAACAGTCTACCCCAGTGAGCGAAATAAAGGGTTCAGGAGGTTTTGAGGAGTGTGGAACAACCTCTTAATTGCTGGTGTTCCCTGACCTGGGGTGGTAGCACCTGTTAGGGTCCCAGCTATGGGCAAATAGTTAACCCCCAAACTAGGGTCAAAACACTATGAAAGTGTAAAAATAGATTTTAATACCAGAAATACTTTTTGTAAAAAAATTATTGCAAGCAATGAATTTTGAAGAAAAAAATATTACCAAAAAATAGATTTATGAAGGAAAAAAATATTACCAGCAACAAAAATTTTGTTGGCATTAAATAACTCATACCAAAACATAACTAACTAACCTTGGGTCATGGTGGACCTGGGAACACAAGCAAATTAAGAGGTGGTTCCATGCTCCTCAAAACAACCTGATCAGGGGCCTTGTTGTCAGATGTAGTTTATCATTTTACCCAGGACATGGATGTAGTTTATTGTCCCAATCATGATGTCCCTATTTCTGATTTTGTTTACAATGGATCTCCAAAAACCCCTCATCCAAGGCTGTATTTTTCCGGTTTCCCTTTGGTCAATGTGGATGCTGCTTAAAAAAATTGGCTGCAAGAAGAACCACCTACTGATTAAAAAATAAAAAGTTGTGATCATGATAAAATCACATCTTTCTTTTCTATGTGGGTGTCCATAGTATCACAGACAAACAACATTCTTTAGTTCCACCAGGTCTAACCTTCAATGCCACACAAATTGTAAGAAATCACCCACATTCCCATTTGTGTTCCATTGGTGAAATGCAAGTTCCACTTGAAAATCCTCCATTTGTACCGCTACTTTGTGGTATCAACTCCTAAGATGATGCTTTTCACTCAATCACTACAATCTTAACTTGTTCAATTCTAGCGTTAACCATTATATTCCCCACATATCCCCATAAATGGTGCCTCTTACCCCTTACAGAGTAAGGGGTAAGAGGCTCTTGAGCCTTGTACTAGAGAACATTATTGTAAAAAAGACAATAAATAGGATTGTATTATATTTCAAATAATTGTGTAATAAATTAATAGCAAAAAGAAAAATTTTGTTTTTGTATGGGAAGGAAATTTTGTATCATTCTAAAAAGACTAAACGACTTACTTGTTTTATTAGTGTTGCATGCTTCAACATATCGCTGTTGAATGGATGGTAGATCCCAAGAAGTGACTCGAGCTTCTAGCTGAAGAAAAGACAAAAACACACATGACTTCACTACTTGAAGGATTGTAAAGTAATTGGCAAAAATGCCCAACAAATGGAGTTGACAAAGTTTCCAATAAACAATAAGAAAAACAGGACAAAATAATACGAAGCAAACAATATATAATGTGTGCAAGACAAAACTAGGCAAAGCAATAGTAATAAAGTGAAAAGGTCACAAAGTAAGAATTGTGTTCACATACAAAAGAGATATAATCAAGTGACTGTAGACAAGACAAGAAAGAAATATAGCAGACAAGACCAAGAATTGGTCCATTTTTATTGGTTAGGAAGAAATCCCAGCATGCATCTGTACAATTTGTTTATAAGTATGGGGTGGCGAGGGAAACAGTTATTCCTACACAAATTAAAACCAACTAGGTTGCATGGATCAATGAGAAAAAAAGGGGGAAAAATTTTTATAGAAATATCATGTTAAAATGTTTTTTGCGGTCACGTCCACCTATGTGCATCTCGTGACATGTTGCATACTATCTGACATGCATGTGTGGCCATTTCACAGTTTTATTTAATATGAATATAGGCAACATGCTAGACCCAGTTTCTGTCTTGCAGCATTGAAAATGCTTAATTGGTTGTGTGGTATGTTGCAAATATCTAAGGTAGCAATATATTTGTTAATATTTAATTTTGTTTAGAAAATAAAACAGTTATTTTGAAGGTGAGAAAAACAGGTGCAAATGTAATTCAGTTAAATTTTAATAATCAATGGCAAAAATAATTAGTCATCCAATATAAACAAAATTTTCTTATTCATTGTTGATAAAGATGAAGCTGATCAATTGGACTTGATATTTTCTCTATTTCTAACTGGCATGCTATTTAAGAGAAGAGAGAATGAGGTAAAACAAAGAGTTCTTCTGAGAATGAGGTAAACTTCCCTGGCTTAATGATTTTATTTTCTCTTGGGTTTTGTTTTGCTGATTGAGACTTTGCATTGTCAGGTTGGAGAGATGACAACCATTGAAGAAATCTGCACATTACTAATCTAATGTACAATTGACATGCTTCACTTGCTGACACTAAAGCTGTTACAGTTATTGCTTTCTTAATAATATCTATCATATCCTATTAAATCCAATGGTAGATCAAGACTGTTTTTGGTGATGGGATTCGTTTAACACTGGGTGGTACATTACTATTGTGTTTGAGTTTATGGTTAATATACATGTTAGGAGGACTACCCTGAATGAACATTTGGGGGTGGGGGTGGGGAGGCTGATAACATTAGTTCTTGAACTTTCTCGATATCTAGAAAGTTTTATGTCTGCTTTTGCATTCTGCGACCTTAAGTTGGTGGAGCATGCCATTTTTCATATGTACAGGTTGGCAGAGACAATAGGGGAAAAAAGAAGAAAACCAAGTAGCCATATTTAATGCTTAACTGAAGAAACAGACACAGCCAAAAAGGAATGAAAAGTGAAACCCTTAATAATATTGTGTACCAATTATTCATCTTCTTTGATAGTCAAGAGAGGAAAAAAAAGGGAGCTTTTCATTCTTTGTCCTCAGACTGTTGCAAAAAATTAAATGCTGCATTTGATTTTCTGGAATCACTTCATGGAGAAGTGAAAGTCTTTTGTATTTCTTTGCAAATTGAAATGTTCTTGTGTTGTTGAACATATGACGCATTGTACCTTTTTCTCCTTTCCAAAGTGATTGGTCAAACTTTATCAGGAAGATTACCTCATTTTAAAACTTTTAAGACTATTTTTCTGTCTGAATTTCTTTGATCAGGACTTATTATTTACATTCAGATTATTATCCCCATCTTTGTTATCATCAAAAACCATTTCAGCCGTTGAGCCGTCTGGTCTTTTCAGATGCTTGTCAATCTGGTTAAACTCTTAGGAATGAAACATTGGCATTTAACCACAGTTATTACACATTAAGTAAGGTAATGGTAATATTAGCAGTTTCTTTATAAGGAAACATTTGGCATTCATTGACTGAGCAGCCAATGCTACTCTTGGTTGAAATTTCTAAAATCTTTCTATTAATAAATGTTGAATTTCATCAAGAGTTTAATGCAACACATAATCAAGAATATTTGTGCTGTAATACTTATCATGATGTTGATTATCCACACGACTTTAAGCAAAAAGCTAGGAAGGAAACTCCATCAATACTAGGAAGAGCAAAACAGCTACTGGACTTGAGAAATATAGTTTTCTGAAAAATTTGTTTTAAAGCCCCATTGTGTCCAGTAAGGTCAAACATTAGTATAAACTACTAATAATGTTGAGATGTTTAATTAAACCAAGATTAGGTAACTTAGTATTTAACTATGACTTCTCAGGCCTTGATTTGTTACAAAAATGCATATTTTAAATACAATGATACTTTTGGGAACCTGCCAAGTATTCTCATTTATGTGTCAAATCAACTTGTCCTTTGGGGTATTCTGAATCAAAAGTTATTACCTCTTCGCCGTTCTCGACTAACATCCTGATCTCATCATCGGGACAGAGGAAAGCTCCAGATTTGGTTGTTAGTAGCAACAGGGGTTTAAGTTGGCACTGAGCATAAACACGACGTGCAGTCTCCTGCGTCAACCAAGCAATATTATTTGTCTGGTCACTATAAAAAGAAAATTCATCATCATTAATACTTTTAAATGAGATTGCATAAAAATTGACGGTTTGTCTAGATGGGATAATAATGATCTTACTATATAAATAAACTAAAAATCAGAAAGGGATTGTCAGTGGTCAGGAATTAATGCAAGTATTACAGATATATATATATATATATATATATATATATATATATATATATATATATATATATCTATCCAAGTATATGATTGGTGTATATGGAATGGATTCCAATAACCAATAAATACTATTCTTAAAAGAGTGCTCAATACAAAAGTATGCGGATATAATTATTTATTAAAAAAAATTTATAACATAAATGTTATAAAATCACTTTTTGAAAAATAGCCATTTTGTTTCAACACCCTCACATGATAAGACACCGAGGGTGTTGAAACAAAAATAATATAAATATTTATGTTATATTAAATTTTTAAATAAATAATTATATATATATATATATATATATATATATATATATATATATATATATATATATGAGGTAAATAAATTGCAAATTTACTAGGGAAATTCATTGAAAATAAAGAAGAGAATTGTCAGTGCTCAGGAATTAATGCAAGCATTATGGAGAGAATATGGTTATTATATAATGTAAATATTTTTTTTTTTTTTACAATAATGTTTATTCTTTGCAAGACTCAAGAACCACTCAAGGTAGAGAGTTACAGAATAAGAGATAAGTTTATGAGGATATGTAGGGAAGATAATGATAAATGCTAGACTTGAACAGGTTAAGACTATAGCAACTGAAGAAGTTGCTTCTTGGGAAATGATTCCCCAAAATAGTAGTTCATGGGAAGAAGCTGTTTGAGTGGAATTTACATCTCACCAATACAAAAGGAATGAGTGTGGCTCATTACAATGCGTATGGCACGGCAGGTCCTGGCTGTGAATGTTAGAACTGGTGGAACTAAGGAATGTTGTCCATCTGAACATTTTTCCATAAAAATAGTGATGGACTAGTGATTGGCTTGTAATGTTTCATCTATGGGAAAGGAGTTGCAAGGTGGAAAATAATTCATCACCTGCAAGAGTCCGCTTTGGTGACAATAGAACATCACCATAATTTACTATAGAAATACATTAAGAATCAGGAAGAAAGAGATATGAGACACTGAGATGTCGGCCCGTGGTCAACTCCCAGTCATGCTGCAAAACTGTAATGTTTCTCCCACCGGCATTTTGGGGTTGACTCTTAGTCACTGCCACCAGCCTGTGTCCCAGTTGATCGGTGGTTGTCGCTACCCGGTATCTCTTGGTCAGGGTAACAACATGTGACATTGGCCCGTATAGGGTTGAATCCAGATTTTTGCTACCTGACGGAATCCTTTGGTCAGGGTACCAAGTGGGATGGTCGGTCGATGCTAATGGCTTCACACCAGCTGCAACCGGATCAACACCAGCTCCGTCGTTCCCAGCTCACTTCCGACGTCTGGTTACCGAAGTAACTGCTTCGATCTCAAGTCTAACCTACCCACATTGTGATTTTGATCTTAGGTAGACGAGATCAATCAGACGTCAAGCCTTAGTGTAAGATGAGTCTAGTCTGGAGGTGATATCACACAAGCGTAAAGAAAAAGAAGCAAATAAAAACCCAAGAGGTTCAAGTATGTTAAAAAACAACGAATCAACTATCCATCTGCTATATACAAGAGTGTGATTTTCTCCCAGCTCATTTTCTATGGAGTGTGACACTTCTACGCTTCTTAGGCAAGTTTTGGTTTCCTAAGTCAACTGGTTTAGTTTTTAGGTGCTGGCTTAGCTTCGTTTGTCAGTATAACTTGCTATTGGTAGAATAGGCAAAGTTGGAGGTTGTGGAATCTCTCAGTCAGCTTCTGCGATGCAACACACTGGTTCCTGTCACTCAAACTCTCTTGAATGGCCCAAGGATGTTCATTTATTATGATCAAAAACTGGTGCTGGGTTAGATGCAGTCTGGGGTTTTTGGTAAGTCTTGATTTCTGACAAGAAATCTTTGTTTTCAGGCCAGGAAAATTGATTACTTCCCATTTTTGGAAAATTAATCACTTTCCATGTTGTGGGGATCTCTTCGTCCGTGAGGAGAGCTATCCTCCTAAACTCCCACTCTGTTACATTGATACCTCACACTAATCCCTTCAGTGGGCTTTAAAAACTTCCCTGTCCTCGTCAAATTACCTCTGCCTATCACCATTGCTACCACTCAACCAATGGCATCCTTTCAAATATGTTTTACTAGCTCTTCCTTTCTTTCACTTACTTTTTCCTTCTTCCATTAGGTAGTGTGATGTATGGGTGGCATCAATGTTGCCTTTCTTGGTACAGGGGTGGGGGTGCCAAGAAGTTTGGTAATTTATTTGATGTGTCTAAACTCAAAGAAGTTTTGCCAACCATTATAAATTTATTGGAAAGAAAAAAAAAAAAAAAGATTTAAAAACTTTGTTCGGTCATAATTCTCAAAAAAATAAATATAATTTCTTAATTGAACTTTGATTAAGTTTAACAACTGTTTTTCATTTGAATTTATTAATTTAATTAAAAAAAAAAAAATTGTTCTGTCAGTTTAAGTGATCTGGCATGAATAAAAATGTTTTTTGTTGAGACAATGGGGAAAAAAAAAAAAAAAAAAAAAAAACTTAGTCTGTAGTCCTGCAGTTTAGCAAAAAAAATTTATTAAGAAAGTTTAGTTGGGACCCATTGAATTTCCCATGGACACACCATGTGAGTTCCTGGGACTTTCTACATTAAAAACCTATCTGAATCACTGCATACAATTTTGACTATAACATCACTAACAATGAAACATCACCAACCTGGACTAATAGGACTGCTTGTAATTTCCTCTTTGTTTTAAGTGAAATGTATGTGCATGCTGTATTTATTGTGGGAGCCCAACTTTCATGCATTCATTTCCTGCAGTCAAATTGCTTTGGAATATAATACCCAGCTTAGAAATAAGAATCATACTTACTTTGCAGATAATGGTACACAGAATTGAATAGTTCCAACTCTTACAAAAATTTTGGTAACAGTTGTTGCAGGAATTGAAAGGTTTGTTGACTGGTTCATCTGTGGAAAATGTACGGGTGTGTTGACAGGAGTTAAATCGGTTGAAAAATCAGTTATTAGGTTAGATGACACAACTTCTGTTTGAAGTATCTCTAAAGGATTATTATTATTTTCGCTGTTATTATTCCTTGCACTCAGATCATCACAATCTGATTGTGAATTCTGTAAATCAACATCGAGACTACTTTCTGGGGAATTGTCTTCATTATCACTGATTACAGCGAGGGTCCGTAACCTTTTAGAACCCGACTGTGAGTTGTTCACTGAGGTTCTTTGATGCCAGGGTTCACTTGCAAAATATGAGGAATTTGTGCGTTTTCTTTTGGCAGGTCGTAGGTCATTGATAAGCCAATCATCATTGATATACTCCTCTTCTAAAACAAGCGCTCCCTGGGGACCAGTTTTTGTGACTGTCATTTGTGGTACACTCGACCCGCACATTAGACGATGGGAGGCACTGTGCAAATTGGAAATGGTATTTTTATAAACATCAGCTGCATATTTATCTTCTTCCACTTTGTCTATTTGCTCGAGTCGGATGGAATTGTCATCGGAATCGGAGGAATAATCAGAGTTGTCATCTTCAATAAATGCTGAAAGGTCACTAAAAGAAAATATGTTGGAAAACAAGGATTAAACTATGACCCTGAATGTCCAAGTGAAAATTAAAATACTTCTATCATTTCCACGGATGGTGCAAGGATTTCATATCCCCCCACCCACACATACACTCTGCTACGTCTCAATATTCAGAAGGTAGTATTCATATAAAAAATAAATTTTATTGTGAATCTAATTATGTAGAATAATGGATCATATGCAATATAGGTGAAGATTTCAACGAGAAGAATTGAAAATAAATAAAATGTATCTAAATACAAATTAGAGACATGTCATAATAGATCATGACATCTTAAATAAATAAACTGTTTTTTAACATCAACTTGAGATTTTTATTGCTAAAAAGTTGAATAATTTTAACACATTCAACATTATGGATAAAAATAGTGAATTTTTATATAGTGTTTTTTTGGGAATTACCACAAGCAAAACATCATTCATGGATTTAGAACCAGCCCCCTCCCAACCACCTTAAGGCCACCAGAATGATGTCAAAATTCATGAAAATTTTTCATCCTTTAATAGTCATGTATAGTTTAACTTGTAATTCATATAAATGTAGGTAGAAAAAAAGCAAATGTTGATAAGATAATGAGGGTCACAAAGCCTGGGAGGGTTAGGGTCACAAAGCCTGGGAGGGTTAGGGTCACAAAGCCTGGGAGGGTTGGGGTCCCAATCAGGCTAATGTTTTTACTTAAGAAACAGTTTCAACTTAGTTCACAGAGTGATGTAATTTAAATTTTTGTTATTGCATTATTCCAAAATTTTAACACTTCAGCAGAAGATAGCTATTAATGTCAATAACTGAGCACAAATAGTTATTAATTAAAAAAAAATTACTAATTAATGTATATTATCCATAACTAGTACAAGAATGTTGTTTTTGATAAAAATTAAAAATAACTATAAATACATAAAAATTGCATATATTGTCAAAAATTTCTTTTTCTACAAGATAGATATTTGTGCTATGTTTTAATGCTTATTACCTAAACAATAATAATATTGAATATTTTTTTTTAAACTTTAAAGTTTATTTAATCACATTTCCCTAATAACTGTTGTGATCTGTCAAATAAAAGGTATATTTATAGTAAAATAATTAACGTCATGAAATTGTGATTATTAACACGAAGAAAACAAATTAAAGAGAATATCTTACTCATTTGTTGTTTCTTTACGTTTTTTAGTTGTTCGCTTTGAAGGAGCAGTTAAAGAAAGTTCGACATCTTCAACACAGTGTTGGTTTATATTTTTGCTTTTAGCCCAAGAAGAAATATCTGAAATATAAAAAGCCAATGATCTAATAATGTCCCAGAAAAGATAAAAATCTTATAACTTAAAATTTATCAGGAGTACGGTCAAAAAAAAAAAAAAAAAAAAAAAAAAAGTATTACTTTGTGTTCTGTTCTACAATTTAGAATTTCTGTTGAAAATGTCTTCATATGCTGAATTCGGTTATAGCTTTGCTTAACATGTTAATTCCTGTTTTTAAATGAAATAAAAAGTCTGTTACACTTTGGGGGGATACACATCTCAGGGCTTGAGTGGAAGAAGAGAAAAGAAGATGAATTAATATTGCAAGTTGTTCAAGCTAGATTAAGTAAGATAAACAAAAGAAGGTTTTCCAAAAGTTATGCTGTTATTAGATTATTTGGATTTCTCTAAGGAGGGAAATTGGTCAGACTGTAAAAAATAAGAAAACATTTTTTTCAAGAATGTTTATAGATTAGTATTTACTTCATCTCCCTTTACCCATGACATTTGTCAGAATGGAAAAATATGGAATTTTTAAAGAGTTATCTTTACTTTGTTTTTATTTACAAATGTCAGACTTGAAACTGTGTTTCCGTCATTGATAAGTGTATACTACTGACCTTTTTCTCAGAGATTTTCATAATGTTTATTTAAAAAATAACAAGTAAAGGCTTATATAATTATAAGATTGTTGGAAATTTCCATTTAAGCAAGAATATGGCATAATATTGATAAAATAATATTAATGGGAAAAATGGAGGCGATAGAAAAAGGAGAGACAGAGAGAGAGAGAGAGAAAGAAAAAGAGAGAGAGAGAAAAAGAAGGAGAGAGAGAGAGGAAAAGAAGGAGAGAGAGAAAGGAAAAGTAGGAGAGAGAGAGAAAGGAAAAGTAGGAGAGAGAGAGAAAGGAAAAGTAGGAGAGAGAAAGAAAGGAAAAGTAGGAGAGAGAAAGAAAGGAAAAGTAAGAGAGAGAAAGAAAGGAAAAGTAAGAGAGAGAAAGAAAGGAAAAGTAAGAGAGAGAGAAAGAAAGGAAAAGTAAGAGAGAGAGAGAGAGAGAAAGAAAGGAAAAGTAAGAGAGAGAGAGAGAGAAAGAAAGGAAAAGTAGGAGAGAGAGAGAGAAAGAAAGGAAAAGTAGGAGAGAGAGAGAGAAAGAAAGGAAAAGTAGGAGAGAGAGAGAGAAAGAAAGGAAAAGTAGGAGAGAGAGAGAGAAAGAAAGGAAAAGTAGGGAGAGAGAGAAAAAGAAAGGGAGGAGGGAGAGAGAGAGAAAGAAAGGAAAGAGGGAGAGAGAGAGAAAAGAAAGGAAAGTAGGGAGAGAGAGAGAAAGAAAGGAAAAGGAGAGAGAGAGAGAGAGAAAGAAAGGAAAAGTAGGAGAGAGAGAGAGAAAGAAAGGAAAAGTAGGAGAGAGAGAGGGAGAAAGAAAGGAAAAGTAGGAGAGAGAGGAGAAAGAAAGAAAAAAGTAGGGAGAGAGAGGAGAAAGAAAGGAAAAGGAGAGAGAGAGGGAGAAAGAAAGGAAAAGTAGGAGAGAGAGGGAGAAAGAAAGGAAAAGTAGGAGAGAGAGGGAGAAAGAAAGGAAAAGTAGGAGAGAGAGGGAGAAAGAAAGGAAAAGTAGGAGAGAGAGGGAGAAAGAAAGGAAAAGTAGGAGAGAGAGAAAGAAAGGAAAAGTGGGAGAGAGGGGAGAAAGAAAGGAAAAGTGGGGAGAGAGGGAGAAAGAAAGGAAGGAAAGGAGAGAGAGGGAGAAAAGAAAGGAAAAAAGAAGGGAGAGAGAGGGAGAAAGAATGGAAAAGTAGGAGAGAGAGGGAGAAAGAAAGGAAAAGTAGGAGAGAGAGAGAAAGAAAGGAAAAGTAGGAGAGAGAGAAGAAAGAAAGGAAGAGCGAAATAAAGATTAAGAAAGTGATATAATCAGGTATTTAATGTCTGCTCCAATGGAACAAGAGTAAAAAAGAAAGAAAGAAGAGAAATAGAAAACAGAGAAAGGAGTGGAAATAAACTAATTATATCAGTAAAATCAACATTATTTTCATCTTTTTATAATTCTATGTGTCTAATGTATGTTCTTCAATATTATTCTGGTTTCATTGAAACATACCAAGAGATTTTCATGGGTATTCGCTAATAAAGACCCATTCTTATTTCCTCTTTCAAACACAATATATTTGATGGTTTGCCTACATACAACTGTAATATTATCATTGTGAAATGAAGCATAATCAATAGTTAGTAATCTTGACTAGTGTTTATTTCATCTTAATTTCACTTGATTTTCTTATCTCAACTGCTCAGGATATCATTCTACTGCTGACAGCAAACAACATTCAAATATACCTAAGAGTTTATTATGAATGTAATTGCAATGCAAATCAACTGGAATTAAGATGAAAGAAATACAAGCCAAATATTAATAACGTTTCATGTAATGGCAAAATTCAGGATAACACAAGTCACATTACTCGTCTGGCACTAGTAACGCAGCTATCAGGAGTATAAAAGATTTTTTGAAGTCTTTGGGGGAGTGGAGGAATAGTATGCTTTATATAGCAGAAAATACACCATGCAAGCTTCAAAGAAAACATTAGTAGTCTATATAATTCCGTTCTTTCCTTTGCATTCATGAGTACACAGATTGCTAACTCATCTGAACGTGTTTATCATTTCAGAGTGCAAGGTTGTATCTCTCACATTAAAACACCATCATGACAGGCAACAATTTTAGAATCCACAGAAACTCAGTCTGCTAACCAACATTAAGATTCTGGTTCTAATCCACTCACCTTTAATGCCCATTCTTTCTTGCAAGAGTTTCACCATATTCTGATAAGATTCTTCAAGTTCTGGGTTAAGTTTTCCTGCTCGACGTCTCCACTGTAGCAAACTACTAAGGGCAAAATTGTTCTGAAGATGATTGAAAAGAAAAGAGTTTTAATAGAAGGCAGGAAATGCAACATTGTAACCTAAAGGTTCATTGGGACAATGAGGGATTACTGTCTGTCATGGGGGGGGATAATGAGGGATTACTGCCTGTCGTGTGTGTGTGTGTGTGTGGGGGGGATAATGAGGGATTACCTCCTGTCGTGGGGGGGATAATGAGGGATTACTTCCTGTCGTGGGGGGATAATGAGGGATTACTTCCTGTCGTGGGGGGGATAATGAGGGATTACTCCTGTCGTGTGTGTGTGTGGGGATAATGAGGGATTACTTCCTGTCGTGTGTGTGTGTGGGGGGTAATGAGGGATTACTTCCTGTCGTGTGGGGGGAGATAATGAGGGATGACTTCCTGTCGGGGGAAAATGAGGGATTATTTCCTGTTGTAGGGGGATAATGAGGGTTTACTTCCTGTCGTGGGGGGGATAATGAGAGATTACTCCCTGTTGTAGAGTGATAAAGACACTAGAGTTTGAATACAGATCACCAGTGAGCAAACACAGGTAGACCACGTGATTGGAAAGCTATATATAGGAATTAGCGTGGCATCTAAGTGATTCTCTATACTATCCTCTATACTGATCATTATACAAATTAATATTTGGTGATTACTATTTGAACAAGTATTATTAGTGCAAGCATTATTTGAAAGTGTTACAACTACTAGTATCTGCGTTTACAAAGTCTCAACTACAACGAGCATTACAAAATTTATATTGTTTTTATTTTTATTTATTTGTTATGTAACTAAATACATAACTGTCAACAATGTTTGCATAAAACTTGATATTTCCTGTAATAAATATTATCTCCAAAAAAATATTTTCTGGCTTTAAATAACCTGCAAAAAAAATTAAAAAAAATGAACGAATCAATCAATCATTTTCTTTGTTAATTATATTAATATAAACTAAACAAAATTATTTCTGTAACTCAGTGGATACTGAATATTCATCCCTTAAAATGGATGAAGATAATTACATATGTAAATTACCAACATCCCACCCCAGGGGAAATTAATAAAATTATAGTTCCATAAGATTTATACTAAACTGATTAATTGCTCTTACTAATTGACTAATGTAAAATTTTATGAAAAGCATGATCACCATAATGTTACTTATGTTTCAGAGAAAAAAAAAATTCTTACAATCTAAAAATATTTTCTGGCTTTAAATAACCTACAAAGCGTTGATAAGCAGTAGGAAATGAATCATTTGATCAATATGTACTAAACTGAGGTTAGTAAAAACTGAAAATGTTCTCACCTCACTGTCTTTGATGAAAATGTCAGCTTGATAGCTTATAAGAAGTCTCATGATATCAATATTGCCGCAATTAGCTGCGTCAATTAATGGGGTCATCCCTTCGCACTGCTCTCCACCTTTGTCATTCACATAAGCACCATTCTGCAGCAAAACTTCAGCTATCTCATAGAAGTCATGGTTACAAGCTTCGTGTAAAGGCAGCCAGCCACAATGGTCCCTGACATTTACGGGATGACCCTAAAATATTCAGAAATAGCAGTTCACAAATGCTTCAATAAAATAAATAGATTTCTCTTTTACAAGAATCAAGGTGCAACATTTGGAAAGAAGGAAAACTTTTCATCTTAGAAATACACGGGCACAATTTTTTTTTTTTTTTTTTTTTTTTTACAGTAAAGTTCACCCTTTACAAGACCCAGGGGCCACGCAAGGTAGGTTACATTTGGGGGCCATTTTTGTGTACAGGAGTGGACAATAAAGGTTGATCCTAGCCTTGAACAGGTTAAGATTGTAGTGATCAGGGAAACATCCTCTTGGGAGTCAGTTCCACAGGGAAGTGGTTTGCAAGAAAAAGTTGTTTGAGTGGAATTTACTTCTCATTGATGGAATACGAAGAGAATGTGAGTGGTTTATTATGTAAGTTGCATGGTCTGAGCACTTTCCGTCAATATTTACATTTGTGTTCAATTTATGGTTGGAAGATTAGCAGGCAGCAAGCCATAGAGCAATGCTTAGGAAGCTAGTTTTAGAAACTAGTCCAATTTTCACTGTTGCCTTGTGCCAGATTAAGTTTATTCCTCTTCTTCTATATGCCATGTCCCTTCAGGTTAAGCATTATCCTATCCCTTGTAGCTCTTAGCAATATTTGTCCTTTTGCCAAGCGATCTGGGGCAGCTCAGGATTACACCTGTTACAGGTGAGATATAAGACAGTACAACCTGCTGTATGGACAGGTGGTTAAGTGTCTAAACCATCTCTCCCACTAGCTTTGCTGCTGGTGAGGAGGGTGGCATGTCACCTCCACAGGACAAAAACAAGACCTGTCAAAAGGGTGGATGAGCCTCTCATAGGAACACACACATATATATATATATATATATATATATATATATATATATATATATATATATATATATATATATATATAGTAAATATATAATTGGTATATACGGAATGAATTCCAATAACCAACAATTACTATTCTTAAAAGAGTGCTCAATACAAAGTAGAGCAGATATAATTATTTTTATAAAAATAATTATATATATATATATATATATATATGAGGGGAGAGAGAGAGAGAGAGAGAGAGGGAGGGTGCGATGGATAAATTGCCGTCTAAATTATGCAAAAATGAAAATAAAACCGACATCTTATTTTACTAACATTACACAAGAATATCTTGAAATACTAAAGAGTAAATTAATTCAATAATATCGCCATTGACTTCAACCTTGACCTCTAGATGACTTTTGAATTTCTTGCAACTCTTCTGGACAGTCTCCTTAAGTTGGTGAATGCCTGTGGCATATTTTTGCTATTTTGGTATGTAACACAACACCCCACACACAATTCAATATCTAAATCTATATTAGGCCACCAGACATGACACCGTGCAAGAGACTTAACCCGCGAAAATACATAGATGATCTGCATGTAGATTTTCCAACAATGCATCTCTGCACTTTGCTGAAATAACTACTAGTGATCCCTATAAAAACATGACCCATACATCCAAGCTTACAGCACCGAGTATTCCCAAGTGGTCACCCATCTGGGTACTGACCAGGATTGAGATTGCTTAACTTTGGTGACTGTACGGGAACCAATCTTTCAACGTGATGTGGCTATAAGCCGTTAGTGATTGGGAGTAGAGTCTAAAACTGACATAGAAAGTATAACCTCCTGGGGCAGGGGTAATGGAGGTAGCAGGGTCATCAGCTATTGGGAGATGAGTCTTTGATCCTTCGTTGTCCACAGATTGATAATGGTAACGGGATAATATTAGTACCTAAAGTTGCACTACCTCTTTTAAAAGTTCAAAAAGTGGCTTGTGATCTGTAATGATCGTAAATTCATGATTGTAAATGTATTTATGGAATTTGGTAACTCTATACATGACTGCTAGTCCTTCACGTTTTATCTGAGCATAATTTCTCTCTGATTTTGATAATGTCCTAGAAGCAATGTAGATTGGTTTTTCACTCCCATCTGGCATATGTAATAATATTGCTCCAATACCAACTGGAGATGTGTCCACAGTCACGGTAAGTTTCAAGTTTGGACTGTAGTGAACCAATTAATAAACTTTTTGATTCCTTAAATGCAACTTTAATAAACTTGATAAATTAATAAACTTTATTAATAAACACTATTTACATTATTCGGACTATTGTCTTCATCTTTGTTGCCATATTTATTACGTTTCGGTTGTCATATGCTCCGGTTTTCTTCAGGTGGTTGGAATGTCAAACTGAAACCCTTTATTTCGCTCACTGGGGTAGACTGTTCTAGTTCCATGTGCCATATTTAATGGATGTCAGTTATCAGTTATCTCCTGTTTATTCCCCTCTCCGAGTTCTCCACCGCCTTAACCGGGTATTGAACTCACACTCTTTGGGTCCTGTCACTGGATATAACCAACACCTTTATCCACTGTGCGTCATCTCAGAAAGATAGACAGGTTTATTAATAAACTTTTTGATTCCTTAAATAATAATTAAGAAACTTTAAATAAACTTTTTGATTCCTTAAATGCAACTTTTTCAGCCTACCTCCATCACCAGGGGGACACTTTTTTGTAATAACTCGTATAATGTAGCTAGAATAATGCCAATATTGTTTAGGCATCGCTGATAACAATTAATCAGTGCCAAATAACTATACAGTTCTGAGACATTCTTTGAGGTAGCAGCCTCAAAAATTGTGTTAACCTTTTTCATTGTTGGATTCCTTTTGAATCCAGCTTGTAGGCCAGGTATGAAACTGAAATCTTCAATAACTCGCACTTGTTACCTTTCAGACAGAGACCTGCATCCCATAATCTCTTTACAAACAGTTGTATATTATTATCATACTCTTTTATAGAGGTTCCAGAGATTAGAATATCCTTGGTATCCCTTGTATTAGCTGGTCAATTGTGCACTGAAATATTCTCGGTCAAGATGCAATACCAAAACACAAACAAGACTATTGGAAAAAATCTTTATACATATTTATAATGGTTAGCTTCTGCTATATGTATTACACAAGTGTAACTTTGAAAAATAACATACACCAGAGACTTTAGAATATAAGTTGTTTATGTTTTGAATGGGGTACTTATCTACCTGCAAAATAGGGTCAACTGTTTGCTTAGTCACCACAAATCTGAACATGGCCATTTTTTTTTAATAATGGAATAGTAGGAGAGGCCCATTGTGAAAAGAGACTGATGCAGCAACCAAGCATTGTAGTCCCACCTCAACCCAAACCTGAAGATAGAGGTACAGGCTGAGCTTCTAGAAAATGAGGAAGATGTCTGGTTTTATGTATAGTTTTGTTGTCATGTCCCTCAAAGGTACCGAAACAGGATTGAAAAAGTTCTAAAAATTCTTGCTTCAAATCAGTCCATTTAATTTGGTTTCAATGTAGCCAATGAGTCAATTGATAATTTCTTCAGCCAATCTCATCCTGACTCATGTGCCATTAAGACATTTCACGCATAATTTTTCCCTGTATTGTACAGCTAACTTAGCTCACCCCCTCAGTACAGTTATTCCATCTGAATATGTATGTAAATTTTGTCGAGCCTCCTCTTGAGAAAATGGCGCTAGGTAGTTTGAGAAATTCCTTTTCCCTTAAAAAGAGAGACTGTGAACACCCAGTGTCAATTTCCATAAGTTACTCCATTTATTCTAAGCTTACACGTATACAACATTGGTATACTGTAGTAAGTTCTATATAATGGTATATCCACTTGTGTATGTTTCTGTGTTGGGAGTATTACAGTCTCACAAAATGATTCCTATTCTTACACTTAAATCAATTTTTTTTTTTTTTTAAAAAACCAAGCAGGGCATTTTTCCTGCTTCCCGTGTCTTCATTGCCAAAAGCTGAACATACCTTTGTTGTGTTTTTTTTTTATTTCCTTCCAAAAAAATTCTCAGACATTCTGTTATCTGTAGAATGCCTGTGGCCGCTAATTCCATTGCTATAGCCACCTTGAAAGCTTTTTCTAATGTCTTTGGACAATAAATGTTTAAGTATGTAACTTTCCACTACCATGAGGCATTTAAGTTTAAAACGTTCCAACAGTAATAGTTTTATTTCTTCATAAGAAATGTCTGTTGGCATCTGTGAAGAACATAAAACTTCTAAAATGCCATAAGTTCTTCCTCCAATGGTACAAAAAGTTCTTGCTTTACATTTAGTTAAATGTTGAATGTCATTAGCTGTAAAAAATTGTTCCAAGCAGTCAAATATAAAGAAATATTTCCCAAGTTTACACCGAACCCCCTTCCAGATGTCCTAATATTGCCATAGTTTGAAAAATAATTTTTTTTTTCTTTTTGACAAATGTAGTAACTTGCAAGATCATATGGCTACCAAACTTCCCTAACATGCATAGTACACCTTGTTTATATTTGTGCTCCACCAATATTGGTAGAACCGACTTCTGCGAGTGCTGCACACAATGGCATCAGGAGTACTTCCAGTTCTCCTGAATGGCTTAATTACAACAATTACAAGTTATTTCTTTATCCTTTGAGATCAGTTTTATAAGTTAATATAGTATTAAAAAACAAAACAAAAAAAAACCACAAGTAAAACAGAATGACCCACCTGTTGTAAGAGTAATTTTACACGTTTCAGATTACCATCAATGCAGGCACGGTGGAGTAGAGTTTCTCCTTTTTCATTTTTTTTTATCTGCAAAGAAATTGAAAACAAAAGTAGTTAAAAAAAAAAAAAAAAACAAAAAAAAAACAAACAAACAAAACAAACTCTCCAAAAAAGAGAAACTCAGCTAGTTGCACTTATGATAAACTGCAACTAATATCAACATGTATAGGACTTATTAAAAATCTGAAAATTGTCATTTTCTTCAATGATATATACAAGCCGCGATGGATAAATTGTCGTCTAAATTAATACCAAAATGAAAATAACACTACCATTTCATTTTAACAGATGTATTTATCAAAATGACACAAAAACATCTCCATTGGCTTCAACCATAGCCACCAGATGACTTTAAAATCTCATGCATCTCTTCTGGATGTTCTCCTTGTTTAAATTCGTGAATGCTACCATAATCCTTGTCTTCAGTTCATCTTTGGTGTTACAAGGAGTTTTGCTGGTTTCTTGCTCAACTGTGATCCACACATAATAATTAAGGGGGTTGCAGTCTGGGGAGTTAGATGGCTAGATGTAAGGGGTGATGTGGTTGCAGAAATTGTCTGACAGCCATGACTGGGTTCTCCTGCTTGTGTGGCATGGTGCAGAGTCCTGTTGCCAGACAGTCTTCCAGCACTACCTCCTCAAGGCACTTGATGTAGTCCTCCATATTGAGTCTGAGGCCTTATGGGAAGAGGAATGGAGGTATAACATCATCATCACTAGTAATCACTCCAAACATATTCGTAATCACCATTAGACTCATCCAACACTTTCCGAATCCTCTGCACTGTCCTCTGAAATGTTCGTATTGGAGCCAAGCTGTACAGCATGCTGTTTCCAATTTTCTGTTGGAGTGAATTGCATCATGGTGTTCTTTTTCTCACAGACAGTTTCCAACTTACCCTACTATACTTTGCAACGACAAAAAAAAAAATGCATACTCAATTTACACATGGCACCCTGTATATTTGATAAATCAAAGTGGAAAACTGCTTTATTGATTAAGCAATTCACTTTGTTAGATATGCTTCTTCAGGTCAGATCAAAAGAAATGTGTGTCCGAGGACTTTAATATCAATTATCTATTTGTTAGGCTGACGAGTTTTCTGCTCATGGTTACAACATGATCACCATAAATCTAGTTTTGACTTGTGATGTTTACTGCATACATACAATGCAAATGGAGTGGCGGAAGAATATGTAGGAGAATATTTATTATTTTCATTTCATTATATTTATGTCTTCCATGTTTTTGTTTTTTTTATTTCTAATTATGTTAACAGTCATAGAAATGTGTTGTTACATCGTAGATTGTTACTTTACTATTGCATTAGCATAGATGAGTAACCTAAGTGCTTATTCATGGAAAATCATGTTATGACACAACATAGGAGCAGAACTCTGTAGTAAGTCAAGGACCATTGTGTATGTGTGTGCGTGCATATATAATTATTTATTTAAAAAAATAGCCATTTTGTTTCAACACCTCCGGTGTCTTATCAAGTGATGATGTTGAATGTAAAATAAATGGTTTTAAAAGTTTCAAATTAATTAACGATCCTTTGCAAGGGGAAAATGTTGTTACAAAAGCTAGAATGACCAATCAAAATACAAGTATAGGAAAATTCAAAAAGCTTGATAACGAAGTCATGTTATAATAGCTATTCAGATCTTTAAGATAGGGGTAATATTAAAAAAAGAATTTATTCTAACCAATAATTATTAAATTATATGATAAAATTTGATATGAAAATTAAAAGTAAAAATTACCAATTTTAAAATCCAAATTTAATCACTATTAATTATAAAATTATTCATTCCATATACCAATTATATATATATTATATAATATATATATATATATATAATATATATATATTATATAATATATATAATATATATAATATAATATATATATATATATATTATATAATATATATAATATATATATATTATATAATATATAATATATATAATATATATATATATATATATATATATATAATATATATATATATATATATATATATATATTATATTATATAATATATATATATATATACATACATACATGACAGAAAGAACAGATGGAGTATAAGTCCACTGTTCGTAGAATTTACTTTAAAAATATCCTCAATACAAAGTAGGTCAATATATTGTTATTTTTTATTATAAGAGCTTATAATAAAAACATGTTGAAATTGCTACACAAAAGCATTCATGTTCCAATACTATGATTGTACTTCTTCAGGCAATATATTATTATATATGTGATCTGAGGAACCAGGAAAAAAAAATCATTTTCATGGCATGGGGAAATAAAGTATAATCAATGAAACCTTAAGGTTATGTTTTATAATACAATATATATATATATATATATATATATATATATATATATATAAATAAAGTGAACATTGAACACTCAGAGGCGACAAGTTGTTTCATATATATATATATATATATAAAAAATAGTGAAGTATACATATATTATAAAGAAGTAATCATACAAAGAAGAATTAATCAGTAAAGCTAATGTAATTAATGGCGAAATCTCTTTGCTATCAAATTTTATAAAGCATTAACCTACTAACCATTCGTTGAATGACGCGATCCTTGTGATTAAAATTGTAAGATGGATTTAATGTTCTGGTGCTAGTACTTTTGAAAATCTTCACATTTTCATCAGGCTTTAATATTTTTTCCATTTCAGGTGAACTCTAAGACAAAATAAATGTATTGTAGACTGAAAGATGTTTTTTAAGAATTTGTTATTTATTAATGGTTACATAATTTTGGAATGTGCAGTGTTGAACCGCTAGAGTTGTATTTTAAATATTTCAAGTGAGTATATATTTTTGAATATAGTAATGTGGTAAATTCTCAAATTTTTTTGTTCTTAAGTGTTGTAGTAGCTTAATGCTTTAATAAATTTTTTAGTGAAGAGATTTTGTCATTAATTACATTAACTTCACTGATTAATTCTTCTTTTGTATGATTACTTCTTTATAATATGTATATATATATATATATATATATATATATATATATATATATATATATATATATATTATGAGTAGTTGTCTGTTTGATATATTGGCATGGTATTGGACTTGCCCTGGTTGCATTTGAAGATGTGTTGTGATACAATTATGTAAAACAAAGCATAATATTTTTTTCTAAATAAATCCACATTACAACCAAAATGTTTGCGGCACCTCTCTTCTCTTCTTTTTAATATACATACTTTTCTCTCGTTGGAACCACTACAACCTCTTTCTTTTATATATATATATATATATATATATATATAGACTGCACTATTTAATATATGTATGAAAAACTGACCCACAATAAAAAATTCTGGAAAAACTACTAAGACATTACTCTAATAATTGGATCATTTTGTCCATTAAATGAAAAACATTTATTCATTGACAGAATTCCTGGCAGCCAATGCCTTAAAGAAATACAAAAATTGCTCTCACAAGCATAGCTCACATCCTGCAAATTGCTTTATCTATGTAAAATATGTGCCTTTAGGTTTTTTGTTTTTTTCTAAAACACAAATGTGCATTGGAAAATGTCATGTAATTTCTGACTTTAGTTTTCTGGTTACAACCCAGAAGTTAAGGAGTGTACAATAGAAATAATAATAATAATGTATCATGACAACTATGGTACCTTGAATCGTGTAGAAGTTGTTCGTCTTTTGGGCAGTGGGATATTATTTTGTGGTTCATCTTTTTCTTCTTCTTCTTTCTCTTCTTCTGATTCTGAATAGAGAAACAACAAAATCCAAAAAGATTAAAAATTTTAATCAGATTAAAAAGTTGAAAAAGAAAAAAAAATAATCATAAAGATAAGAAACAAAATACTTTGTTTTGCAAAAATTAAGATTTACTTTCTCAAGAAGAAACCTTAATAATGATAAATATTTACATCTTTTCTATCCACAATCATACTGAAGTCAACCAAACTATGTGTAAAAGGGTTTTGGCTTTTCAGAAATAAAATTACACAAGGACCTCACCATCCATTGCCACAACTTTTGTGTTCAAAACTTTTATTAAACTAAAACTACTTCATAATATATATATATATATCAAAGGAGAAAAATATATATCAAATATAAGTGTTATATGTTTTGGTATAAACCTATTTCTTTGGTTTGGTTTATTATCCTGTAAAATTTGGGGTGGGGTATTATTAATGATACTATATTAGTCATTCAATGATACTAGGGAACAATTACTGTGACAAATGTAATATTGGTGTATTCAAGTACGATTTGTTGAAGTAGACATAAATTTATCAGAAATGTATTTAAAAAAAATGTTTTTAATCTACTCAGGAAGCTTCATAAAAGGATCTATAGGTAAAATTAAAAAAGTGGAAACAATTATATTATTGTTAATTATACAGAATAGACAGTAAAAAAATGGCAATATTATAGCTGAATAAATCAAATAAATGTTAGGTGGACCATTATATACTAATAAAATAAAGGCTATATAATTATAATATGTAATCTTACTTATAAAATGCAGATTGTGTGTGTGTGTATGTATCTGTACATTTATATATTGGATAGGATTTCCTACATTTTACAACCGATTTCAACAAAACTTCACAGGACTGTGTAAAATTACCTTGCGGTGGTTCTGACAGTGCCAAAAATTGGAAAAACAATTGTTTTTGCATGAAATCAATTTGAAAACACGATAAAACACGATTCTGTCTCCAGAATGAAAGGGGGACAACTCATATCGCGTTATACTTATAAAACCCAGGTTGTTTGTGTGTGTGTTCGTTTATATATGGGATCGGATTTCCTACATTTTTCAACCAATTTCAACAAAACTTCACTTTGTTTTGGCAGGTAGTGTTTCTTATTGTCTTGCACACTTTTTTCTTTATTTTTACATTCAGAATGCTTGAAAAATTCCATTTACAAAATAATTGTTTATAATAAAATTTTATTCAATTGATAGACTCATAACGATTGAAAACAATGTTTTTGTTTGAGTTTGACCAATTCGTAAAAAAAAAAAAAAAAAAAACTAATTAAGACATGCGTGTCTGTCAACCTTAAACAATAATCTTTGTCAATTTTATTTTTCAGTCTTTATGATGGTCCATACTTGATCTATCTCTTACTGTTACATCCCCGGGCAACGCCGGGCTCTACTGCTAGTCATTTATAAAAATTTTTTTTAACTATATTTTAAGGTGAAAGGTAGATAATGGCGGCATAGCACCATTAATTCATTTCTTTGGTTTAACAGGTTTTTATTGTTAGGAAATTTTATAATATGCAATTTTTCTTGTAAACATAGGGGACATGGGTTATATAAGGATTTACAGGTTCTAGTTATTTTTAATAGTTTCCATTTTACCGTATGAGTTTTGTTAACTTCTTTTAAATGCCAAAAATATTTAGAAAGGGATGTTCTGTTATGAAATGCATTGTTGTTGAAAGATATGTGTTGATACAACCGAGTTTTAAAGGAATTTTTAGTACTACCTATATAAAATTTTTTATCTGTTGGATTTTCTCTAGATGAAATAGTACTTAGGTAAACAACTGAATCAGTTAGACATCTATTTTATAGTGGACAATTGTTAGGATTTCTACAATTACAGAAGTTGATATCATTATTGTTTGTTACTTTAGAATGTTGATTTAAAATTTTATTGCATTTTTTAATAATTTTTTCAATGTCATCTGTACAACTATAGCTTAATGTATGTGTATTTTTATTAAAAATCTAAGAGAATTATTATTAGGGAAGTGTTTATCAATTAAATTGAGAAACTTCTGTCCTAACTTAGTACTAGCCATTTAGTTAAATAGGAGAGTGTACCAAATGATTTTTCTACTTTTTCCCACAAACACTGTTATGTTTCCTATATTTAATGTCAGGGTACTTATAGCCATTATTTTTTAAAGCAGTGTTTTAAAATTTGCTATGTTTATAAAACACATCTTCACTGGAAGAGTTATTACTGATTCTATATTCTATGGAGGAGGGTATGTGGTTGATTATAGATGGAGGGTGATTTGAATTTGGGTGGATATATAATGGATTTGCATTAGCTTTCATGTAAGGTTGGTATGTATTGTTGACTAAGTCTAGGGTTACATTGAGGAAATCTACTTTTTTTAATGTTACGTGTTGATAATTGTAACAAAGGAAAAAAAAAATGATTTATCACAACACAGAGCTAAATCACAAACAAATATTTAATTTACTCAAACAGAACATAAAATATATACAGGATAAACAATTGTGGCCTACAAAACAGAAAAACAGAGTTACTGGCGGGGTGTTACGAGGAAGAAGGAAAGGGAATCAAATATCTTTGTCACTTTAGGGCTAGTGAAGTAATCTAAGTGCTATATTTGAAAATCCACAAAGGTGTGTAAATAAATATTAATTTTTAGTTTGGTCAATGAAAATTAGTCAAAATTCTATTTACCAAACTTGTTCCATGAAATTCTCTTTTGGGTTTTGGTTGGTCGGCAACTTTTTTTTAGAGATTCTTTCAGCTGGAAATAATAGTCCTTGAATCAAAAGCCGGAGTTGATAACAGCAGAAATTCCTTTTCATCAACTGACAACACTTTTCCAAAATCCCATTTTTATAGGGGCTAACACCTAATTTGCATATTTCTATATGTTTCTTGAATATACTAAAATGATCTAGAATCTTCCAAACATTCTATTTCTAATTTCTCTATTTTACAACTACTTCATGAATGAAAACTTTTTTGTAATAACAAGTAGAACTCAAAGGAATCCCTTATTATAGAAATGTATCCTCGTAACATTAAATTTGTGTTTATTATAAACTTCAGGTTTAGACTTTTAAATTCCCTATGTATTTACCGATTTTGTCAATTTTAATTTTTGTAGATTTTTTCACCACCATAAAGCTGTTATCTCTATATAAACCTGTTTTCTGTTGATATCGTGGTGGGCACTAAGGTTATATAACATGAACAAACCAACAAATTTGGAAGACTCAGCTGAGTCTAATGATCCCATTGCAATATCAAATTGGTCAACCAAATTTTTTATCCATTGTTCTTTGTTATGGATAAAGAATTCATAATAATGTCCTGTTCCTCGTTTGAAAGATCGAAGTTCTCAGTGGCAAGTTCTAAAGCCAATGTAAAGAGACCCCTGGAAATGGATGGGTAGTAATCCACAACTGGATCAATTTTATCTTTTACATTATTAAACCAATTGATGACATCAGTGGTATTAATCCATTGTACCAGTTCAAGGCACTTTTTAATCTGCTGATTAATTCTGTTGAGGATAATCTTACTAATTTTACCAATTTCTAGCCTAGTAGAGTTTATGATCCTCATGGGAAGATTAGTTTCAAAATCAGGTCCTTGATTATTATACATGATTCTTTTGTACATAGTTTGCTCACTGTCAATAATTTTAAGTTTGTCAGTAATAGTCTTACTAGTTTAATTAATTTTATCAACTAAGTTACTTATATTATTAGCTACATTTCTATAATTTTTAGTTAAGTTTTTCTGATTAAAGTATTATAATCTTTAGGTATAATTTTATAAAAATTTGCTGTTTTGTCAGATTTGACAAAAACTTTTTCAGATGAATTAATATCCTTTACAACTTGGTCAAGATGTCTCTGAAAATTATCTTTATGTTTAAGAGTTAATGTTAATTATTTCCAATAAATCATTTTCAAATAACCTTTCAATGAATGGTGCAGTTTTTATGCTTCTGAAACCATAAACTTTCAGTTCTTTTGAAAAATTATAATTGTGAGGAAGAAATAAGCCTTCCACCTCGTTCTTCTTAGTAAATCCTTTGTTTTTTGAATAAGTTTTACAAAATAATACTGTTTGTGCTGGGAATGTTCTTTTTCATACATGGCTACCCAAGTTCCTTATTCTGGACATACATGGCTACTCAAGTTTCCTACTCTGGACATAGTTACATAGAACAAACCACAAGAGAAACATCTGAATAGTTTTTGTAATGTTTAATAAGAAGAATTAATTCAGCAAACTTACTATTTTTTCATTTGATTAATTAATTTGCTACATTTTTAAGAAAATTTAATTAACCAGGTTATTTTAACTTATTTAGATAATTTCATAATTTTATTTTTGACTATATTTGACCAATTTGTAGTAATGTGAAATAGCAGACAACAAAAATGCTTATAATGAATGTTGCAGTTTTTTTTAACTTCTGACTGAATTTTGACAGATATAAAATTATTTAAGACAGATATAAATTATTTCTAGACAAACTTTATGAACTGAAACATTGCTTATATACGGCAATTTAAAAAAGTTTTAATTAAAAATAAATAAAAGAATAGAATTTTAAAAATTGTTAAAAATTAAAAATCACTGTTAATGTTGTAAAGACCGGTTAGAATTCATTACATGTTAACAATGTGACATGTTTTATTCAATGAATGTAAAGTGGGGACAAAGACAAAATTTAGCCTTACACAAGTTTATAAAAGTTTATTATTATTAATGATATGATGAAAAAGAAGAATAGGGGTCTACTTACCCGAGTCAGTGAGATCGGACATATCAACCGGCTCCTCTGCATCTGTGACATTTTGAGAATTAGTGTAACTGTCTGAAGCATGTGTATCATCATCATCGTCGTCATCATCATCTGATTGGTCTGAATCATTTGATGACTTTATCTTACCTCCCACAAGCTTAAGTTTCTCTATGTACTTTTTGCTTTCTTTTTTGTGTGCTTCTTGAAGTTGAACAAGGGAACGAAGAGTAAGACGCTGCGGGGAGATGAGTAAAAGGGAATAATGAAAGAAAGGGTGGGGTAGTTAAAAGGAAAAAAAAAAAAAAAAGTGATAAAACACAAAATTTTTGCTCTTCATTCTTAATGAAAGACAATATGTTTTATTGTTTATTAACATATAGAAATATAATAAAGTCTTATCAAACAGAAAAGTATGATGGATTAATTAACATCTTCAAATGTATTACCAGGTAATATTTTATTAACCTATTTATCAGGTAATTTGTTTGTGTATTTTATCATTTTGAAATTTGATTTTTCAGTAATTTTCATGGCTTCCATCTACAAGGTTTTGTGACTGCTTTCTCCAATCTATGTATTTCACAAGAATAAGAAACAAAACTGTTGTAATTTTGTCTTTGTTCAAAATAGCCAAGAATTAGGAAGGCTGTAGTAGAGTATTGAAAGAAAAGAAGACTAGGTAGAGGAAACAAAGAAGAGTTTTATTAAATACGCATACATAGAACAGAATAACTTGAGTAAATCAAATACTACTCAAATCCTATTCTAATGTGACTACTTGCCATATTTATAAGTTGGAGAAGTTCAGTGTCACAATAGTAGAGAAGAGTAAGAAGTAGGCTGAGTACTACAGAATTAGATATAGGCATGTGTTCCTGTAAGCACATACACACAATAAATATAAATTTCCCTTCAAAATTTGAAAATAAGTTTCTGGTAACACATTAGTTTGGAAATTCTTGCAAAAATCAAATAATTGTTGGATTTTAATAAAACTTTCAGGACTTGTTCACAAATGAATGAAATTATTTTTGAAATTATTATTTTTAGAAAATCTTGGTAAAAATATATTTTTTTTTTTTTTACATCTGTTAACCCCCATTTAATTAATTTCATGAAATTTCTAGAAATTAAAATAGTTAATCAAATGTTTTTTTTATTAGTCAAAAGCAGAACACCTTGGAGAATGTAAATCATCATTTATTTTTTTTTCAAACTTACCAAATTCCTTAAAATTTGCTCCAAATGATAAAAATGTCAATAAGACTATTTAATTATTTAATTAAATGAGCTTTTAATTGCTTTTATAAATAAGACATTATAGTTTGGAGAAAAAACTTTTTCTCTTGACAAATAATGAATTTTTACAAGAATTGTTTGCATTTCATTTTTTTTCATTATAATAATTTATAAAGTTACGAAAATGTTTTAAAAATTCTTCCAAATGTTGCCAAAGTTAGGTTATTAAGTGAAGACTATATTTGCTAAGTGAAAATTGAAAAGCTTAATACAAATCGTCCAACCAAAAATTGAAAATTCGAAAATAAGTTTCAAAATGGAAATTAGGAGGAGAAACATGCATTTCAATTCTTTAATATTGTGAAAAATTAAATATTTTAGCAAAATATATGTTCAACATTGAAATTTTAATGCATAATATGGTGCAACTATTCAAAATAAAAAGACATAGTGATAGCTGTACTACAGGTCATATTATACTGAAGGATAAGGCACCTTGAGGCGGTGTAATGATTAGCAAGCTTGTCTTGCTAGAACAATTATGACTGAGTAGTGAGTTCGATCCTCACTGGGTGCCCCATACTTTCGACCTTGTGCCACATCTAAGCTATGCTTAGAAAAATCACTATTATACTCAAGGATGTAATTTATTCCTTGTTTTTAACTTCATACTCAAGTAGTATACACAAGAAAATATGGTATGAGTGAATTTGGCATCATGAAATTTAACAAAAATGGGAAGTCTGTTTCCTTTAGTCTTTTTAAGCCAACAATTTAGGAAATCAACAATTGTTAAACAGAATGAAAAGAAAAGATTCTATACTGACTTCTAACACGAGGTGTTTTGCTTCTTGGGCACATTGCAATGCTTTCAGGTAAGTAAGTTTGATGACTTCATAACTCATTTTGACATTCTCTTGATTAATAGCAATATTCAGGTACGTGCGACAAGCCTAGAAGAGAAATAATGCTTTAACATGTACATAAATTGAAAGATATTAAATATATTATCTTATTTTTAGCCGATAGTATAAACTGCAATTATTCTTACATCAATCCCACCATGATTTCAGATATTACAATATAAGCAACAAAAATCCTTGACATATTTATAGAAGTCAAATATATTGAATAAAATAAAAATATAAAATAAAATTTGCTATAAATAGCAAAAACCTTTCACTAAATTAATAATTTATTTAGAAGATAGTTTACATGTTGCTCTCTAAATAGTCAACTACAATATGTGACTAAAAATAGAGTTGCATTAATGCTTAATTCAAATGATTTTATGTCTTAATTTAGTGTATTTAAAAAAAAAATACAATGCATAAATAAAAATACATTTGTATCCTGATGAGTGGATTTCATATTTGTTTTATACAATTACCCCCACCCCACAAAAAAAAGAAAAAAAAAAAAAAAAAGCTGTCAAAATTTGTTACAGGATCTACAAAACAGTAGAAATAAGCAATCATTATATTTATATAATATGGTACGACAACTTGTCAGGACCAATATTCTTATTCTAGTTGCTTTTCTTACAAAGTTTCAGCTGTTGTGAAAACGACTGAAGTTAACATCAAACTGAAATGAGATGAGAAAACCACTGAGAAGTCGAAGATAATAATGTGGTCAGCCTTTTAGTGTAGTCAGAGTTTAAGCTCAGGTAATAAGCAAATATTTTAGTCATTCATTTTCATGGCAGGCAGGCTCTCTCCATTTGTAGGGAAGGTGTAACCCAATGTTTCTATTCAAATTTCCTTTTACATGGCCTTGTGTTGTACTAAGCTAAGCTTGATAAATATTCGTAACATCAACAAAGATGAGAATATAAGTCTGAACAATTTGTACTTATTTGTTTAATGCTTGAATGTTGACATATTGTTAAAAAGTCTTTGTAACAAATTTTAACATCATTTTTTTTTTTTTGCTAATGTATAAAAACAAATATGAAATAATAAAATTTTATTTCATGAAGAAAGAATATTTGCATTTGAAAACTTCAAACTGCATTCCTGTTAAAGAAATACTAAGAGACATTCCAAGATAGCATACATTAGAGAAACCTAACCAGCAGTGGTAACATTGTAATAATAATAACAAAGTTGAAGGTACAAGTTTAAAGAACTTATATTAAGACTGCTTTTCTAAAAATTTCAGTGGCAGTTACTTTTTTTTCTTATTTATTATTACCTGCGATAAGTATTTGTTATAAAAGAAAATGTTAAGCATACTTGATCTTTTTTAGTTTACTATATTACAAGGAAAAGTCGATTACAAGGTTTACTATATTACAAGGAAAAGTCAATATAAATTCTACCTGTTCTGGATTGGACTTGTAATGTTCAATTTCTTTCTGGTAGTAATGAATTGCTTTCAGATATTGATGGTCATCTTGATATGTTTGAGCTAAAGACATAAAAATTGGCACCAACTCAGATTGTGGGGTTTTTAGTTGGTTTGCAAGTTCCAACTGTAGAAAAAAAAAAAAAAGAGGTGGAGAAAAGTTAAAACCACATTATTTCTTTCTTAAAAAAACAAAAAACAAACAAAAAATTTATCAGAAACACTGTTGTGATAATCTGTCGTTATTAAAAGACAATGTCTGATGTGATTGTCTAGCCTATGTTAAGAGACTGTAATAGACAAAACAGAATTTAGCACTGATGAAGACCTTATAGGAATGGAGCATTTGCTTAGATGTTGACTTAGTCATTTTGAGATTTTTTTGAAAAGTAATAAAAGAAGAAACCTCAAAGTAGGCTCCTTTTTTTTTTCTTTTTTTTTTTCAACTAATGTTCATCCTATAGAAAGTCCAAGAGCTACTCAAAGTAGAGTGTTGCTGAATGAGTGGTAAGATTAAGAGGATATGGGGGAAAGATAACGGTTAACCCTAGACTTGAAGAGGTTAAGATTGTATCTATCACAAAAGCATCCTCTTGGGAGCCAGTTCCACAAAGTAGTGATTTGGAGAAAGAAACTGAGTGGAACTTCATTCTTACTAATGGAATGAGGATGATTCACATCTATGGACGTGGCTTGGTGGCTCTTAGTTGTGAGGTTTACAGTTAGTGGAACTAAGGAATATAGTTTGAAACATTTTCCATGGAAATAGCGATAGAACAATGAGAGGCTTGCAATGTTTTGTCTCTGAGAGAAGGGGTTGTAAGTTGGAAAACAATTCATCACCCACAAGGCGTCATAGACGTTTCTAAGCTATCAAGATTGGAAAGTGAAAACTAGGCAGTTCCAGGCTAGATTCACTCAGGTCTTAATAGGAAGTCTGATCAGTCAAATTGGCAGCTAATCTCAAAAATGATCTACAATCTGTTGTTAACTGGGGCAAGTAATGGCTTGTTAATTTTAATGCCTCCAAAATGGAAAGGCTCTATTCTAATTGTCTGAGAGAAGCTGTTTGAACTTCCATCAGGAGAGTGACTCATTGTGCCTTTTTTGGGCTAATGTTTTCTGCTGGTATGAAGTGGAAAGATTATATTGAATTAATTGCTATTTCTGCTGCTAGGAAAGTTGGTTACTGTGTTGTGCTAGATAATTTTTCTCGCCAGAATCTATCTAACATATTTATAAGTCTACCATTTGTCAATGCTTTGAATATTACTACCACATCTGGTCTTGCATGTCTGCTATATTTAAACATTCAAAGAAGAATCTGCAATGTTATTGGTATTGACCTGGCATCTCAGTTTCAGTCACTTTCCTGCCATAATGTAGCTTCCTTGGGCCTTATAAATACTTTCATGGTAATTGCTGTGACAAACTTTCCTCTATAGTAACTAGTCTTTATGAATTTAAGTGCAGTACTAGATTGGTAGTAAGGTCTCATCATTTTAAAGTTAAAATGGCTACATGTAACTGTAAGTTCTATGCTAACAGTTTCTTTTCTTGCACTTGTGGAACACTTTTCCAGCTTCTTGCTTCCCAGACAACCTTGACCTTAAAAAATTTAAATGCAATGTCAACCATCATCTTTTGTCTTCTTAATTCCTGTTCATTTATTGTTCACTCTCTCTCTCCTCTTAATAATGTTTTCTCTCTCTCATATTCTCTTACACTCAGTAACCCCCTTGTGTCTTAGTGGCTTTATTGCCTTGCTTGGAGTGAAACAATTAAAAAATAGAAAGAAAATATGACAGCAGTACTCCATTTTAGGTTTATCAATACCAACAGTGACAATTATTAGCTTGACAAATAACTTTAGCAGCCTGTCATGTTTAAATAAGGTTTTATTCTGTCTCCAAAATTGTGATATTTTCAAACAATAGGAAGAAATGTAAAACAAACCACTTTATGATAATGTTTGATGGCCAATTCATAAAGGTTGCAGTTGGCGGCATTATCTGCAAGGATTTCATACACCTTCATCTGGCCACTGACACTCTCGTCCTTATCTTCAGATACCTGATTAAGTGCCTCTTCACTTTTCTTGGCTGAAGTTGAAAATTAATATAGACAAAAATATGGGCGAAAACAAACAAACAAATAATGATTAATCATTATGGTAAAATTCTGATCCAATGTTTTTAAATTAAACTACTTCAGGGGAAACGGGTAAATTAGAAATAAATATTTTTTTTCACTTATTAACATCTAATACTGAAAATTATTCTGGATATATAAAAAATCTATCAGATTTAATAAAATATATAAAAAAAAAAAAAATTCCAGCATAGACAATGAAAAAAGTTCTCCCAATATTTACATGATTTATATTTGCATTATTGCCATCATCTAGTGAATAAAAGCATTGGTCTGTGAATTTGGTGCCATTGTGGTTGTGAGTTCAATGCCTGGGTTGGGCAGTGTGTACTTGCACTTAGTGGAAACAGGCGAGCAATAAGTAAACAATACTAAATAAAAATAAGAACTAGATGATATTCCAGGAACAGTGGAACGAGAACAGTCTATCCCCACAGATTAAATAAAGGGTTCAGTTCAGAATTGCCTGTAGATTACCCAGATTGATATATACCTGAGGAAGGCCAAAGGAAACAATGGCCAAAATGTTGTGATAACAACAAAAATGAGGACAATAGTCCAAATATAAATAATGTAAATAATGATAATTCCTAATTCCAGAAATCCAGACAAAAATTCTCCCAATGTGCAAAAACAAAATGGCTGATGATTGACCAATTTGATTTATAACCTATTTGAGTGGAAATGGAATTCAGAATTATTATGTTGTTGTTCTTTTGCCAACTACAGGAGAAAATGCCGAGAACAGAGACAACCACTATAAATTGCCTTCATTGACCTTTCAAAAGCATTTGATCTTGTGAGCAGGAACAGTTTGTTCAAGATGCTTGATAGAATCAGTTGTCCTTCAAGATTCCTCAAGATTGTCCAATTGTTTCATGTACATATGAGGAGGAGCATTGTATAATTTGGCAATTCTTATTCACAGACTTTCAATATACACAATGGTGTGAAGCAGGGTTGTGTGCTTGCACCTACTTGGTTCGGCATCTTCTTCATGGTCATGTTGAAATGTGCATTTGGGGCTTCAAGTGAAACCAATGGCATCTACCTGCATACATGAAGAGACTGAAGACATTACAGTTTGTCTTGGCTGAGAGTGAAATCCAAAGTCCATGAGGTGCTTATTAGAGACATGCCGTTTGCAGATGATGCAGTACAGTCTGAAGAGCAAACTGCAGTGAGTAATGGACAATTTTTCGAAAGCCTGCCAAGAGTTCAGTCTGATCATTAATCTGAAGAAAACCAATGTGATAGGTGAATGTGTTGAACAGCCCCCCATTATCAAAATCAACGACGACCTGGAGGTGGTTCATAAATTCACTCAACTCCATCATTTTTAGACATTCTCTCCCTACACACTGAGATCAACAGATGGATTGGACAAGCTGCCACCATGTTTATCAGGCTGACCTTGAGAGCCTGGGAGAACTACTACTACTACTACTACTACCACTAGCTTACTACAAATTCTAATATTAGAGATATACAAATTACAGGGCATGTATTGTCAGTGTGCTGCTCTATGGTAGCGAGACTTGGCGCCTCTACCCTAGAAAGGAGAGATATCTCAGCATCTGTTATCTTTGTTGTCTGAGATTCATTCTGGGCATCAATAACCGGGTCACCAATATTGTAGTTTTCATCTGTAACCAGTTACCCAGCCTATGCACTTTTCTTCAACCATTCTGGCTCCACTGGTTTGGACATGTACATGCTGGATGGCAGCATTCCAAAGGTCCTTCTGTATGGGGAACTAACCCCAGGCACAAGGGTGACCTCATCTCTGCAAAAGGGACATGAGGATGATGAACATGGATATTGAGAGGTGGGAAGACATTGCCAATGATTGCTCATGCTGAAGACGTAATTTACACAGAGGACTGGAGTGAGGAGAGAACAAAGGCTTGCCACTGGGGAGAAGTGTGCTCGATGGAAAGAAAATAACAAGGACACATAGGGGGAGAGTGTCTTCACATACTTGTTGCAATTGAGACTCCTGTGTGGGCCTGTACAGCCATAACAGATACTGCACTGCCATCAGCAGCTGAGGTATAACTCTCTGGGTGCAGAGCAATAGTCTCTTATGACCAACAAATGCCACATAAGAATTCACCATGTTTAATGGATGTCAGTTATCAGTTATCTCCTGTCAATTTTCCTATCCAAGTTCTCCACTGCCTTAACCGGGTATTGAACTCACACTCTTTTGGGTCCTGTCACTAGATCTAACCAACGCCTTTATCCACTGTGCCATGTGTCCTTGAGGACATGGCACGTGAAACTAGAAAAGTCTACCCCAGTGAGTGAAATAAAGGGTTCAGTTCGACATTCCAACCACCTGAAGAAGGCTGGAGCGTACAATGGACGAAACATTGTAATAAATATGGTGACAAAGATGAGGACAATAGACCAAATAATGTAAATAGTATACATAATACCTCATCTCAGAAATATAAACAGATACTGAAGGGCCGAAACGTTGTAATAAATATGGCGACAAAGATGAGGACAATAGTTCGAATAATGTAAATAGTGTACATAATACCTCATCTCAGAAATATAGACAGATACTGAAGGGCCGAAGCATTGTAATAAATATGGCGACAAAGATGAGGACAATAGACCGAATAATGTAAATAGTGTACATAATACCTCATCTCAGAAATATAGACAGATACTGAAGGGCCGAAATGTTGTAATAAATATAGCAACAAAGATGAGGACAATAGTTCGAATAATGTAAATAGTGTACATAATACCTCATCTCAAAAATATAAACAGTGAAGTTAAAAACCCTCTTAACACCAATCATAGGCTAGGCATGTCTAATCTTTTCAAACAATGAATTTGTTTCCCTGAAATTAAAACATTTTACTTTACAAGTTCTCTTAAAAATAAACTGAAAGAATTTATCCATGCACTCACATGGACAGGATTTGAAACAAGGTTGAGTTTAATGTGGGATTTTGATAGCTTTGCAAAAATTGCTCAAGCCCCATCAACACTTCCCCTTTTGGTGATGCCTCAGTTGCTAGGTAATGACCCCACACCATTCCTGAAGGAAAGGTAGCGCCTGGGAAGATGGACTTCTGGGGCTTGAGCCAATTTTGGAATCTGATAGTTAAGGAAGTATTCCTAAAAATCTGCTGAACACTGTAAATCTGACCCGGAAATAATCTTTGTATTTCATCGTTCTATTAAAAAGGGACCAACTTACCAGCCCTGTAAAATTTGAGGAGGTTATGTTCATCAGTAGAAGCTCCAATTTTCTTAATCATTTTTAAACAATGGCAAGCTGTGTTGAAATTCTGTGCTTTAAAACATATCTGCAAAACAAGTGACCATTTTAATTAATCTATATATATATATATATATATATAAAACAGAGGATGTCTGTGTGTCTGTTTATCTGTCTGTGTGATACCTTTTCACTTGAGATCCATCCAATCAATTTTGGCCAAACTTGGAACATGCATTGTAAGAGATAGGTTCTTAGTGTAAAAAAAAAATGATAATTTTTAAAAAAATCAATAATTGATAAATTCAACTTTTTTCCTCTGATTTTGTTCAAACTTGGTATGTAGGTTACTTACATCATGACGAGTTCAATGATACCTCATTTTTATTTTTATGCCACTGCGTTTAGCGAAAAATGAAAAATTGATTTCAACACAAATTTTAAACTAAAACCTCCCTCAATTTTCAAGCAATCTAATGCAAACTTCACTTAATTGTAGCCAACAGTCATTTAACTTGATAATTGAATACACCATATAGTGAAAAACGGCAATTTTTACTAGTTTCTTAGTTATTTATTCATTGATCTTTCAGCCAATTTTCATCAAACTTAACAATTGCTTTATAAATGTATCCTCTTTTACATCCCTGGTAGCACACTGACAAATTGAATTTCAAAAACACCAAAATAATTGCGGTCTGAAATGGGTCTTCATGTTGCCCGTTTTACCCCTTCATGTCCTTGGCTAACTTCGATTGAATAAATACAGACTACTTCTGTTATATCAGTAACTGCATTAATTCAAAATGTTTTTCAATGAAAGCACTTTAAAGTAATTGAAGAAGATAGACTCTGTTACATCTAAACAAGATGCTGTTTCTAATTGAACACTTTTTCTGATCAACCAGTTGGGTATGGCTGCTAGTTAAGTATATTTGACTGACCAAAAAAAAGTTTGGTTTTGTTGTTAGATGGCATTCTACTTTTTTGATGTACAGTGGGCCTTCAGGATACTGGCGATCATGGCTCTCCACAATTTCCTATACTTGGTAGCTCTTAATAAATTTTGTCTTTTGGTTATCTCTCCTAAACCTTGTTTTGCCATCCATTTACTCAAGATCTCAGGTAGGTTATGTGTCGTTTTCCTCTGTCCCTCTTAACTCCAATATTTCTTGTGAGTATCAAATTTTCCAAACCTTCTGTTCTCATTATGTGAGCTAAAAATTTCATTTATCTCTTCATGTTAAGTATTAATGTTTTATAAAATTTAAAAAAAAAAAAAATCACTTTTCATTTAATTCTGAAGGCTGTAATATTATTTCCGATCCCTGATGCTAACATTTATTTCAAAAATAATTTTTTTTTTTTAAATTTATAATTAAATTAGAAAATTCTCAAATTTTTTCAAAACATTCAGCTTTATTCGAAGTCAAAAAAGAATTCTTACTTGAAATTTAAGGAGCCAAGCATCAGCTAAAAGTTGTTTCTTTTTTATTTTCTTGGCTGTTGCAATAGCAGAATCTATGCTTTCCTGGGCAGCTGTAATATCTTTGATGGCAGATAAAGTGTCAGCAAGAAGGTAATGAACACGGAACAGGTCCTCAGACAAATTATTGGCCCTGACAATAAAAAAAAATCTCTTTAAGGAACAGAACAAATTATTTGTTATATTATTGGCATTCACATTGGTAGAATGCTGTACAAGAATTCAGAACATTTGAAATATATTTGTTATACATTTCCAAAATAAAAATGGCAATTTTCAATAATGGAGGTGCAGGATATTTTGGTTATTAAAGTAGAAAAAGGTTTGGAATTTCTATTGGAATTTAAAATATTCAACCAGAAAAATAAATCAAGCACAAAATAAAATGAGGATATTGATTGGTAAGAAAAAGGACCAATCACTGCTCCTGTAAAGGTCACATGACCCTGGCTACATAAGTACCAATTTCAAAAACTCATTCATCCTTCTACCTTGTTAATCTGGCAGCATAAAACAATGCTACTCCTTCACCACAAACCTGGTCAGTGGCATCAAATCTTGGAGGAATTGGGTCAGCATCTTTAAGAGAAATTACTACGACTTAAAATTAGCTGAGGACTTAAAAGGGACATCCCCTTGAACCAAGACTGTTGACGAGATAACAGAAGAGCTTACAAAGCTAAGTCTGCAGACACACATTATCTGTAGTCACTTCTTTTTTCCTTATTTCTCTTTTTTTCATTTGTATATTAAATATATTTAAATATTACACGTTGTTTCTTTCTCTTCAAAAGCTGTTAACCAGCTTAATTGAGCACTAGATTGACTTAGTGCTTACCCTCCATAAACATGGGGTTGTATCTTGGCGTAAGATTAAGGAGATAACTGCCACATTCCAGATGAAGCTATTCACAATCATTTCATTCTAATCCATTTTAAGAAAGGCATAAATCTATATTCCCTTGTAGTACCATTGCTAAATATCTTGACAATAAAAAATATCTAAATAATGGTATGCTACAATAGGTGAACAAAGAAGATATTAGGTAAGTAATTGAGGAGAATCACACTCATATGAATACCTTATTTGTATAGCCAGTCATAATAATAATAATGTTATTACCCCTGGTAGGATGAAATCAGTTATAATTTTACAACCACATTTAATAAATCAAACTTGTTTTATTGCTGGGTTTTATTACAGATATTTTTATTATTATTTTATTTTATTTTATGGCATATAAGATCCACTTTTTATTCTTAAATATAATTTTTTTATAAATTTGCAATAAATGCATAAAAAAAAAAGGTCGAACAATAATGTTCTTCATACTGCCAGCAGAAACTATACTATCAAATATGATGGTTAGTTACGACTAGATTTTTAAAGCTATGCCAACAACATAAAATTTACTTTATTATAATTTTTAGAAGTGTCATTATGACTTTGAAAATAGGACTATTAATCTTATTATTCTTATTTCTGCAAAGATTTCACATTGTGGTCACAACAAAAACAATGAGTTCAATAGTCCAAACAATATTTGGAATGCATAAAATCCAGATTGTTACATATATTTTCATCCTGAAATTCAACAGTGTTAAATATAATGAGAAATTTCTTTAAAAATGTTTTTATCAATGACAAATCCAAAAATAAAAAAAACTATTACAAAGTAAAACATCTTTTTAAATTATTTGCATTGTTTAGACTATTGTCATCATCATCTTTACTGCCATCTTTACTTCATGACATTTTGGCTGTTGTATATCCCGGCCCTTTTCTGGTGATATTGTAATTTTGAAAAATATCTTGTTAATTTGAGGATTGGCTGATAGATTTTAATGCAGAAATGTTTTTCTACCTACCTGAATGCTTTTATTTGTTTTTTAAATCTGGCAAAGCAACAAAGAAAAGAAAGGAAGAAGAAAACAATAACTTGCATGCAGAAATTACAACTTACAAGGCAATAGACAGGCTGCGTTTCATGTAGACCTTTGATTCATTATAATTTTTCTTATAGGAATATACAATGCCTGAAGAAAAAAAAAAAAAGGGAAGAAGTTAGTATCAAAGAGGGACAATAGATAAAATATTTCTCTTTTTAACTTGAACTTATTAAAAGCTTTTTAAACTTTCCCTCCTCCTAAGGCGGATACTAGGTTATTCAACAGTCAGTCCTACAATGTGTGTCTCCCCCTTTGTACTCAATAATTTCTGATAAGGTAATGTAGGAAATTGTCATTCAGGTTTTTTATGTTAAAAATCTGAACGTCTGAATTCCAAATAATAAAGTCAAAGACGACATGTATATCTGTTAAATAAATTGTATGTATCTGAATTGAAACGAGTCAAATGGAGTAAAAATAGTCTTTAGTTGAGTCTTTGGGTTGTTGGTATACAGTAAAAATCTGAAGTTGAGAAGAGACTGATTGTCAGTGAAGATTCATTGACTTGTCCTTGTTGGAGACGATTGACTTGAAGTTGCCAATACCTTGCTTTCATCACATGTGGGGCTGGGGGGATTATGTTTGAATGGCTTGGAGATAGTCACATTTCTGTTCCTGAAAGTCAAAATCTGTGGGTTTTTATAAAAAATGTTTCCCTTGAGAAAAAATAGGAATTTATTCTGATTGGTCAAATATTTTTCCAAATATTTTACATGGTGATCTTAATTTCTAACCAATAGACACTTTGATTTAAATAGTGTATTGAGGAATCTTTTTGGCATATTTGTAAATATTGTTATTGGGTAGAAATTCAAGTTTGGGCATCTTTTAATATGGTATGTATGTATGTAATTGTGTCGGAAATAGGATTTATTTCCGATATAATTACACAAAATTACTGCATTATGCCAAACGATACATACTAAGTAACTTTTAGCCTTAGAAAAGACTGAATATGAAAGATGACATAAAAACTGTCAGGGAATGACTGGTTTTGTGTAGATGTTTACTAAGTTTATGTTAGTCTGGCACAAGACCATAACAATGAAACATCCAATGAACTTACAATATAAACTAATTTCTCTGCAAGTTAACTAACATTTGTTCAACAAAAGGTGTTCAAAAATATTTAAGTCTGGCTCAAAGCCAGAGTAATGGAACACCTAGTGAGAAATGACCTCACCATACTATCCAAATAGTCTGCAACATGAACTTACTGTTACTTAACCCTCTGTTAGTACTGTGAGTCATTGTCACATTATTAGTATTGTAGAGTTTTCAAACACCCCTTTTAAAATCTAGATATATCATTTAGTTCTTAATTTGTCTTGAGTTTCTTTCTGGAAAAAGGGTATTATATAGGATACATACAGTATATATATATATATAATTAATATTTAATGAAAAAACAGACCACTTTAAGGTACCATTACAATAATTTATTTCACCAAAATCCTATTTGAAGGACTCCGGATCATCAGGTAACACTTGTATTTTATTTACTGTAAAATAATTTATTATTTTCCTTTCAACTACAAATTTAATAAGTGTGAATTAATTTATCTTTGACAGAGATGTTTACTTGTCTCTAACATCTTTTGTTTTTCCTCTTGTTGAGTGAGGGTAGCAGCCAAAAGACATGCCTTTTCCCTTTTTTTCTTGGCACCTAGACAAGAAATTTAGAAGAGTTACTATGAGGATCATGAATTCTAATCAAGGAAACAAACCATCATTTGAAATAATTGCCAAATATTTCTGATGGCTAAAACAACATTTTTCTTAAAGGACAGTTTTAGCTTGTAAAAAAGCCAGATTTCTGGGATTGGGTATTTTGGCCTTCATGAATTGAGAAAAAGGATGTGTGGACAGCCCAATTTAGAAAATTCCAGGACTTTTCAAGCCCTGGAGAAGGCCATGTAAATTTCCCAAGGTTTGCAGAACCTGTACGAACCCTGTACAGGCTAATAATGATATGCCTAGGAACATAATTAGTAAACATATATACTGATGATATCTACTTCCAGAAGCACCTTAAACAATAACAAAAAAAAAAAAAAAAAATACACCACCTTAAAAACGCTTTATTAGGATGACATTTAAGCTAGCTACTGCGGAGAATTCTTGATTGGACATTCGGTGTGTTCAGGAGTTTGAGAGTGCCTAAGTCTTTGCCTATTCTCAGCACTGCAAACTTTCCTGATTGCCGTTTAATCTGAGTTTTCATTTGCATGGGACTTTCTTTTCCTCGCTGCAGTCTTGGCTCTTTTGATTGCAATCGGGTCCTCTGTTGCCGGAGATTTCTTTTATCAAGGAATAGTGCTGCTATATGTGATAGGCAACAATAAACTACAGAAGAACTCAAAATTAATTGCTGCATTTAAGTATTGCATTAATATTTAAGCTTACCATTTGAAAGATCAACGATAATTCTTCTGCCGTCACTTAATTTATAGACAATTTGATGTGGATAGGCCCTTACTTTCCGTACAATTATTTTTATTTCATGGGTGACTTTCGCTGGATTTTGCAATTAATTTTGATTATTCTCAAATTTATTTCCAAGTTAAAAAAATTATTGTATAAAAAAAAAAAAAAAAAAAAAAAAAAAAAAAAAAATATGAAAAACAATTGTAATGAAAATTTAGGAATCTAAGATTTCTGTAACATGAGCTATTGAAAATTAGAGAGTAGTGTCCCTTTAATTGAAAAAGTGTGACACTCATATATACATCATTTATTATACGAGATGAAAAGAAAAACATGTTAAAAATTGCTACACAATATCTTTCATGTTTCAGCCCTCAAATTGTGCCTTCTCAGGCAATAGTAAGTAACTGGTGAGTAAAAAAAATATTTTTAAATTCCAAAAGCAGATTACAACAAATTAAAATGAGGCTTGTGGGTTTACCCTGATTAACCAATTATGCTATCAGATCTATGCCATGTAAAAAAAAAAAAAAAAAAAAAGAGAGAGAGGAAATTTTGATCATGGTAATCTGTATTGAGCCCTTTTTTAAAAAATTAAATGCTACAGACAGTGGAATTAGACTCCATTTGTTCTTATCCCATACCTGAGATTTTTTATATATATATATATATATATATATATATATATATATATATATATATATATATATATATAAAATTTCCAAGAGGCCAATTTCTTTTTTGAATTTGTAAATCTGATTAATTGGATCGTAATTATGATCCCAATGTAATAAATTATAACCATGGAATATTAGTGTTTAAGCCTTTTTTTTATTTATTTTTATATATATATATATATATATACACACACACACACACACAATGCACTTTCAACAAAGCTTCACACTTTGAACATCTATTGGGATTAAAGTTTATTCCAGACATCAGGTGGAACTTGTATGATCCATCACTAAAAATCCTGGAGAAAGGGCTGGCTGTACTAGCCCCAAAAGTACCCAAATCTTACAATGGAGTATTTCTGTCACGTTTGAGCTGGAGATGCCAACTCCTTATTTTCCAGCTATGACAGTTCAAAACTGTTTAAATGGTCTTGACACGAATGACTTATATTCAAGTATACGACCACTTTCCCCAGAGATGCAACATTGCTACTCTGTCATTATTTCCATGGCAAATGTTCAGATGAGCGTCCCTTTTTATTTTCACCAGTTCAGACCTTTACAGATAAGACTGGCCATGTTATAACCATGGATCCAAACTGTTCTCATTATATTTAAGGAGGAAGTCCCACTCGGACAGCTTTTCCATGAAAACTACAACTCTATGGCACAAATACCTGCATAAACGCTTCTCTGAACATTACAATCTTAAACTATTCAAGTCAATTGCTATCTATCCACCTTATAATCTTTACTTCCTTCTATCTCTTCTTACATTCAGTAACCCTTTACAAGTGGATCTTGAGCCTTGCAGTGAGTGTGAACCATAATGCAGAAGAAGCAGGAAAGGAAAAAAGAAAAGAAAAAGGAAACCAACCGATTTGCAAGAGGAGTTCTTTAGCATTCACACTATGGCAGGCACTTGCATCACTTTTCTTGTAAGCAAACATTCCTTTTACTAAATAGCTGTGCAGAAAAGCTAAACAAAACTCACCCAAATTAAGGAAGATTCTAGACTTCATTGCCATGTACTCCTTGGTGTTCAACGTCTGCTTAATTCTTTCACAGAGTTCAAGACTTTTAACAAAAGCTTTCTCAGCCTTCTCAGACGCATCACAACCAGTTTCCGTTTGACCTTCTGACTCTGCCTGAAAGAGATACGTTCGACCAATGGTTGCCCAGGCACGCTGCTCCTCTACTGTATCTTTAATGCTGCAAGCCAGAGTGAGATAGCGCTTTTGTAGTTGGATTGCCTTACTGAAGTCTCCCAGTTCGCAGTAACATTCACCAAGCTTACGACAGGCCACGGCACTACCCAGTGTGTCCTTGTAGGTTTCACTAATAGACAATTCCATTTCATGTTCAGTAATGGCTTCTTGAAACTGCCCTGCAAATAAAAAAGGCGAAACAATACAAATAATAGCTCAATTATGAAAATGAATATTTTCCTATGTTTTAATTCTTGATTAGAGATGACGTTATCAAAGAAAGGTAAAATGGTTTTTATGTAGATAATTTGTTTTAATTATTGACAGATGTACACTTTAATTTATTCAAACTATTGCTCTCATCTCGATTATTATAGATAATATTATAGGCACAATATTTCGAATACTATCTGGTCATCTTCAGGTGTCCATCTATTATTCTGATCTTGATTATTATAGATGCCAATATAGATATGCTGTTTTGGTCAAATACTAACTGGTCATCTGTGAAAATAAAAATTATGATATGAATCCATTATGATAAACAAATATCAAAACCACCTGACACTGGATTTAAAGGCTCCAAAAATATACCACTAGTGTTCTTCAGGACAATGGCTGAGTGCATTGGTTAAATGTAGTGAAATAATATACACAGGTTCATTGGGAATGAACAAGAAGTGACATCACAGGGACAGAATAACACCATCATCAACAGATCTGCTGTATCAGCCAAACAATTGATACCTGAAGATGGTTAGAGAGTATTTAGCCAAAATGTTGTGTCTCTAATAAAATTTATAATAACCAAGATGAGAAGAATATTTAAAATAAAGTATATTGACAATCAATTCCTCATCTCAGAATTTAAAATACAAAACTATGTTTAATATGTGTTGTAGCATACCTACGGACAATAATGGGTATGTCCCCATTCACATAAATACAGTAGTAAATAATTTATAATTTTAAACTTAATAGAGATTAAATTTAGATTTTAAAATGGGTAATTTTTTATTTTTAATTTCATCATATAATTTAATACTTATTAGTTAGAATAAATTCTATTTTAGTCTAACCCCAACTTTAAAGCATTTAATAGTTATTATAATCTTACTTCGTTGTCAAGTTTTTTGAATTCTCATATACTTGTATTTTGATTGGTCATTCCAGCTTATGTAACAGCGGTTCCCCTTGTGAGGGGTGGTTAATTAATTTGAACCTTTAAAACCCTTTATTCTACATTCAACATCATCACTTGATAAGACACCAGAGGTGTTGAAACAAAATGGGTATTTTTGTAGTGATTTTATATCATATTTATGTTATAATTTTTAAACAAATAATTATATATATAATTAAAAAATCATAACATAAGCATGTTATAACATTACTACAAAAATGGCCATTTTGTTTCAACACTTGTGTTGTCTTATGTCAAGTGATCATCACTTCATAAAACACAAGTGTTGAAACTAAATGGCTATTGTTGTGGGGTCATTCCATGTCAAAACACCAGCAAAAAGTTGAAACCTGCACCCACCGACACCGAATTACTTGAAATTTGGTACAAATATTCCCCTTCATGAGTTAGGAAAGTGTGCCAAATTATTTTGTGCTAGACTTTACCGTTGCATGGCCTTAATTTAGAGGCAAAATAGGAAAATTATACACCCGCCCTTAAAATTGGAACGGTAAAGTCTAGCACAAAATAATTTGGCAGACTTTCCTAACTCACGAAGGGGAACATGTGCCAAATTTCAACTAATTCGGTGTCGGTGGGTGTAATACCCTGGTGAATTGACATGGAATGATCCTGTAGTGATGTTTTAGCATGCTTGTGTTATGATTTTTGAATAAATATTATTTGTTCAACTTTGTATTGAGCACTTTTAAAAAATAGTGATTTTGGTTATCAGAATTTTATTACATCTATACCAACCCTGCATGTGCATGTGTGTGTGTGTGTGTGTGTGTGTGTGTATATATATATATATATATATATATATATATATATATATATATATATATATATATATAAGTAAACGTGTATTTGGGCAGTAATATCCCCCTTTTTATACAGGTTCCATTGAAAATGACTGACAAGGCACTGCAAGCTTTTTATTATATTAATTTTCTTTTCTAGATATATTATTGAAAAAAAAAGAAAAAGAAAAAAGAAAATCTAAATTTTTCAGTTAACAAAAACACAAACCAAAAACAGCCTTGATAATAGCAAATAAATTACTTGAAAGAGATTCACACATCATTCAGACAGGTTTTTTTTTAATTTTTTTTTTTTTTTTTTTACACACACTATGACCAGAAAAGAAATCACTTGTGCGAATGCAAGAAAAATATAATACAAGTCTTAATTGCAGTGCATTGTCATTAATGAAACTTGCATTTATGAAAACAACAATGGGCTGACTGTTTGGAAATTAAAAAAAATATATAAACTGTTTTTTTCTATATGAAAAAATTATAATATATATATGTTTTCAGGCAAATCAAAAACGTCCCTGATAATATTAAACAGATTAGTCAATATGCAGTAATTAAGGTGGCGGGTGTCCATAAGGAAACAGATCCTTCACTTTATGCCCACTATGATCTCACGTTTATCTATGCCACAAAAACCTAACACCATTTCTTACTATTCTTCATCATGTTTCCACATGAAATATATAAATCGGCAGTGCAAGGGAAATAACTCTAATCAGTAGAACGTCCCCAACATTAAAAACAAACCTACTTGATAAGATTACAAATGTCTTCTGCTTCTGTGGCTTAATTTTATTGTTGCCATATAAGTATTAAATTAAATTTTCTCTCTTCTTTATGTGTCCTGAAAAATTCTCTTACTAATTGTTAGCAGAAAAACTAGTTTCTCAACATTCACTGCCATATACTGTATATCTTTGCCATGTAGAGAATTACAATGTGATGAAAGATGGATAAAAATGTCAGGAAAATCAGTGAGGTATACCAAAGTGAAAACTCCTTTCAGTCAATTTAAATTAGTTTTGAAATACAGCAAAGCATTTGGCATATTGGAAATATTAAATTTAAATTAGATTCAAATTAAAGCTAAAACAAATGCTTCAAGAAATATTTTTCATTTTTAAAGATTCATTTTAAACCTTAGCTATCATGAATCTGTGAAGGTACCATATATATATATATATATATATATATATATATATATATATATATATATATATATATATATTAGTTAAATAATAATCGAGACATATTATGTCTATTTTTATTTTAATCCTTTCAAATTTACAGATCAATTTCTTAATGTTGCCATTAAACTTATTAAGGAAGACACCATAATTTTTTCTCATTACTTTTATTTTCCCAAATACTTTCAATCTCATCCAAGATCATCTTCAGCAGTGAATTGCTAAGACAAAAACTAATGTAATAGATAGCTATGAATTTTTTTTTGTAAATAAGCATGAAACATGCCTTGTTGATTAAAAAAAAAATTAACGTTATCAAGGGAGGTAACTTAATTTATTTTTGTAATTTTTTTTTTTTTAAAGAATTACAATTTAAGTATTTTAAAACATTGCTGTTATAATTGCAATTTTCCAAAAAAAAAAAAAAAAATTACAATTTAGGTAATTTAAGACCTTGCTCTTACAGACATTTTAAAACATTGTTGTTATAATCATAATTGATCTTATTTAGTGTTGGTTGTAATTTTTTTATACTGAGGGCTTCAAGAATTTGAAGTTTTTGTTTTTTTAGTTAATGGTGGAGTATACTTGTATTGTCAATTAATATTTCTCTAAATTCTGAATGTGGACAGGATTGTTCTTTTAAATGTTGTGAAATAGAACTTGAATCCGACATGTCAAAGAAGATACCTTGACCTTTAATTTCTCAAAAAATGTATTTCTAATTTTTCTTTTTTTTAAATCTGACAACAAACTTGTCTCTTTTATGGCAAGATATGTACAAAATTTTATGGTGGACTTTTGATTGTCACCTGAATTACAAGTTTTTTCTGAGTTGGGCCAAATTTAAAATGGTGGATTTGTGCCATGATATATTAAAATTTTCATATCACCCAATATGGTTAAGTTTTATATCTTTAGAAAGCTCTTTAAATGCTGATTAATATTCACAAAAGAACTAAGATCATAAAATTAACAGAATTTGTGTTATTTCTGGTTAGATGTTGAACAATTCAGTGGAAAATAAACAACTTTATTTTTGGTTTTGTTTACATTTTTATTATACAACAAATAAATTTTTATATGAAAAAGTGACATAATGAAGATAATTATTTAAAAAAGAGTTATGAATTAATATTAAATGAAAATATGCAACAAATGATGTTAATGGCTAACACATTTTTGTTGACATGGTACACTAAATGCACAAAACAATCAAATTTTCAGTTTGACCTTTAAACAAAAAAAATTAAATATATCACCTTTAAGATTTATCCAATTATTTTAAAATGGTATATAATTTAGCTTTGAGGGTGAAAACACAACTGAGATATTGATATTTAAACTTTGTGACTACTTCCCAAAAATTTTCCACCTTTTTGCCAAGGGTCAAAGGGTCATATCTTGGGAACCCTTTGATCCAGAGATATAAAATATGTACCATTCAATTTCTATTATGAAGCTCTATAAATGTACCAAATTTAAAAAAAAAAAAAAAAAAAAAAAAAACAACCTGTGTTGGTGATGGTCAGACCCTTGTTAATTCGACAAGGAATGATTCTATAAAGGTTTCTTTTTTTTTCTCCCCATTAATCAGTTATATTTTAAAAAATAAATTTGACTCATTGTGTAAATATGATTCAAAAACAAACATTAGGCTTGAATTAGGCCAGTCTGTGTATTTCACAGCCTAATTCAAGCCTAATGTTTGTTTTTGAATCATTAAATGTAAATTATATCACCTTTCCTTTAAGATATGTTTACTTACCTTAACATTATTTAAATTGTTAGATTATACTTAACTTTCAAGTTTATGCATTTAGAGAAATTTGCAAAAAGTGCCAAAAAATTGATAAATTCAGCCTTTTTATTTCCAGATTTTCAATGTAAACATGACTGATTCATGTGACATGGGAATTTTGTTGGGGGTAGAGCATAGATTTATGTTTAAAGTCTGTAAGGAAACTGGATGAGTTGGATGCTAATGATAAGTAACTGGATTTTTTTTTTTTATTCAAATGCCTATAAAAATTGAAATAAAAAGAGAGAGTTGTTAAAACTTAAGGAATGAAATCCCCAAATATGATGTAATGTTTTGTTATCTATGAACTTTAACTTTATCTATTCACCTTTAACAAAATGAGTCGATATTAGATCATAATTTGAAATTATCAGGCATCAGAATTTTTGATAAAAAAATCTATTAAGAGATCTAGAATTGGTAGCTTTGAGCAACGGAACAAAACTTTATTTATTCCCCAAATAGTTTAGTTTTCAAATGTTGTGCCAACTTTTGTTACTTTTAGGGGCTGAAGAGGATATTTCCCAATTTTTCTGTGTGGTCAACCAGCTAAAAATTTTCGTTTTTTAACCAGAAAATTGCTAATATTTACTTTTTGGTTACTCCCTTCTAATTCTAAAGGGATATTTGGATTCCTTGACTAAAAATCTATAAGGATATCAAATTTCATTCAATTCCGGCCAGTGGATCAGAAGATATAAGGGTTTTATGAGATCCATTGAGTTTGAAAATAGAAATGTCTGTTGACAGAAAATGCAGATTCAGCAAAATTTCAACTTGCAACATCATGAGAATGGTTAGGAATTTTCACTTAAAATTTTCAGGATTTTCTAATGACTATATGATCTACAGCCTATATCAAAATGAACAAAATCTATTTTTTGGAGTTACATTAATTGGTTAAACTGACATGGAATGACCCTTGTATTAAAAACTTATGTATTGTTCTTATCAAAGTTATAATATTTAAAAAAAAAAAAAAAAGGAAGAAAAGTAATAATTTGTAAAAAGAGTAACCTTACAAAATTATTTTGTAGTAGAGTTATGCTATTAAAAAAAATAATAATAATAATAATAATAATAATCAAAAGCAAAAAAAATCTGCCGAAATTTTTAAAGACAAAGTTAAAAACAAAGAATTCATGCAACAGCTTGTGGTGTGCTTCTTAGTCGTAGTCTGAAAACAACCAACCACATGATTTGAACTCTGGACAATTCTGCTGTGATGAGCTGATAGTTTTTTTTACGCATTTTTATCCTTTCCTTTTCACTACATAATTCTCACATATACTTAAATCTTGTGACCAGATTCAATGTGTAAAACAGATATGCTCTTTGAACATATCTACATGACCTCTCGTGATAAATTCATGCTGTTGAATATATTACTCAATAATGATAACCTAAATCAATTTGTTAATGCAACTAATTTTAAATAGGCATAACATAATTAACATAGTTTCTTACCTTCTTTTTTTTAATTAGTTACTAAAAGGTAGAAAGTTACTTTATTAAAGTCAGCATAATTTTTAAATTTAGAATAATTTCTTTTGTAAGAAAATCATGCATCTTTGATATATTTCTCTTTCTGTAGCCATAAAAAGCATTCACCTCAATTCCCATTTGGTCAATGAAATTTAGTAATATTGTTTGAGATGATGCAATTTAATGGTTAGAAAGCTAATTCTGTAGACCATTATTACTGCACTGAATTTGATACTCACTGAGTGCCTTACATTTGTGGCCTTGTGTCAGCTTAAGTTAATCTAGATTTAGTATGCAATTCATGCCATAAAGTCTGAATCAAATTTAATATCTGTCAGGAACCTTGATCTAAGAAGAGTTGATCTGTGGTGACCACAATATGTAATGGGCTCATCCTAAAAGATACCAAAGTCAGTCTTGTACTTGATATCACCTCTGAATGTCAAAAGAGCTAGGCTGACCAAGGAGGCAGCCTCAAAGCCAGCAAGTGTCGAATCAGACTTCAAAGGATGTCAGTGGGTGCACCAACAGGAAGTTTGACCCAGATGAACTTAGAATATATACACAAACACACACTAGACAACTGTAATACAGAAAGTTATATAAACACTTCACTTATGAAGGGATCCCTTGCAAGAAGATTGAACGTTTGAAGAAAGACCTGAAACCACATATCCCTCAATTCAGCTGACATTAATTTGATGACAACCAGAAGTGAATAAACAACTATTTTATGTATGGAAAATTTAGTCTCATATCTTATCAGATTACATGATAATTAACAAGTTATTCTCATAGAATATTACTCATCCTGATTGACAGTTCATCTTATTTGATGAAGACATCAAGAGATCCATCTAGTTCTGGCAGTTTGAACCATGTGACAGCCATCTCTCTAAATGGATGTCTACTGATAACTGGCCAGCCTTGATGCTTCTTTAATATGAAGTATTCAGCACCATGCAGGGCAGTCTACTGTTTCCAGTCGTTTATATTGATTTACATTGCTATTAGGTCCCTCTTGGTGCAGTCTTTTTAGTGTAGTCTTTTACTGCCTTGCCATCGCTTCTTGTATTTCAGTTCGCCATACAGAGCTATTTTTGGCAATTGAGGGTTGTCCAAATGATAGTCATGTCCAGTCAATTGTAGTCTTGTGAGAATATTATGACTGTACTACCAAAAGGAATTTAAATTCACTGAGTACTCCACTTTCATGGCCTTGTGCTAATCTTTAAAAAAATATTGACTGTTATAAAATATCAGAAAAAAATAAAGGGATAAAGTCATAAGTGAAATGAATGAAACATTTTGTTGACATACCATATTTGCAAAGTAATTCTCCGATGACATTGCAGATTTGAGCAACTTCAGGAAATTTATTTTTGCGCTCAGCTTCTTTTTTATCTTTTTGTAACCCTGGAAAGAGAGAGAGAAAATAAAATTTAAATAAAGCCAGAAATTATTCTATAATGAAAAGAAGCAAAATAGAAACTAACCAAGTTTATATTTTGCATGTAAATAACCTTCATCCTTGCTATTAAATTATAGAATCATTTTTAATTAATAATTTGACATTTTATTAAAAGAAAAGAAAATGGATCAAAACAGAAAAAATGGATCAAAATAGAAACAAAAAATACACCTAGAATACATTGATCCCAAGCAAAAATCCAGACAAAAGAATTGCAGGATCCAGAACATTCGTCTAGAGAATTATGGTCTAAAATATAGATTGTATTAATTAATATACAAACAATGCATGCCAATAAATGCTTATAAACCACGTTTATCATCAGTAATGAATGTTGCTAGAAGTGTCTTAAATATTATTTTGTAATATAGTGAATATCAATAAAATTGATTATTTTGTACATGAATAAAGTGTTAATTTATTAAAAAAATATTATAAAGCAATGTCCTTAGACGAATATTCCTTAGACAAGTTTCTCTTATGCCAATATTCTCTAGATGAATGTTCCTTAGACCAATATTTAATGTTCCTAAATCCAAGAATTGCATTCGAGATGAAAATAAGCAGTTTTCTTTTTTTTATATACAAATTTGAGAACAGAGCATATTTAGGTAGCAAGTCTTCATGCAAACAACTTTTATGAACTAAAACAGTCAAAGAATTACAGTTAAGCCTTTTGGTGTGTTGAAGCCTCCTGGTGTTGAATAATTCATTTCATGTCAGATGAAAACTTGTAAAAGGAACTTGCTACAATTGTGTATACTGTTTCCAGTAAGGCCAACTATGGTTGGTCATTTTCAAAGAAAGAAGGTAAAAGTTAGAGATAGCTAGTGTTCATTTCAATGTCCAGTAATTTATAACTAACAAGGGTTCACATTTGATAGAAGTCAAAATGATTATTGTATCAAGTAACTAAAATGACCTTCAATGGCATTTTAGCACATGCTGAGATTAAAACAAATTTGTTGATGTCAGTTTGGTAACATTTGATTTGAAGAGTCTCCAGATTTTTAAATCTTTATTTGTAATTGGATTGGCTGAGTACAATTGTATTGCAGATTATATTCTGATAGTAATTAGAAGAGGCACCATTTGAATTTGCTTTCATTTAGGTACCTCCACAGAAACATGATACCTAAGGTTTAAAATTAATTATTAACAATGAAAAATCTTTTTTGAAGCTTTTAGTTTTAATTTCAAGCTAATAAATTTAATATTTCGAATAAGCAAAAAAAATACTTTGTTCTATTTTAAAACTAATTTAAATTGACTGGAAGGTGCTTTCGTTTTGAAATTGCTAAAAATCGCTGATTTCAGTACCATTTTTAACCATCTGTCAGCACAATATAATTCTCTTTATTAAAAAATCTTTCAAAAATAAAATATAATATTCTGAAATTTTATTATGTTGGTGCTAAAATAATGTCGTTTTTGATGTTCAACTTAACGTAAAAAAATAAAACGACATTATTTTTGCACCAACCTAATATTTGAGGAGTATTAGTGGAGTTAAAGTTTCTGATTTGAAACAAATATAACTTTTAGTTTAAAATAACACAGAATTAATTTTTTTTTTTAAAACATGGAGGTGGAAATTGTAGACTGGTTGACTGACAGCTGGAAGTTTATCAAATTTTTTTTCTATAGTGGATAGATCTGTAAAAATTACTTGAGGAATATATAATGTGAGGCCTTTTTTATATATCATTTTTACCCAGTAATCTTAAAAATTTAGGAAAATATTCTTCGTAATCAATTTTTTTTATTGAATTTCAGGCACTTTGGCTTTAAATTTGCTGTAGTTATCACTTTTATTTTCTGATAATGTTGTGTATGGACATCTGTTTAAAAAAAAACAAAAAACAGCACATTTATACATACAAAAATAAATTCAAAATTCTTCTTAAAATATTGAGAGTGGGTGGCTGAATTGTAGTAAACTTTTCCATTTATGGTTAATAAAAATAGTTTTTACACAATGACAATATCACATAGCCTGCAAAAATTAATACAGAAATTTAAAATTTAAGACTTTGTAAATTCTTTTAATTAAAAACAATTGTAAAAATTCATTATTCATTGAATTTTTTTTCTTATATCTCATTCATAAAAGCAATTAAAAGCTTTTCTAATTACATAATGTCTTAGTTTTATTGTATTTTTTTATTTTATGATTCAGAGCAGATTTTCAGTAACTGGGATTACTGTTTTACAAAAAAAAAAAAAAAAACATTGATGATTTAAATTCTCCAAGGACTTCTGCATATAACTAATATAAACATTAAGAAGCATAAAAATTAAATTTCTCGACATTTTATAAAATCAAATAAGTGGGGGGTAACAGATGTTAAAAAAAAATCTTTTTACCAAGATTTTCTAAAGAAGCATTTTTAAATTAATTTCATTCATTTGTGAATAAGACTGAAAGTTTCATTAAAATCTAACAATTTGATTTTTGCAAGAATTTCTAAATCTGTGTTTTTCACTGCAAACAAGACTCTAAAATTTTCTATACTAATCTATGGTCTTCCATTGATGCAAGAAAAACAAAATTTTTAACCAAAATTTTGAACATTCTAAAAAGAATCAAAACACATTTAATAATTAAAAAATCCTTTTGTCTTTCCACTTAATAACAAAATATTTATAAAATTTTTTTTAGTGAATCTGTGGAGGTAGCTATATATATGGTAATCTGAAATTTTTAAAAATTTTTTTAATCTAGCGGATTTCATTTAGACACTTTTTCTTTTTTGCTTTCCATCACTTTTGTTGGCAGATATCCCACACTGTGATAATAGAAGTTCTGTCAGGAATGGTGAAATATTGTAAGTGTCAGGGTGCAAATTTACTGTTGATGACCTTGCAATCAAGGCACTCTCTAGACATTTTCACAGTGGTTAATTGTTTTCTCCTTTGATCAGAGTATCATTTTTTTTATGTCAAGATTGTGGTCAGTCTCATTACAGTGGGCAACCAACAAATTTGATGTATTGTTTTGTAAAATGTTCCTTTTGTGTTCATATAATCTTTTATTTAAATTCCTTGAGGTTTCTCCTATGTATTTTTTGTGACAATTATTACAGGTAATCAAGTAAATTCCTCTTTCAAGTTTTAACATTGTTTAGTATTGACAAAGTCTTTTATTATTTTAGATGTAGTAACAAATTTTATGTTGTGTTTAGAAAGATTTTTTTCTAAATGGCTAATAAAATTAGCCAAAATAGTAAAAAAAGACCCTCCTGACAAACCCAATGAATCAAAAAACTATATTGTCCTACCAACTTCATCACATCTATTATTGGTAGGACTTCTAGTTCTCTCGGAATCACCTTTGTATAAGTTGAGTAAGTCTGGTGAGAAGACGCATCCTTCTCTTACACCCAATTCTGTTTTTGTATTTCTGCTAGACTTATTTTCTATCTATATGCAGGCAGTTTGCTGCCAGTATAGGTTCTTGATTATTCTTATATCCTTCCTGAATATATCAAGCTTGCAGAGTAGTTCCAAGAGATCCTTGTGACATACTTTATCAAACGCTTTTACATAATCTCTAAAACACAGGTATACATCCTTCTGCATTTGTGCTTCTCTTTCTAATAACATTCTGAGCATAAATATTGTGTTTCTTATTCCAGTGTCTTTGATGAACCTGTACTGTTCTTGTCCTCTTTCCGTCTGATTCTGCTGTGTACTTTATTTATCAGAATTCAGATGACCAGTTTCGTTATATGGCTCATTAAGCTGATTGTCTGATAGAAGTTGTATTCACCTGCACCTGGCTTCTTAGTGCTTTGATCTATTTAACTTAAGTCTTCTGGTATATCGCCACTGTTGTAGAGTTTATTATTTGTGTCTATGCTGAAATCGCGTCTAAGGCTGCCAGCTTCTCTATTGCAATTCCATCTGGTCATGTTGCTTGGTTTCTGTTCAATTTGGCCTGTGCCAATTCCACTTCAGATTTTAATATTTCTGGTCTGTTGATATTTCTGTGTATTGCCAGTTGTTCTCTTTCATAGTAAAAGAGTTTTCCGATATAGTCGTTCCATCTCTGAGGTATTTTTTCTTTCTCTAATATCAGCGTTCCATCCTTGGACTTTATCCAACCTGTTGATGAGCATGTCTTTTGTCCTGTTCTCTCAGTTTTTTTTTTATGCATGTCTGTTTTATTTGTGAATCTTATTCTTTCTATTTCTGTACATTTTTCATTGAGCCATTCCTCTTTACCCTGCCTGCATTTGTCCCTTATATCTTTATGTAGTGTCCTATATACTGTTCCTTGTTTTGGCATAGTTTTTTTTGTCTTTTTGTAGAGTTTATTATTTGTGTCTATACTGAAATCATCTAAGGCTGCCAGCATCTCTATTGCAATTCCATCTGGTCATGTTGCTTTGTTCTTGAAAAACTCTTGAAAATTTCATCTCGTCATTCATTCATATTTTTTTTTTCCTTTGTCTATTTTCCTTTGGGATGATTTTAATTTCTGTTGTCATCAAAGCTTCTCCTAAAGTGACCCACTTCGAGTTTCCATTTTTCTTTTGTCCCTTTTATCTGCTTTTCACACCATCCATATATTTGTCCTTTGGGGCATTCAAGAGAATCTGTCATATTGCAATTTGAGTGCAGCCTTAGCCCATTTCAGTTTTTGTAGTTTTACTCTAAGCTTACATATCACTGGGAAGCAAGCACTTGGATATCTATTTCAGTGCAAAACTAAATTCCTGGATCTCTTGTTGATAGTTAATATTCGTCTTGGGTGTTCTAGAAATGAGGTATTGGCTATTATCTGGTCATTCCCTGTACACGATTGGACCCATTTTCCTCTGCATTAATTACAGTGTAACCCGGATATAAGAGAAATTTTATCTGCTCCCAAATTAGAGCCCATACTTACCTAAACAAAATAGACCAAACCCGGATACAAGAGACGACTTCTCCGGTTCCGACAACTCTCTTATATCCGGGTTACACTGTATCTAGCATAGAGTAAAAAAAAACTTTTCAATTTCTTTTCTACTTTTTTGTACTGTAGATTTTAGACACTTGAACAGGACCCATTTATAAAAAAAAAAAAAATATCAATATTTTTCGATTCTGACAAGTTTCGTCACATAAAGGTTTAACCGTTTAACAAAAAACAAAAAAAAAAAAATCCCCACTTTACAAGTGGACCAGTTTATTAAACTAGTGCCAAAATTGATGAGGTTTGAAAGACATCTGCACGTCGGAAATAATCTAGAAAACAATAATCCAGAAATCTATGAAAAAAAACAGAAATGTAGGAATGGAAATAATAAATAATTTTATTTTTATAAAATTGATAAAAAAATAAGCTTATTTATAAAAAAAAGAAAAGAAAAGTTTTTGATTATATAAGTTGATCAGTCTCTTTTCTTCTTGTTATGGTTAAGTTTTTTTTTTAATAATAAAGAAATATTTCTGTTATTTTTTATTTACATAAGAACTAGAAACGATGTCCCTGTCTACAAAACATTGAAACTTCAATTTTTAAGCATCAACCAATTGGTTAACAAATGATTATTGCTCATTCCTGTAAATAATAAAATTTAACCTGGATTTAAGGATTGAAAAGAGAGAAGAAGTGAAGTGAATAAATTTTATTGTTATTTCCATTTTTTTATTTTTAAATCTAAAGTTAAAGAAAAGTGCAATCTATTTCTTAAAAATGGCGCACCTGCTCGATTATAGAACACGTTTTTCTTATTCTATATTAAGTTTTATTTTATAAATAATCATTTTATTTTTTTAAAATCAACAATTCCTGGGACAAAATGACGTCTCTTCATGAATACTTTTTGATATTTATTTCAAACACAAATGGATTATTATCGGGTCAGCTTTAAAAATAAATAAATGTTTATTGAATTTTAATAGAAAGTTACTAAAATAAATTAAAAATATAGAAGAAATTGTCAAATAATCCGAATTATATGACAAACAAGAGAAATTTGTCATCTGGGATGCATTTTTTTTTTTTAAAAAAATATTATTATTATTTTACTAAAACTTTCCAATCAGGAATTAAAGTCAATTTTTGAGGTGTTATGAAGTTTTAAGTCAAATCAAAGCAATAATTTACTGTTTAAAACAAATCAAGCGTTTTTAGCAGTCAAAATAAAAATGTTTTGACTTTTTTTGAATAACATTTTTTCCCACATACTCAGCCGAGTCGACAGGACATTTTTTTTTTAATTGTCCCTTTCGAATTAAATGTCAATCGAACGGATGAAAAAGCCTGTTGACAATATTAAAAAGAAAACAAAACAAATGAAGGCAAATAAAAAGAAATCATCAAATATCGCAGAGCTCATAACGGATTTTTGACTTACTCAAAAGCTCCTTTTCATCGTTTGGTTCCATTTCTTAAAAAAAAATATCAGCGTTACTCCATTTACAAAAATAAAAAAGTAAGTTTTGAGGAAGGCGCCACTTTTTGGCTGTATATAAAAAACTGGAATCTTATTATGGCAACTGAAACGAAACTAACTTTTCAAACTTAAAACAGAAATCTTAAACACGCTTTTTAAATAAATTTGTTGATGATATCACTATCTAAATAAATATCAGAATTTAAACTAAATCTGAAAAAAAAAGACAAGCTAAAAGACAATAAGATCATTATTAAAATAACTATGTAAATCCTGAGGTTGTAAGTAAAAAAAAAAGTAAAGGAAGTAAAAAGTGGAACGAAGCAAAATCTAGAATTAACGCACGAAAAAGAATTTATCGCTTATTTTGACCTTTATGAATTAACAGGAGAGTCATTTGGAGTTGGGCTAATTTAATTCAAATATTTACTTTGTTTAAAAAATGATTCAAAGCAAAAGACATGTATTTAACTTTAAGATATAAAAATATGAATGCGGTAAGAAAATTCTCTCTAAAAAACCATTTAATTTATTTTAAAATGATGTATTCGCTAAAATGTCTATTGTTTATTTTTATCAAAGTTAATAATTCATTTTTAAAATTTAAAACCTCTAATAAATCGAACGAATTAAACCAGTAAGAGTTACTTACCTTTACACGCACCCTCATACACGCAAGTTTAGCTTAAATTTCATTTCGAGGTTTACTGGAGCGTTTTATAAAAACACACACACACACACACTCATATATATATATATATATATATATATATATATATATATATATATATATATATATATATATAATAGCTGGCCACTCGTATTCGAGGATACCCATCTACTAGGCTGGCTAGCCAATCCCTGTTGCAGACTCTCGCTCAGGCACATTTGTGTTTGTTCGACACCCACAAAGCCCACCCGTGGTTTATACTGCAACTATGCTGAGCAGACCTTAATTACAGTTTCTGGGAGAGAGCGTGTTATCTAGAATAATCAACAATCTGAACAACACCAGCACACTCAAACCCTCGGTCACGATGACTTGTGACTTCGTGCTAGCATATATATATATATATATATATATATATATATATATTGCGTATATTTTGGTCGCATGTTTTCATTAAGGCGTCTTATTGAATAATTTAGATAAGATGTTTGTCTATTTATTTTTAATAGGATCCTCTCATATTTACGGACAAGTTTCTTGGTATCCTTATTAAAGGAAGAAAGAAAATTACCATATTCATGCATATTCATTTTGTTTTTATTCCGAGTACTTTCGACATTAGTACAATGTCGTCAGGGTCTTGCTTTTTCAAATACAAAAAATTGTTCATCATTTTTCTAAGACAAAATTCAAACAAAATTGTTGTGTTCATTTGAAAATTAAATTTTTACGCGAAAAAGTGAAAAACACTAAAGTTATCTACTGTACGATTTTTTATCATATAGACACATGTACAAACGTCAAAAAAGATTTAGACATTTCAATAACTTAGTTACCTCCCTTGACTTTTGAAAATGTTTCTACATGGTAAAATTTTAAAAAATTGTTCAGTACATAACATTATAATATAATGAAAATATAGTTTAAAAACTATATAAATATAGTTTTATGGCATGCTATATTTAAGGCTAAAAGTTTTCAATATTAGTGATAGAGAGTATGTAAATATAAATATATTATGTGTGCTTAAACTGTCAACTGTATACAACCGCTTTCTCAGGTCAATGATTAAAAATGGCTTTGAGCGAATGAAGCCTGTAGGTCTTGGTGAGGACCATTCTTTTTCAGACCTAGTGGGTTGGTGCTATAGAATTATGTTATAACGAGCGTTTGGTTGCGAAAGTTTAGGACTCCAGATTCAAACGGTCCGGATTCATCTATGCCCCAGGCGAGGACATATTCCACGAACGGGAAACAGCGAGTCTTGGTCTTGGTCTTGGCCAATAACTGTGTGTATTCCGTCTATACAGTTATGGCAAGGAATACAAAGAAGACAATATCTTCCTCTATAAGTAAAGATGCAGAAATATCAAAAAGCTGTTGCCTGGAAAGGAGCGTTGAAATCAGGCATGGCTGACGATATATGGAGGTAAAATGGTGATCATTACACCCCGTGAAATGAAGTTAAGAATATTGACAAGAAAAAAAAAAAAAAAAAAACGATACTAGAAGATACAATGTTGAAAGAATCAGTGGACATATTTTTTTAAAATCATTTCCCCTAGTCAAGGTAATAAAAAGCCATTAGGATGCAAGGGATACTGAAAGAGAAGGAAAGAGATAGGACAATAAAAGAACAGGTTTAAAGGAGACAGATGACAACGAAAGACATTGCATTTAAATTTCTGAAGTTCAAAGTTGACAGGAAAGCAAAAAATCGGAAGAGAGTTCCACAAGTGAGAAGTGCAAGAAAAGAAACTGTTAGCATAGAACTGAGGGTTCAACTAACAACTTCAACGGTTAATTTATGAGACCTAGCTGCCAATCTAGTCCTGCGCTTAAATTCGTAAAGTCGCTCATTGCATTTGCAGTGTTAAACATCGATGCAAACGAAGCAGGAATACACGCAGAGGTAAATTTTCATTTTAACACCCGAGCGTCATTCACTGCTGAACTATTTTCTTTCAGAAATTAATACGCGCTTCCGTAAAGCGATTTTTTTGGTACTTAATTTAAGAATAAAGTTAACTTTCAAATATACGTAAACATCGACAAATAAAAGAATAACAAAAAAAAAAAACAAAAAAAAACACCTAACCCTAATTTGAAAGTTAACTTTCTTCTTAAAAAAATTACTTTGTTATTCTTTTATTTGTCGATGCTTACATATATTTGAAAGTTAACTTTCTTCTTAAATTAAGTACAAAAAATCGCTTTATGGAAGCGCGTATTAATTTCTACAAGGAATTACTGTGAAGGAAGTAAATAGGCCCAAATTGTATACGTCCACCAACGAAATTCAGCACTGAATTACTTATCAATAAGCCGTTTATGGCTGACGAAAGACCAGGAAAATGTCCGATTTTTTTCGGGTCGTTAACATCCAAAAAGGTAGGTTTCTTCAATATCTAATTGTTGATTTGAGTTCAGCATATACATTTGCACGGAAATAAGACTATTTTGGAAAAATTTGAAGGGATATTAGCGCTCGGGTGTTAAAATGAAAATTTACCAATGCAGGTGGTCCTTTGTATGAACACCTAAGTGGCTAAGATATTGTTTAACTTTTAACCGCGTTGAAAAATGTTGAAAAGAAAGATGATGATATTCAACATATTGAAATTTAACGGCCCCGAATTCCCAAATTTCAAACACTGGAGCAATGGATGAGTAATCTTTAAGTTGGTTACGCTTGTGGAATCTTCCACAACAAACCAGTTAACCCCTGCTAGGAAATGCACTATTCATGTTGTAATTTTCACCATCACAATCTTACAAGATATATAACAAGCATTCATTGGTTAATCAACTTCAATCTAGCTTGCTGATTGGTCAGTTCGGACCAATCAAACCGCCTGCACGCGACAAATCTGTTTTCCCGCGTTTTCGTTTTGAGCCTCCCACGTGGTACAACAAAATTATAAAAACAGAACACGTGTAAACTCCCTCGTGTTTCTTTTCATTCATATCTCTCGCGTCTCATTCCTTGCTGCCAAGATGTAATCTTCAAGAACTCCCGTCTTAACTAATGCAATCAGACGTTAAAGACCATTACCAACATTCCCGCAAGTACGAACTCTGAAATCTCTTCTGAACTTTTACCAACTTGTACAATACACAATTCCAAACATGCTAAAGGAACTTTATTCTTCTAAACTACAGTTTAATAATTACTTTCACTTTATGAGCTTAGGTACAAATATTACCTAGTCTAAGAGACACAACTCTGTCTAACCTTTTCACTCAGTATTCATACATATTGTTACATTTTGAAACAAGATGTCTCTATCTTGTATTAGTTGTGGATGGAAGATTATTGAACACACAATTTTAAACCTTCTGATAATTCAAACCTTCTATTCCTCTCCAACACACATCACACATCCGCAACACGCTCTCACTCAGAAGCTATCCTGACAGATACATATAATTTAATCCAGCTTCGATAGTTAGCAGCAGAAAAACCTGGAGTCAGACAGAAACAGGCAAAAAAAAAAAAAAAAAAAAAAAACAACAAAAGAAAAAGGACGTATTTTTTTTATAAAGAATAAACTGGACGAAATCGTGAATAAAACGTTTGAAAATGTTATTTGATGATATAAATATTAAATTTATTTCAAAAAATGTTTTTTTTCTTCTTATTTTTTTTGATAATTTAAGAATTCAGTTACCCAGATTTTTTAATTACTCGAACATATATATATTAACCCATGTCCAGAGGTGTCCGGATAATCGAGAAAATACTATAGAAAGTCCGCTTATTGCTATGTCCGTATGTTAAGATAGTGTGACGGTTATGGAATCGGAGTACCGAGTTCAAATTACGTTTGAACTCGACACTGTTTCGTTCACTTTAAATGACCATGGATCTACCTTCCCCCACATATGGGCTAAATAGCCTTGGTAGGGTAATCAGTCCAAGAGATTGACTGCTCTCAACTCAAAAACAACCTGAAGAGGGATGGGCTGCGCCAGGTTATCTTACCCTAAGCGCATTCACTGCGACTCGTGATCAATGTTGTTCACAACTTTTTAAATTTTATTAATAAAGATGTCTTCTCATCGGACTTGTTCAATCTATAAACTGAAGTAATCCAATCCGGAGAGAATTAGAAGTCCTATCAGAATTCATTATTTGCGGCCACAATTTTATCAACATAACAAATGCAAATGATCCAGTGTTGATAGCAGACATAGAAAGGAAACTACAGGAAGCCTCTCCAGGAGGCCGTGATGGAAAAGTCGGCTGGGTCTGCGTATACACGTGACTCGTTATATGCACAGGTTTGTCCACTTGGCTGGAATCGATTTCCTAAAGAGTA